ACCAGCGGCTGAAACAGCCAGGCGTGCGAGCCATGAGGCTTGAGGCTTGGGTCTTGAGGAACCGAGTCCGCCGCCTCGGTGCGGCTTCCTCGGCGGCGAATCACGGCGCGGGAGGCGCTTGAAGGTCTCATCCCGCCCGCGACGCAGCAGCCCCCCCATGGCAAGCAAGCCCGTCTGTTGGTCCAAGCTTCGGGTTCGTGCTGCCTCTTGCCAGGTCGACCCCTCGTTCGCTTTCCACTTTGCTGATGTCGGGGAACCGGCAGCTCACCCTTCCCAACCCCAGCGGCATCGGGACGAGCCCGCTAGCCCACCGTGACGAGACCCAACAGGCCACCGCGCCGCCGTTGAACACCCTTCGACCCTTCGCCGCGCTAGGCGCTAGTGCTCGCCTGCTCCCACATCTGCACCATCCCGGACTCTGCACCAGCCGGCCACGGCCAAATAGCTAGCGTGCTGCTAGCCCAGTTGAAGGCTGGCTGCTCGCCACCGACACTGCGGTTGGGCCGCCCCTGCTGGGAGGTGATCGCATTCGACGGACTGCAGAGGACCAGGGTTGGCTTGGCCTCTCCGCGGCCAACGACGCTGTTGCGACGACACGCCCAAGCACATCACCGACAGTCCGGGTCGTAATTATCCGGAGCCAGTAGCATCACCCAGCCGAGAAAGCCAGCCCACCCAATGGCACCTCCGTCATAACGGAACTGTCACGGAAAGGGTCTCGAATGCCCAGGTGCCGAGGTAGGAAGCATGTGCTTCGGTTGCATGGCATGGCATGGCATGGCACGGCAAGATGAGGGATGCCCAGCAACAGCCACGAGGATCCGAGTGCTTGCGACCTCAGGCGTCGGTCATGCCATGCATCGCCGACTGTAGACGAATTGGGCGTGTCGGCAACTCGTCTTACTCGGGTTCACCAGCCCGCTCGAGAGCATTGGCTTATCTCATGGTCAAAGCAACAGGCGTCAGATGAGCAGGCATGACCCCGGAGGCACAGCAAGCTCGCAGCGCGCACTCTTCGCCACTCGACCGTCTGCGAACCTGTTTGAATCCCAGGTCCAGCGCCCCCAGTGGCGGCAAGATCAGACAAACTGGATCCGCTTGGACATGGGTCAGCTAACGGCCCGGATGCGCAGCCGTGTGGCCAGGGCAGCCCATGAATAATGATCCCCGGCCGAACAGGGGTTGAAATGACCCCGGCCTTGCTCGCCTTGGCTCGATCCCCGGATTTCCTGACCAGCACACCTTCGACTGCAAATTGCGGCGTGGGTCCGGTCAAGTTTTGGCATGATTCTGGAAGATCCCAGAGACGAGTGCGGTTTCCTTAATTTGCGCACATGCTGTCCGGCGCATGTGCCGTCTTGCATTCTGAAGCAGATGCCTTGGTTCCAGCGCTGCTTGGGCCGCCCTCCTCGACAAGTTTGCTGGCAGGAGTTGGCCAAGGCGAAAATTTTCCCTCGCAACGCCGCCGTCCTATGTTCGGGTCCTCACGGCGGTCCAGCCTGTCACGCCCGCCGATGGCAAACGTACTCGTACTTAGCCTCGGGCTCTGCCACGCCTACGACCGACTTGCTGGTGCGCTGTCCTGAGGTCTAGTCCGCTTCCGTGGGAGGCCACGACGATGACCAGGGCATCCCCCAGGCTAGCGCAGGTACTATCTCGACCGGGGCCAATTAAGGCCGGTCAGGTCCCAAGCCTTGCGGGCTTCTCGAAGGTCTTGAGGTTGAACGCTATCGCACCTACCCACCGTCAACGGCCGCGCGACGGTGACAGCCTCCGCCGCCGTAGTGATGATCGAAGCAGTCACGCAAGATGGTGCACTCAAGGGCACACCCCCACGTTGACCCGAGCCTGCGCGGCCATGGGTTTGACGATCTTCTCCGGGCCCAAGAAGTTCCACCCGTTCATCCAAAGTCGGGGGGGCGTGGACCCTGAGGGGTTGACAAATCGGCAACACATCCTATTTCGAACGCCGGCCGACTCCGTTGGCGAATGCCTTTGTTGCTAGTTGCCCAACTACATGCACATGCTGGAGCAACGGCAGTGGCAAACGCAATTCAAGCCCAGTACACAGCCAGCGCCAGGTCTGGGTGCGGCAGAGCTTCCATGTCAGAGGACTTTTCCGATTCGAGCGTTGCTGGCAACGAGTATCACCGCTGTTCAAGACACAATCCGCGGACATGGCCATGGTCGTGTCTGCGAGAAATTGCTACTGATGTGATGGGCCTGGCATGTTGTCTTTGCTGGGCCAGTTTCGCTGGCATCCCGCATGAGATTGCTTCTTCAACATCGAAGGTATCAGTTGAGTGAAATGCAGTTGCAAACCTTCAACGTGTTCCCGCTATCGTGACGAAGCTGACACAGCCGGAACAGGACCCTTGACATCTCATGAAGACCGTGCTTTTGGTGGAACAGAGTCTCCGGACCTCTTCGGGGTCCATCGACTCAATGTCTAGGACATGAGGCGTTATGGCCCTGGGTCCAATCCAACCTAGGGGTGTTGCACTGCCCGGGCTTTGGAACAGCCCCGATGTTGGTGCAGCCGTCTCGCGGATTGTGAAGACGCCAAGCGGCATCATAGCTCACACTGTGGCCCAGCTCGCACCAACGTCACGGATGTTTTGACACGGAGTGCCGCGTCGGGAAACCTCAGAGAGGGCACAGCATGCCATGCCGAGCCCACTGACGGGCTCTCAGCGAGGCCGAGTTGTGTTGGACTTTAGCCTCGCCCAAGGAGAGTCGGGCGATCTGGGCCAGGGGCGCATGGATCTGTCAATCTCGCATCGCCAAAGCTGTTGGCGGATCTCGCTGCACACGCAATGCACATGCGCCCAAGCGGGCGCGTGGCCATTGACATTGGGTAGACAGAACCGATTGACTGCCTTGGCCTCAGTGTTTCTCTCTGTGCGGCTGGGTCCGGCATCTCTCCCCCACCTCAGCTTCCTTTTTCTGTTTTCGCGGGGTGTCTTCTCCATCAGAAGAAGCACTGCGGCCGCAGGCGTGATGTGAGGGACCAAACCCGGGCAAGGGCCCGAGCGCGTTGCCGCCGGCGGGCGTTTGACAATGACTTACGTTTGTCTCGTGCCCGTCCCGCAACATGGCTGCTCCGTGTCCTGCGGACGTAGGCGACATGTCATGAGCGCGGCTGGGCGGCGTACTGCCGCGCCGCGCCACGCCACGGGGCAGGGTCTTGTGGCGGCGGCACGCAAAAGGAAGAGGGTGAGACAGGTCGTGAAGTCTCTGCAAGCTGCAGGGCTCAGACGTGGGAAACTCTCCGAGGGCGTCGGGCTTGCCATGGGCTCCTCGTGCGCCCGCTCCATCGGGGACGGCGCAGGCGGGGAAGACGAGATGGACTCGGGGGACCGTTTAGCCCCTCGGCAGAGGGAGGGGCTGTGACGCGAGGGAGTCGCGGCTAGCTGCAGTGCGCATGGCGCTCTGTGCGATCTTCGAGTAACGTGCCGTGGGTGCCGTGGGTATTGAGAGCCCGTGCATGCGCGCGCTGCAGCCGAGCGTCTTCCGGTTCGGGCCAGCAACCAGTTGTGCTCTGCTCGCACCGAGAGACATCGCCCGCCCCGATGCGTTTGCCGCAGAGGTCACGAATGTGCTTCTTCGGATGCATCGTCGGGTAAAACAAGGGCGGGACGGGGACGCGCGGTCACCATGATGCCGCAATGGCCATGGCGCCAAGCGATGTATGAGCTATAATTACGAGTGTGTTTTGTTGGTCGCGGCGGTGGTGAGGGAGTTTGAGACCAGGCGTTGGCTGACTCTGGGCGATCAAGCCGGAGCCGATTGCCGTCGGCGCGGATTAAGTCGCTCGTCACGCAGGACGTACAGAGTACGAAGTGCACGCTACTCCGTAGTGATGCGCCATAATAGCGGTGGTGGCTCATGCTTTGTGTAATTGCCGTCTTTCCGCATTGATGGATCAAGTCGGTGCACTTCAAGGTAATGTGCTGTGCTGTGTCGGCAGTCGATGCCGAGATCACAACCAGCGTGTGTGGAATGGGAGCGCGACGCCCGCTAGTTGGGGAACCTGGAAAAACGTCGACATTGAATATGTGCCTGACGGGCCTGCGCCTAGAAAACACCACGCTTATCAGCACATGCAATACCAGAACCTGCGCTTCACCCGTATATCTGAAAACGTATACAGGCACCGCTTCCTACGTCGTCCATATGAGCGCTGCGTGATTCCGGGGTGAATTGGGGGGGGGGGGTTCAAGAATCGAAACGAGCAACGGCACCCGGGTGCAGGGTAGGCTAGATGCGACTCCGGCGGCGCTTCGGTGAGAGCCCCGGTGGCGGGCCAGCGAGAGCGCCGGGGCGGGCGGCCCCACTCCCAGCCACCCGCAAAGTCTCCAGCCATTTTCAGGCCCCACGAGGCCCGGCCGCAGCAGCGGCAGCAACAGCGCCTCCGTCGGGCCTCAACGGCCAAGAAAAGGCTCCCCAAGCTACCCTACCTGATACGAAGCGCCCAGGCTCCAGCCTCTCGTCTTTTTTTCTTTTCTTTCTTTCTTGCCGTGTACACAGCGGCCCCCCCAGTCGGAAAAAAATCTTGGAACAGATCCCTGACCAGCGTCGTTGTCGTCGTGGCACATGCGATGCTTGTCTGGTACTGGCTGTGACCCTGCCCAATGCCCATGCCGGCCCTCCCACCCATGCCAACCCAAGAGCTCCTCCCACTTTGATGACGACGAGGCCAAGGGCCCCCCTCCTCCTCCTCTTCCGCGGCTGGGCTGACCGCGGGTCCTTGATATACGTTGCGTGCGGTAGCTGCACGCACCTTGCCCGTTTCTCCCCTCCGCTCTCATACCACCGCCGTCACCTCAAGCTCTTTTCCTGGAAGTCCTCCCCAAAGAAGCGTATAACCGCTAGGACAAGACGTCTGGACTCATCGCACCGGGCTTCGTTTATCCCTACTTGGCGTTGCTAGCAGCCCTCTCGACTCCCTTCCCTTTCCTCCTCCCCCTTTGCATCACAACCCGCACAGCACGGCGGCCATGAGGATCCCGTGCAGATCCGCCTTTGCGGCGGCTTCGGCAGCGGTCGCCGCCCTTCTCCTCTTCGACACGGCCGCGGCGCAGACGTGGAGCCAGTGCAACCCGCTCAACAGTAAGACAAAAGACTTCCTTGGGGCTCCCCTTTCCCGCAGCCACCGCTGACATGCCCCCCCCCCCCTCCGCAGCCCAATGTCCGCCCAACACGGCCCTCGGCATGACGGTCAACGTCGACTTCCGCAAGGGCGGCGTCAACTCGTTCGCCGCGTCCGGGTCGCCCAAGTACGACTCGGACGGCGTGGCGTTCACCGTCGCGCGCGGCGGCGACGCCCCGCAGCTCAACTCGCTCTTCTACATCATGTTTGGGCGCGTCGACGTGGTGATGAAGGCGGCGCCCGGCGCGGGCATCGTCTCCTCCCTCGTGCTCGAGTCGGACGACCTCGACGAGATCGACATTGAGTGGCTCGGCTCCAACCCGGACGAGATGCAGAGCAACTACTTCGGCAAGGGCAAGACCACGTCGGACAACCGCGGCAGGTTCCACGCCGTGCAGGGCACCCAGACACGCTGGGTCAAGTACTCGGTCGTGTGGACAAAGGACAGCATTGTCTGGCTCGTCGACGACAAGGCCCTGCGCGAGCTCAAGCAGTCGGACGCGGAGCCCGGCCAGTACCCGCAGACGCCCATGCGCATCAAGTTCGGCGCCTGGGCAGGCGGCGACCCGGCCTTCAACGCGCCCGGCACCGTCAAGTGGGCGCGCGGCCCGACCGACTATTCCAAGGGGCCCTTCTCCATGCGCGTACAGACCATCAAGATCGCCGACTACTCCACGGGCAAGCAGTACCGGTACAAGGACCAGACGGGGTCCTGGGAGAGCATCGAGGCCATCGGCGGCTCCATCAACAGCAACGCCGACGGGAAGAACGCCCCGAGCGTCACCGCCACGCCCACCGCGGGCGGCGCCCCGGCCGCCACGACGTTTGCGACCGTCCCCGTCGGCGGCATCGGTCGCGACGGCAGCTCCGCCACCAGGACCCAGACCGGCTGGCCCTGGGTCGCCGGCGCGAGCCCCACGGGCGGCACCATCCCCAGCGGCTGGTACATGACGCCCGAGGGCAAAATCATGCGCAGCAACACGGGCTCGGCCCCGGCCGGCGGGCGCCCTACCTTGGTGCTGGCCGTCGTGGGCTCGCTGGCCGCGGGCGCCCTGAGCCTCCTCCAGCGGCTGTATTAAGCTTGCTGTTTACGACACGGCAATGGCGAGAGCGCGTGCCCTCGTCAATATCTGCGATGATTATTTACATATATATACATGGCCCCGTCTCGTCCACATGGACAGGACTGAGAACGGGGCACACAGAAAGGAGTTTCACCCGCCAACTACCTTGTACACTTGGGGGGACGGGGGAACATCATTACACGCATACAACTTGCATGACAGACACGGGACAGGCGGAGAGCGTTTTTTAACTGGCACATTTTTGGCATCACAATGGCGCACGGCAGCATCATGGGATTTGCTTTCATCTTACCCCGGAGGGCATATGGCAACATGGCATATTGACAACGGAAGTCATTTCAGACAGTGGAACTGGATATAGAACGGTGCGAGCCGCACCCGCAGGTGCGGGCGGCATGGCAAGGCAAAGACAAACTGTAAAACATACTTATATATACGGTATTAATACTTTGCGCCAAACGCAACATGGCCTGCAACAAGGTCTGGCAAGCCTCACGCCTCACGCCTCTCCTTACACCCGCGTTGACAAGGACAATACGTTAAACTTTAAAGCGTGCAACTTTCTAGATTTCTTCTTTTCTAAAATAAAAACCTCAGTACACTCCCCCCCACCTGCGTTGTGCCCCCCTTCCGGCAAGCCGAGCTTGGCCGTCGAAGCCCCTGCAGCCGTAACTGCCGACCCAGATGTAGCTTGAATCCCGTAGTATAAGAATACACCTGCGTCTAAGTTAGCGGCATTGACTGCCTGCTGCCCTCCTGCCCAGATAACTGATCGCGTCTACCGCCTGCCCGCAAATAAGCCTCTTGCTCCGTTTTCGCCACGTGCCCAAGTTCGCCGTGTCCATGCCCCCACCGTATAGCCATAGCATGGCGTCCGGTGCCCCTGTCTTCGAGATATATTGTTTTATTATATCTCAGATCTCTTTTGAGTACTGATATGTAAGAATGCTCAAGCGTAAGAATGACAATGGAAGAACCGAAAGATAACAGAAGCTAAGCAAGCCGGGCAAAGCCACCCGGTCACATAAGAATTGCAAAGGAGAGACTGGACGTGCCAAGTCGCCTTAGAATTCCCAGTCGTCCGTGTCCTCCACAGACTTGATGGCCCAGCGGAACTTGTCGCGAAGGGTCTTGGAGAAGAACTTCTCAATGGGCACATCAAACTTCTTTGAGAAGACAACGGTAAGACGCGGATCGATGTAGTTCTGTCGCAGGTTGGATTAGCATAATCACTAGCTTGGGCACTGGGCGGGGAAGCTCACGATCTTGGAAGTGCCGAGGGCAACCTCCTTGTTGCCGTCGCGGTCCTCGGCTTGCGTCTCCAGGGTCTTGATGCGCTCATCGAGCTTCCCGATGGCAGCGATGAACTTCTCGACCGTGGGACCGCGGCCTTCGGCCTCGACCTTCTTGGTCTTGTTCTCCTTCTTGAACTTTTGTTCGAGCTCCTTTACCGCGTGGAGGCGTTCCTTCAACTCCTTCTCGGGCATTGGCTTCTCCTTGTTCGCTTTGAGCTTCTCGTTCTCCTTCTCGAACTTCTTGGTGATCTTCGTCCGTTGCTCCTCGACGAGGAACTGCTGGTGCTCCTTGATCCATTCCTCGTCGAGGTCTTCGTCGAGTTCGAACCAGGCCGCGCCCTTCTTCTTCTTCTGAGTCGGATCGATGTCAAGAATCATCTTCTTCGTCCGCCACTTCTGGTACCGAAGGCCCTTGATCTAGGATATGTCAGTGGAATGTCGGCTTCTGCAAATTGATCTCCGGCTTACCCTATCGCCGAGCTTCTGCATCTGCTGCTCATGGCCGGCGCCAACGGTCCTCTTGTGGTTGCAAAGAATGGCAACCTTGCGATTGCAGTCGTTGTACAGCTTCACCTTCTCGGCCACGCTGCCCTTAGAGCGAGGGTCTTTGTGCAGGCTCTTGAGCAGCTCCGACATGGTGAAGGAGGCGTTGTAAGTACGGAATACCTTGGCAGTCAGGCCGGGCATGCAGCTGTTGAGGTGCTTGTTCAGCTGAGTAGTCTGTGAAATCTGTCAGCATTAAATTTTCGAGATCCTGGCTGCGTCTCTCCTTACGGTCAACCGATCAAAGAGATCATCTCCATCCCTCTTGGGAGCCTTCTTGAACAGCTTCAGATTCTTGAAGACCTGCAGCTCGACTTCGGCACTCTCGTTGTAGCGAATACTGTCCTTGCCCAGAAAGTCAAATGTGACAGTGTTGGGGGGCTCAAGAGTGACGTGCTCGTATTTCAACGAACAGCATCCCACTGTGTCTGCCTCATTCTCCGTGTCCTTCTCGTTGCCGGCTCTGAGAGCGAGCTTGTCGATGAGGTACATGGCGGTGGCTCTCTGGCGGTCAGCCATGATCTCACTCTTCAGATCCCGCGTGTAGTCTTTCCGAATCTTATCAATGTGCTTCTTCAACTCTCTGGCCTTTTCGAACTTCTTGTAGTCGCTCTGGCCCTTGACATCACTGGCGGCGCCAAGCATCACATACTTATAGGCGCCATTGATGTTCTCCTGCCACATCGCAAGCCAAGTCGCCTTCTGATCGTGCTGAACGGCCTTCCACTTGTGCCCCGCCGGTGGTTCGGGGATCTTGGCCTTCTTGCCGATGTTGATGGTGATCTGCTCTGGCATGACGCGGGTCTTGACGCGGCCGGTCTTGGGATGCTCGCCGCGACCACGGAAGAGACTGGGCGGTTCCACCCTGAAGTTGCCGACCTTTTGTTTCCTGCCGTCCCACATGCAGTACATGTAGGGAGCCTCAAGGGCGTCCTTCTTGGCCTTGGCGGCTTCCTTCTCTTCCTTGGACAAGTTCTTCGTCTTGCTGGCCTCGGTCTTGGCCGACCAGTAGTCGTAGATCTTAGAGAAGTCACACTTGTCAAGGCTCTTGATGTCGACCTTGTTGCCCTGGGCGTCCGTAGCACCATACTTCTTGATGTACTCGGCGAAGTCTGTGAAGAAGTTTTTGCGGAAAACGGGGTTATCAAGGTGATGAGATGAAGCCGGGGTCATCATCGCCACCCAGAACATGGCCACCTCCTCAGCCTCCTTGCTGAGGTTGACGGGCTTACCGTCGTACAACAGCTTGACGTTCTTGGGGAGCGGCTCGTACTCTGGCGCGAAGAGGACGCCGTTGTGCTCAAGAGTCTGCCACTTGATGGAGTCGTCCTCGGGTTTGGGGGCGTTCCACCACGCATACTCCTCTTCGGCATCGCTCTCCTCTTTGGGCTTGGCCTTCTTCCCGTCCTTTGCGGGCGGCCCGGGCTTGCCCTTCTTGGCGGGCGTTACCGTCTTCGACTTTGCTTTCTTGGAAATGGGGGCGTCAGAATCTGACTCTTCCTTCTTGACGCCGTTTGACTTCCTCTTTGCAGGGGCCCCGTTGGACTGACGGCGCTTTTGCGTGGCCGACTTCGAGAGAGGCTCGTCGTCCGACTCGTCCTTCGTCGGTTTTTTGGGGGTTGGCTTTTGCACTTTTGCCTCTTTGGCGCGGATGGCCTTGGCTTGCAACTCCGCCTTCTTCTCGATGGCGGCCTTTTTGTTGGCAAGCCTCTGGCCCAAGGGTACATCGTCATCGTCAGAAGACTCGGGAAGTGCCGTCTCATCGTACGAAGGGGGCATCTTTCTGGCTCGCCCCTTGCTTATCGGTTCATCATCGGAGTCCGATTCTGCAGGCTTGCTGGTGGGTTTGGGACGCTTGGCCTAGGAAAACAAGGTAAGTCCACGGTCTTGCGACTTTGCTGCCAAGGAGCAGGCGTACCAAAGGTTCTCCATCACTATCGGAATTGTCTCGGTAGTTGACTTTAGAGATGGACGACCGAGATTTGCGCTTGTTTGCACCATTGACGGACGGCGCGTCGACGTCCATGCTGTCCTCGACAGGCCCGTTGTGCAGGGACAGGCCAACCATGGTGGCCTTGCCGTTGGGTAGAGCACGATCCATGGCTTTGTCCTCGGAACGCGAGATGATCGATGAGGAGACTGAGAGCAGTTGAGGAAAAACTTGTCAGCGAGAAAGGCTTTTAATTGCGCAAGTTGGGCGGATGCGAGAAACCAGGTGGCGGCCGTCAGACCAACTGCGGCTGGGGGCGCAACGCGACTCTCCAGAAAACACAAAGAGGAGCACACGCATCGGGGAAAAGGGCAACTCACGGCGTCCGTTGGGCCTCGCGAGAGGCGCATCATCGTCGGAGCTGTCGTACGCCATGTTTACGACTCGTGGGTGGCGCGATTCGGCGGCTGTCGTCGTTGGTGATCGCTGACTGGGATTAAACAGTTGACGTCGCACACGACCCAGTGTAGTGTAAGAGGTGCGTTGCGTGAGAGGGAAACAGAGGTAGAGGGGGCGCAGAGCGTGATGCGGAAGAGAAAATGTGGCGAACCCACCCCTCAACGCCCAGCGAAGGTGATGAGGGAGAGAAATCGTCGGTCCCGCGCGAGAAGCCTTGAAGGATTGGGGAGGGAAACGGAGGGCTGGAATCGAAGAGCGAGGACGGGACCAGTCGTGTTTTCTCGGCGAGGTCGCAGAGGCAGGCAGGCGCTCTACAGTGGCACCCGGTCACGTGACCCACCCCGTGCTAACCGCCGATTTGCCGGGGAAAATAGCGCCGGAGCAAAACCAGTTGCACCCGTGAGGCATTCATTCCACCCCCGTCCGACCAGCACGACACGACACTCCTCTCCCCTCAATCAATTGATCCCGTCCCGCGCGATCAATTGGGTCACCGCCGGTCAGAGGCTCGATTCGTCTTTTCGCACCTGCCACGATGCTGTCACGCGCGGCCCGACCGGCTCTCCGAGCTGCGGCCTCAGCTCCCGCCCGGTGAGTTCCCGACCTGGCGGCTCGTCCCGAGCACGATTTGATTTTGTTGCCGAGGCGCCGCGCGAGCTCTGCGCCTCGACGACGGCCACCTCGCGGCGCCACGAGCATGCCGGACGCACGCATTGCTGCCGTCGTCCAGATACCGAGCGTCTTGCTGACTTTCCATCGACGAGCAGGGCTGCCACCGCTGGCCACGCTGGCGCGGCTGGGTATGCGACCCTCCGCGAGATCGAGGGCCGCCTCAAGTCCATCCGCAACATCGAGAAGATCACCAACACGATGAAGATTGTCGCCTCCACCAAGCTCACCCGCGCCCAGCGCAGCATGACCGAGTCGCGCAAGTACGGCCAGACCTCCAACGAGGTCTTCGAGTCCGCCGAGACCACCGCCGCCGAGGGCGAGGAGAAGAAGTCGCTCATCATCGTCTGCTCCTCCGACAAGGGCCTTTGCGGCGGTATCCACTCCGGCATGAGCCGCAAGATCCGTTCCTTGTACGCCACTGAGTCGCCTTTCGACCTCGTCATCGTCGGCGAGAAGTGCAAGGCCCAGCTCCAGCGCACCAACAACAAGAACATCCAGCTCACCTTCGCCGGTGTTGGCAAGGACGTCCCCACCTTCGCCGACGCCCAGGCCATCGCCGACCAGATCGTCATGCTGCCCACCGAGTACACCGACGTCAAGATCCTGTACAACAAGTTCATCAACGCCCAGAGCTACGAGCCCACCTTCATTGAGGCATTTTCCGAGGAGGCCATTGCCCAGTCTCGTACGTTTATATGTTGAATTTGGGCGTGGTTAGAGTGCCACGGTGCTAATTTGCATGCCTTACAGCCAACATCTCGTCTTTCGAGGTCGATGACGAGGTCCTGGCCAACCTCCGCGAGTACAGCTTGGCCAACTCCCTGTACTGGGCTCTTGCCGAGGGCCACGCCTGCGAGCAGTCTGCCCGACGAAACGCCATGGACGTGAGTTATCCTTCTTCGTCGCTTCGTGAAGTCCGGCACCGTGCTTACAAAATCCCGCAGAATGCCTCCAAGAACGCTGGCGAGATGATTGGCAAGTACCAGATCCTGTACAACCGCACCCGACAGGCCGTCATTACCGGCGAGCTGGTTGAAATCATCACTGGTGCCACCGCCTCGGAGGACATGTAAATGGTGTGCAATATCCAAGCCGGAGTTGAACGATTCCCTTTGTACCAAAGCTAGAGGTTACCCGCAGTGGTTTCCGCAGTGTATCAAAGCCTCAAATAAATTCCTTACAGTAGACCATTCTACTTCATCATACATTGGCAACCAGCGTGGCTACAGCAGCGGCTGGCTCACTTTGCAAAGACTTCATGGTTACCAGCGCTGTTATCCTGCATACAACTATATACCAACCCTCTCACCTCCATTCGGATGCGCCAAGGCGGCCAAAGCACAGTCAAGCTCGCCAGCCTCCCGCAGAATATATGTACTGTTTGCTTTATATATACAGCCGCATGTATCGAGTACAGACAATAATTACGATTACGGCATGTGCGAGAGGATCACGAGACAGCGACTCACTTATCCCTCTCGCTGTCGCGATCCTCTACGTAGCTGACATGCCTGGCCCTGCGATGCTTGTGCGAGAGCCGCGCTCCGTATGCTGCGTCGCTGTCGCCCGGTTCGAACGGATGCTCCTTTTCGTACGTGGCCCTCAGAGACATTGCCCTCTGATCCCACTCCTGGGACTCTTCGTTGAATGTCTGCATAGCCTCGGAATATGTCCGCTTCTGAAAAGCTGCCTCATCCTCAAAAGGCTTGCGTTCTTCAGGTGTGGCCTCCTTCCACATCTTGGAAGTCATTATGCGCACCTCATTCGGCATACTGCGCGTCTTGCCGGTCTTGCGATTCTCCTCACACCGCTTCTTCGCATCCTCAAAATGCGCCTTGCTGTAAAGTAGATAAGCGTTTCCCGCGACCTTGTTTGGCCGGGCAGGTCTTTCTCCGATCTGCAAGCGGATGAAGTCCCACACCTCGACCTCGTATGCCTCTAGGCGAGCTTGTCTGGGATCCTTGGCGGCCTCTTTACGTTTGTGCAGCAAGAGTGAGTCCCTTGGTAGGATAAGCGGCGTTGGGACCTCAACTGGACCGAGCATGGCTTCCAATACCTCGGAAGCCGCGCGCAAACCCGACAAGTAGGCACCATGCACCGTGGCCGGATGGGTGCCGATTGTGTGCTCGCCAGCAAAGAAAAGGTTACCGATGCCTCGCGACATGGTGTCGTAATCGTCAGGCAACATTTCTGGGGCAGCCGACGAGTAGCTGCCCCGCGCAAATCGGTCCGAGCCCCAGCGAGTCACCACGGATTCGACGGGGTAGGGCACGTCCTTGCCAAAGACGCTGCGCAGTATGTCTGTAGCCTCAGAAATGAGCTGGTCGTTACTGGAGCTTTCTGTCTCGAAGCCAGCATCACCAGCCATGAGCGCGATGAGACAAGGCAGGCCGGTGGTGCTTGTGACGTTGAACCACTGGAAGAAGCGACCGCGGTTCAGCCCATAATCCTTCTGCAACGTGCTGTGGCGGTTCGGCGCGTCGCGAAGGACCCCAAAGATGTGCCGATCTTGTTCCCAGAATACTCTGTCGTATACCAACACCACCTTGTTCAGAACACCGAAACCGAGCCGCTTAACGGCCTCTGTTTTCCAAGCAGGAAGTGGAGGGTCGAATGCGATATTACCTTGTTTCAATACACCAAGCGGAACCGTGCAAATGACGCAGTCGGCTTCGATAATTCTTCCATCCTCTGATTCAATGCAGGCTGGTCCAGAGAAGTCCTCGCTGTGGTACTTGATCTTGCTGACGGGAAAACCCGTGGTCAAGTCCAGCATGCTCGGGCAATGTAACAAGCCACGAGCAACACTTTGGTAGCCCCCCACAACCATTGTGTGGTGGCCTTCCCACTCGTTGCCCGCGTCAATATCCCATAACCCAAGGCTAAGGTTGTGCAGATTCGTGGCATTGCTGTACTCTAGATTGGCTATGTGCCAGTTGATGAGCCGATGATCTTGGGGATTCAAGTCCACCAGATGTCGGTATTGGGTGATTGCAAAGTCCAGCAAGGAGCCCAAGGTCGACTCTTCGCGCGCTGCAGCATCGGTGAGGCTAATGTCGTGGTCGCCGGGTGCACCGGATCTTAGGCTCCAGCCCATGAGTTTCGCTTTGTCCGACGCGCGAAGTGTGCCAGGCACTCCAGGTTCTGTGTGAACTCGCCCGGTCAGCTTGTCCGCCGAAACAGGAACCATGTTGACCTTCTCAGGCACGCTCTGCTGAGATACAGAGGGCGCGTGAGGCAGAGCCGCTGTTGCCTCCTCTACCTGCATGATCGATCTGGGATTGTTCCCGTCGTTCTGGCTATCACGCCCTTCGTCCAAAAGATCCCGGTTGCCTTCAATCAACTTGGAAGGCTGCGGTTTGAACTTGTACTCGCTCACTCGATCCAAGCAGTCATTGTATAGCTTCTCCACTAGCTCGTCGCGGACAGGATCCACTGGCTTTCCGTTGCTGTCGTAAATTGTCGTCTCGGCGGACAAGGTGTGGTACGGCAGTCCCAGCTGCCCGCGAACAAGAACGTTCATTGGATTTCCCCTGTTGAAGCCTGTGATGATCATTCCCCCCATTTCGGCCGTATGCCTTTTGCTATTGAAGTCGTTGACATCGTTGACGGGCTTGGATCGAAATTCTCGCGAATATACCCTGCCGCCCACGCGACGCCTGCCCTCGACAATGACGACGCGTGGTATTTCCTCACCACTATCGTGATATCTGCCGGCGTGCTGTTCGAATAGGCCTTCCAGCTGCCTAGCACAGGCTAGTCCGGAAATGCCGGCACCAACAACGGCCACTGTTTTCCGCCGCTTGACTCGGGGCATGTCATGCCCATTGCTGTGCGCTTCTGGCAAGGCGACACATCCAAAGTTGATGTACCCGCGGCGAATTAGCCAGTCGTAACAAACACTTGCAGCGTCGAACCATCGTGCGTTGGCGCAACCCACGGCCTCCTGCCGAGTCACGCATGTCCAGGGGCGCCTGATCCATATGCGCAATATCTGGTTCCGAATATTGAGGTATGTCGTGACCTGGGAGTGTGAAATGTGATGTCGCAGCAGATGATACTCGTCGGGATGAAGTGCATACGGATTGAGCCGCGACGACTCAGCCGCTTCGATACATTCAGCCGCGTATTGATGAGGAGGGATGTCGGTAGGAACGGACGACTTGGGCAGCACTGTGAAGTTGAGCCGATCAATACCGTGATGGTAGGACAAAGGCGTAAATATTCGAGCCTGTCCATCGCCCTGTTGGCTTCGTGCCGCATCGACTTCGGCAGGGGTAGTAGCTTTGCTGGAGCTGCCAGATTTAAGCGATGAGACGTCCGAAAGCTCCGTGAGAGCTGAGAGGGAGGATGTGAAGGAGTCGACGATGCCATCCTCGTCGGCGGCTTGCAAGAGAGCATCGCTATTGTCCCGGTTCATATCCTCGCTGCTCAGCGTTAATTACCAAGAACACATGTCTTGTGGTGGTGCAGAAGAGCAGGAAGTGAGCGGCAGATCAGAGGAGGCTTACTCGGAAGGGCTAGTGTCCATTTGTGATGATGATATTCCAGAGTCGTCGATGCCTGCGTCCTCTGCCCATACCATTATCGTCGGGGTAGCCTCGGAGTACCGCTCCGGGGACGCATCCTGAGGCTGGGCCGATGTGTCGAGTCTGTTGGCAAAGGAAGGAGGCGACGCTGGTTCTCCACCCTCGGATCCGGGGGCAGGTATGACACTCGACAACGGCGACTCCAGGCCGTCTAAACGACCGGGATAGCCGTCAACGGGTCTATTCCCCTCACCAAGGCCGCTTTCGATGCCCTGGTCCATAGTAGCGCTCTGCATCGGAAAGGCACCGTAGTTCGAACTGCTGTGGTTTCCTCTCGCGGTGCGCTCGAAGCAGCGACGGCTCCCTTGGTCCTTCGCACTGCTATGGTCACAAACAATTGAAGCGATGGTGACGCATCATGGATCTCTGCGCGTTGAGTCCGGGCTGCATTGTGCCGTGGTATCAGCAAAGGATTGCCCATGATGGCCGGCGTATAAGCGTCATGTCATGATGGACTGACCAGGGCAGGGGACTTATTCGACGGGCTCAAGCGTGCATAGCTCGGTCGGTGCGACGGTGCGGGCTGGGCATCCGAGGGTAACTACCAATTCATAGCAAGTCGCTCAAATGTCGGAACGCCCACACAGACAGGCGTGAATGGTTGTTATAAATGACACGAAGGGATGCCCCGTGAAGGAAATTGAAGCCATCAGTTCATCAAGTGGCCGCCCCGACCCCGACTCCCGGCTCTGACACTAACCCAGCGCCTCGATTAAGGTCACGTGCACCACCGCTGGCCAATGACTGCGACGGCTGCTGTGGAGCTTCGCATCAAGTGCAATGCGACGACCTTCGACGTCCCAGAGAATCAGCTCTCAAGCTTGTCAAAGCCGCGTCACAAAAAGCTACTGCCATCGTCTATCGCCCTCTGCACCGCGCGGACGCGAATCATAGGGAACGGGGAACAATGCCACAGACAGGGTCAGGCTCAGCGCAACAGCCTTAGGCCAGGACCGCATCGGCCAACCGGCACTCCGAACACGCTTTGAGCGACTTAGGTCGACCCTGCCTGTCGGGCATAGGATTCCTTCTCGACAGCCGCGTCCATCATCCTGTTGCCGCTAATAATCGATGTGGTGCAGATCACGATGTTCCGGCGGTCTGGTGTCGTGTCAGCTCGCTCAATTGGCCATCCAGAAGCCTGCAGGCCCTCACCTTCTTCCTGCTTCGCAATGAACCGCAGCGCCGCAATCTCCGTGAAGGTGACGCCACCGACGAATACTACAAAAACGGTCTGCTTGTGGTTGCTCCCAGATAACAACGCACGCGCCTTGACGGCCTTGTCCTCGCCCTTTTGGAGCTCGTAGAAAGCAGGCCCGCGGACATGCTTGACCGCCGGATGGAGGCCGTACCAGCCCTGACCCGCCGCGTTCTGTGCCGCAGTGCCGCCCTGTTCGCCCTTTGTAAGGGAGAGCAGGTGCGCCTTTTGGACAACACTTTGAACAAGTCGGATTGATAGAGGCGCATATCCGCTGTACACATAAGCGATGTCATTAGGATCGTCTTCCTTGACCTCGTCGAATATCAGCCGCAGCTGTTTTCGCAGATACGCGTAGTTGGTTTTCGTGCCGCTCTCGCCAGTGCTTCCTGCCATTGGAATCATCCCCGCAAGCGGAGAGGAGCGCGACAAGAACAACTGGAGCCTCTCCAGGTTGTTGAGCGTTAGTATATGTTGGTAGCCGTAGCCCTGGAGTATGAGTCGGCGAAACTGATCAAACTCCTTTGGTTTGATCCCCCCGGATATGCATGAGTATATGCATAACAGTCTGAGCGTTTCCCTGATCGGGGCACCTCGAGCTATCAGCTCTTCTATGCCGTCAAACTGTGATGACGGGTCTGCTCCGGCAGCCAGATTTTGCTGGACTTCCAGCAAGCCCTTGAACTGGTCCGTCCGAGTGTGCTTGATTATCTCCTCTGCGAGACCTGTGTGTATCCTCACGCTCTGGTGCTCCTGCTGATACCCGGGAAGTTGGGTGACAAATTCCTTGAGCTCAGCGAGTGTCTTGGTCTTTTGTTTGCTCTCGTAGTCCGTCTGGACCTGCTGCAGACGACGGGCCACTTTGTTGAGCAAGCCACCTACAATGGCAAAGTTGGCATCCCGTAGCTGTTCGTATAGCTTGTCGCTAGAGTCAAGTACGATTGTTCTGTCCTTGCTTTGGGATGTAGCGGCCGATGACTGGGCCGGCGCACCTACGATCGTCGTGTCGACTTTGGTCTGATTATTTTGTATGCCAAAGACCTCGTCGATCAGGCCCTCGTATGTCAGCTGCGTCAGAAGCGGCGTGACAAAGTCGACTTCGCGATCGATGATGATGACAGACTCGGTTGTCGTGCTTGGTGTCAAGCCGGCTTTGTTCCCGTCGACATCATCCCCACCGGCGAGGAGCTCCTGACGCATACGGCAGAGCAGGTCCGACACCCGTTTCGCGTTTTCACCAAAGCCAACAATCCGCGGAAACAGGCCTTGATTTTGCTGGATCTCCATGAGGGCCTTGGCCAGGAGATAATTGGGCGTGATGTCCTTGGACAGATATAGATCTCGAAATGCGTCATCGAGCTCCAGCGAGAGGACATCTTTCTCGATAGGAAAGAAGGACAGCGGGAGCTCTGCAATGCTCACGTCGCCAAGGACGCCGGCCTCCTCGAGCAGCTGGTCTGACACCAACGTTCGTCGCGGAACCCAAAATATGTGAAACTCATGAGTGGTCTGACTCTCGCGCTGCACCCGCTTGATCTGATCTGCATGAGAAGGGTGTCAGAGCCGGGGAGCCTCAGAGAGTGGACGGAAAATAGGCCAAGCTGTCATACTCGCTATCGTCTCAGCATGGCGACCGACCTCTCCCCTTGCGACAAAAACGACATTGTGCTGGCTGGTGTCGACGTTGTTATTTTCGAGAATGAAGAATTTGTCGACGCCGTATTCCTTCAAGGTAGCGACCTTGACTATCGTACCGATGGGGCCGACGAGACTGCGGTCGAACACGAGGTTCTTCTTCCCGCGCACCTGTAGTCGTCAAGTCTCAGCAGCGTGTCGCGCTCAATATGTTTCCCCAGCCAGCCATAACTTACACCCTCGAGTAAGTAGAGCAAGTCCTTGCGTGACTTGGCTCGGACCTGCTCGGTGCTGAACTCGGTTCGGGGCGCCATGGCTGCTCACGGAAGCGCAGGAAGCAAGCCGTTGGGGAAGCTCCCATGAGCTGGTGTTGGAGCTCCGAGGTGTGGATAAGCAGGACAAAGAACCTTGGAAGGACCGCCGAGGGGCAATGACGCGCTGGCGGGCCTAGGATTGGGCGGCTGGGCGGGTTTCTGCCACCGCTGGGTCCCCTGGCTGCCTTGGGCGGTGTGACACTTCCGGGGCCGTTTGCGTGGCGGTCGGCCCCTGGGTACCTCCTAGGCTGTAGCGGAGGTATGTTCCATATCGATGGTGGGGGTACCCCGCTGAAGCCTGGTAAACCTCACCATGGTGCCAGTGACATCGCCCCATCCCAATAAGACCCGACGTCATCCCACGGTTTGCCTCGTACCCAGGTTCGGTTTGTTGACAGCCTCACAACTCACGAGGAAAGGAAGGCCACGAAGAGAGGCTGTCTTTACTATGTAGATTTCCGGCTCCAATCGCTATGTTTTCGTCTTGAGGAAAGCCAAGCACCTGTTCCCAAGCTCCCAATCCATGTACTCCAGAGTCACCCTGTGGCGCCTGGGTGACTTCCTTTGGCCCAAGGAGACGAGCTCGTCCTAGCCGCACCATACCAGCACGATGGACAAGGTCTCCTTGGGAGTCGAAAAATCACAAACGTGACACGCCAGGTGCTGCTCTAAAAGTGAGTTGTGCGAATGCGGCCCCTGTTGGCCTGCCCGGCCGAGACAATGCGCCATCCCCAACCCATGTTTTCCAAATGCGAAAATGCAGGTCGATCGCTCGCGCAAGATGCAGATAATGTCAAGTTTTCCGTATGTCATACGGTGTTGTCATGGTATAGGAATTCGATGTCACGCGGCCGCTGTCTGTTGCCGCGGACGAACTCGGCGTCTCCGGGCGGCCGTTCGTTTTTGGAGTTGCTCGTGAGCATGCTCTGTATACTCATGCAGACGCTCTCGGCGCTTTGAACAGGACTCCAGCCCTGGCTGCCCAGGAGATCGAGGCATATGATGCCATTGGAGTAGATGTGAGGGTGCATGGGGATCGGGCGGTTCGGCTGCTCGTCAAACGTGACCTCGGGAGGCTCTGCGGTCATGCCACCGTTAGTGCGACGGCCCCAGAGACGCCATGATGCCGTGTGCATACCGATCGGGTACGACTCTGGGAAGAGAAACTTGAGTCGGTACGTCTGGTCCCTGTATATGGGATTGTTGTCGAGGACTCGGATGTCCAGCGTCCACTCCCTGAGGCTGTCGCCGTCGACCAGCTCGATGCCGGGCGGCAGGCCATGCTTGTCGATCTGCAGTGGGGTGAGCCTCGTCAGCGTCGGAGGGTTCTGCGCGGCAGCGAAGAGCGCTCGCCCACCTTGTGGCGCTCCTTGGCCACCCTTTTTTCGCGCAGACGCGTCGCCATTTCGGTCGCCTCGTACGGCAGTGTTGGTGGTGGAGGAGCACCAGCCCGGTTGAGGGGATTCGGCGGTGGCCTTGACCACGTTGTCGCGAGTGTAGGAGGATCCGTGCACCAGAAGCGCCTGCGGCGGCGACGAAACAAACGTAAGGCAAGGTTGGGTGGACCAGGTGCCAGATCAGGCAGAGCGGGCGAGGCGACAAGCTGCACAGAGGCCTGGGTCCATAAAATTGAGCCTTACCTGCGGACTGCCGCCTGCCGGGGTTCCTGCGTCGGCGCATGTCACTGGACTACGAGCGGCCGGCTACCGTTCCCTGGGCCTGGGTACCTCTAGGTTGAGTTAGGTAAGCCCGCTGTAGCAGCTGGCACAGCGGCAGTGCCACCTACGAGTGTCGAGGACAAACGCGCCCTCATGTTGTACGAGAAAGGCAACGTCTCTTTGGCAGCCTACGAAGTAACCTACATGCTGCCCTCTTCGTTGGCAGGTCATCGGTCCTGACACACCATGCACAAGAGACGTGTGGTCGTCTGGAGCATCAGGTGAGGTGCCAGCTGGAGGGCGACGCAGGCAAGTTGGAAGTCCTGCCGCCTTGCGCGGCTGCCTTCGCCAGTAACGCCCTGACGATGCCGCGGACAGCTGCAGTCGGCCGGGTTCTGCGTGGCGGCCAATGGAAACGGCAATATTTGCCTGGCTTTCATTGTCTGCCTTCGTCGTTGCGCGCGCTGAAAGGACGGTCGCTCTCGTTGGTTGCCTGACAGCCAATGTCTTTTCGCCGGGCACGAAGTAACGTATGTATCATCCATGATGGGCATTCTCAAAGCCAATACGACGAAACGCCCTGGCTGCCCTCCGAGGTGTTGGAACTTGGCTTCCCGCCCAGGTACCAGGCTAGCTGCCCTCCAACGTAGGAACCCGGTTTGGTGTCGAGTGCGTTGCCTGCAGCGCATCTCTGTGGGCGGTGGATGGCGCCGCATCGGGCAATTGGCGCCTCCATCGACCACGGCCAATGATTGGCAGCACTTTCAAGGTAATCGCGAGTGGTGCTGACGAGCGGCAGACGTGTGGTGATGCAGGCGGATCGGTGTCGCCGTTTCTGTGGAGGCCACCAGACGGTGGTAGCAGCCGCCGTTATGTGAGAGGTGCAGTGGAACGGGTCGCGGGTACTCCCTGTGGTGGTGGGCACTTGGTGGACGGCGCCGGGTCAGCTCAGCCGCCGCGCCCCAGGTCTGTTGCACCATAATCGACCCTTTCGGCGTTGGCGAGCCCCAGCCTCGCCTCGGGCTGCCGAGCGTCTGGCGCGTTTCGTCCACTTCGCGCGGCTCAGCCACAGCAGACGAGCCGCCTGGCAGCCCTAGAGGGCACCTGGAGCGCACCCACGGAGCACCCCAGCTCCACTGCGCCCAGCCGCCGGTAGTGGGCGCCCCGTGGCTTGTAGCTGGAGGAGACGGGAGGGTCGCTGCGCCTTCCCTGCACCATCACGTCGGCGGAGAGGGGCTGAGATGATGAGATGGGGGGAGGGCAGCCGGGAGGGCAGCTAGGAGGGCAAGGAGGGGTCCATCCATCCTTCCTCGCACGCTCCATGCTTTTCAAGTCGTGTCCGCCCAAAGGCGACAGCATTTATTAGGCTCACCAGCCGCATCCTTCGAGAACCGTCAACTCCCCGCCAGACCAACCCAGAGCTCTGCTCCTCCCGTCGCCGTACCCTTCACGTTTGCGAGGCGCTCGACTGCCGCGACAGAAGCCAATCTGTGGCACAGCACCCGCGACTCGCCCTCGTCGCATCACCACCTCGTCCTCTGTGGTTGTCTCGTGAACCCCCTCCCGTCCTCTCCACTCGACCCGAGCTCTGCTTGTCCTGACGCTGCGGGACAATCCACTGTCGGCCACGATGAGTTGTGAGTCTATTCAACCCCTCCATGCCCCAAGCCTGCTATCATGTTCGACGTGACACGACTAACCTGGTTGCTTCTGCGCTGGATAGTCGCCGGAATGCTCAACCGCCTTCACGGGCAACCCGAGAGCTATGACAAAAAGTACGTCCACCGAAACTCTCTCATGCAAGGCCGCGAACCCGAATGAAGATCCTGACAATTCTACGTAAAGATCCAAGTACAGGTTCGGCCGGACTCTGGGTGCAGGCACATACGGCGTCGTGCGGGAGGCCGATGGCCCCACGGGCAAGGTGGCTGTCAAGATCATTCTGAAGAAGAATGTCAAGGGCAACGAGCGCATGGTATACGACGAGCTTGACATGCTTCAAAGGCTGAAGCATCCTCACATCGTCAAGTTCGTCGATTGGTTCGAATCGAGGGTACGCCAACTCGCTGCAGCTCGATTCACGACCCAGGGCTGACCTTTCGTTACTAGGACAAGTTCTACATCGTCACGCAGCTGGCCACCGGAGGCGAACTCTTTGACCGAATTTGCGACCAGGGAAAGTTCACCGAGAAGGATGCTTCGCAAACAATCAAGCAGGTGCTCAGCGCTGTCGACTATCTTCACGATAACGACGTTGTTCATCGAGGTGCGCCGTTGTCGCTCGGTACCCTGACAGATTCATTGCTGACATCCTTCGTCGTAGACTTGAAACCCGAGAACCTCCTTTACTTAACCAGGGAGCTCGAATCTGATCTGGTCTTGGCAGACTTCGGCATTGCAAAGACCCTGGACAGCAAGGAGGACACCCTCAAGACCATGGCGGGCTCCTTTGGCTATGCCGCCCCGGAGGTCATGGAGCAAAAAGGCCACGGCAAACCTGTCGACATGTGGTCGCTTGGCGTCATCACCTACACTCTTCTTTGTGGCTATTCGCCGTTCCGCAGCGAAAACTTGCGCGACTTGCTTCACGAATGCACCTCGTCGCAAGTTGTCTTCCACGAGCGCTACTGGAAGGAGGTGAGCGACGACGGCAAGGACTTCATCCTCAAACTGATTGTGCCGGAGCCCGAGCAGAGATGGACGAGCAAGGTATGTCTATGCGTCTTGCCTGGTACGTGAGTCATATCATACTGACTTGGTCACTCGTAGCAAGCATTGGGCCACATCTGGTTGACCGGCAAGAATGCTACCGAGCACGACTTGGTGCCCGAGCTGCTCAAAGCTCGCGAGCTCAGGAGCAAGTTCAAGCATGCCGTTCTGGCTGCAAGTCTGAAGAAGAGGATCGCGGACCTCAAGGATGCCGACTCAGACTCAGACAACGAGATGAGGGATGCCGAGCAAGCCATTCCCAGCGCCTCCTCTGCATCTCTGCCGAAACCTGACGCCAAAACGGCCTCGCTCAAGGACAAGATTAGCGGTGCCATGTTCCGCGAAGTTGTGCTCGCGAAGCTCAAGGATGAGAAGCAGAAGAAGGAGGCGCTGGAGGTTGACCAGGAGCTCGAGAATGAGGTCAGGCGGCGCAGCTTCAATGGCTCATCGGGAGCTGCTTGAAGGCTGTTGATCCGCGATGTTGCTTTCTAGGCGGTTGCTTGCATTGGTTGGTTTATTAGCCCGTTCCGCCGAACCGAAGGTCGGCTTGTCGTGGTGAGGATCCTGTCGAGACCACGCTCATCTCCATTTTTCCTGTTTTTATTTCCTGGACTTTTTCTACTTGTTTGGCCTCGCGTGGGTCTTCGTGCCCGGCAATCCTCAAGAGACACTAAAAGGATCTTGTTTGGTAGTCTGGGAGATGCTTTTGGAAAGTAAAACCTGCTCACATCACTCAAACCGTTGAAAGCATGACCTTGTGAAACCCCGAGAATTGTAGTCACGTGTAGCGACACTACGCCGAATACCAGCAAGAGCGTTTGTGGCTCTTTTCCATGTTAAGCTATCTGTTCATCCATCGTTCAGGCATGAATGGGTCGTGATCTAAGGTGGTAGTACAAATTCCGGTGTGCAACCGCGCCCGGAGAGCGCCGGCCGCAATACAGAAAGGTCAGGTCAAGTGAACAGCCGCGGCTTTCAGACGCGGGCTTCGATGTACAATTTCAAAGCGAACAAACGAGAAATGTGGTCATGGTATCTGTAAATAGTACGACCAGAAAGAAAGGAAAGAAGAGAAGTATAAACACGTCTGCCTTGCGTGGACGACATTGATGGTGACGGGGGCTGGAGGTCGAGGACTGGAGTCGCGAGGGCAACGCTTTCCGCCGACAGAGGTCGGTTTAGGAACTGAGCTCTGCGAGGACGTTTTCGCAGAGGTTCCGGTATCTTGTTGCGTCGAACCGACGCCGTCGCCAGCCGCAGGCTCGTAGCCGCTCGATGCGAGTGCCGATGTCGGCATTTCGCAACGTAGAGGCTTCGCCTTGTTCCGCGAGCTCTCCGTCCAGCATCGCCATGTGCTTTTCGATTTGACATCGGATACTTGCAAGTACAGTGTAGTACTGGGGGCCGAATGTCTCATGGCATGACTGGACTTCCTGGACGAGCTCGGGGGCCTCATCCAGTGGCAAGGACTGGACTTGTTCCGACATCTTGTGCACGTGCTTCAGGATAGGCTCTGGGCAGATGGGCTCGGGCGACGAGCGGCCCAGCCAGTCGTCGAAACCAAGGGTCGGGGAGTCGGGCCTAATGATTGGCTCCATGATAGGGACATCCCGAAACGTAACCCTCTTCTTGGACTTCCTAGAACCGCTGGGTGAATCTTCTATCGAGCCGGCCGACGATAGAGGCGTATCCACTCTCGTCGGGGTGCTTGGTGGAGAGTCGTCCGTGCTGGCAGATTTATCACTGGGGCTTGGAGACGCGACGCGCACGGACGACGCGATCAAGATGTCTTCGCGCCTTGCGATCTCTGCCGCGACGCGGTAGTGCTCTTGCGCTTGGCCCAGCAGGCCGTACCGCGAGGGAGATGCGCGAGGTGCCTGGCGAGCTTGCATCTCCAGGGCCATGGCCGCAAAGAAGCGCAAGTAGACGAGATAAGCTGGCTGTATCCGGTCCTGTAACAAGTGTAAGTCAAAGAACCGCTATATGTAGACATATTTGGCGACGAACCAGAGACTCCGAGTCTTTCAAGGCCTCGTGGCAGCGATCGAAACAAGACCGGAAATGGTTGCGGAGAAAGGATCTCTTGATGTCATCCAGGGATACGGGCCACTGCGGCTCCTCGGCCAGGGTATCGTTGGTGGCCTGCTTCCAGGCGGAACGGCGCATCGGGTTCGGCGCGTTTTTGGAATGCACGAAACCGAAGCGTCGGAGATTGTGCTCATTTTCTGAGTGGTGCATGATGAACTTCCTCGATGAGGCGCTCTCAGTGCCGAGAGCAAGAGGTATAAGACCCGTCATCGTTGACTCGCTCGCCGGGGAGAGTAAGGGATTGACAGCGGCGGAGCAGCAGGACGTATTAAAAGGCAAATCGCCCCAAGGATTCTCGGTGAGACGTCGAAGTACCTCACCCCGTCTATCGGAATGATTGTGTAGTATCGGCCAAGCGGGAGCTTGCAAGGTTCCCGAGCAAGGAGCGTGTGTAAGTCGCTTGTGCAACTGGCGGTCAAACAGGGAGCTGCGTCCGGCGTGTGCGACGGTCGCGGGTTTGACTATGTTTCTCCGATAAACTCGTCACGGCGCAGAACTGCACATTCGCATGCGGAAAGCCACAGCTCACGGACCGACCGCGTCGTGTACGCGCGAAAAAGCGAGCGACAATGGCCGGCGGTGCACACCGAGGTGGATAGGGCTGGTGGGAGCCGCAAATATGTACTCGACGTGGTTGGACACAGAATCGGGGCGAGTGGCAGCCACTGCCGTCTTGACCGCAAGATTGACGCCTACTAGCCGGGCGGCGGACGATGCCTGTTGGCGAAGAGAGAGAGGGTCGAAAAGGCTATTTTGGGCCTTGGTCGAGATTCTGCACTCGTATGTGTAGTAAACGAGTTTTCGCTTTTTTGTGCTGTGCGGGTGTTGGTTCGGGAGAGAAGGAGTGACCGAGAGCCGAGCGAGCTTGGTGGCGCGACAGAGAGACTTTGAGGCAACGGACAAGGAAGAAAACGAAAAACACGGCCTCGGTAAGGACAGTATAAGATGAGGCAAGGGGCGGGCCCCTATAACCAATACTTGGTGGAGTGCTTGCGTTGCGCTCACTCACAGACGGCGACGACGGCTCGCACCCGAGGTGAGAACAGACCCCGACACTCGAAACGAGGGAATGGGCGGCGGCCGGTACGTGAGACAAGGGCAGCAGCACAACGTGGCGGGCGCACGAAGAAAAACGCCCCCAATGCCGACTTGGTCTTGTTTTCTCCCCGCAGCCGCAGGAGGTCGGGCAGATCAACAGGCAGGGCAAGAAGAGCAGGGCAGGGCGTGGCAGGGACATCGAGTCAGTCAGATCCCTTTTTAAGAGAGGCCGGCGTTCACGGATGGTTTTTGTCTCAGTCGAGCAACGCCGGGGACAGGGGCAGACAGACAGACAGACACGCCCACCCCCCGGTCCGAGCGAGAGCAACCGAGATGTCCTCCCGCGTGTTCCTGGCGGATGCTTGTACATACAGTGGTTACGCCGTACCGGGCAGATTGGTTTATTGATGTCAAAATACGAATTATCGCGTGCTCCAGAGGGACGCGGCGCAGGTCCCTCTCTACTTCGTACCTTCGCTTCGTTCGCTCCGATACAGTAAAACGGTACCGTACAAAAGTACAATGCTGTTCAAGCGGCCCACGGAAAGGCTTCTCACTGGGGTTTCCCCCCCTTTTCTTTGCTTTTTGCTGGTGCTTGGCATCGACGCATCGCCAACCGCAGCAAACAAAAAAGCAACGCAGAGCGTGGGAGAAGGAGAAGGAGGCGGTGGTGAGCGGAAGTGCAAGTGCGCCTCCCCGCGAGGCATGTTTGGAGCGATACAGGCAAGACAGGGACAACAGGAGTGGTACGAAGTACACACCGTCACATCGGAGACGGGCACCGTCCAAGCTCACAGGGATCCCCTCGGCAGAACTGTCAACTTTGCCCTTTGCACCCCCCCTGCGCTCGACTTGACCGGAGCTCCCTCCCCTGGGGACCCCCTAGCGTCGATGGGATCCAGGATATTGCCAGTAATAAGGTATAACCTAGTTTTCCTCGAAGACAATATAGTAACCGCGGTGCCTGGATACCTGGCTCCGCTGCGGTGTGGTGCCCTGGTGGGTTTGCCACATCTGGTGGACAGACTGGGGGGGCAGCTGGGGTTTGGTGCGGCGCTCGCCCGGCACGGCGGCGCGGGGCGCTGGGATGAGGAGTTCGGGAGTCGGGAGTCGCACAGCTCGAGGCCGGGGGGCGTGTTAGTCGTTTGTCCATGGTCCCTACAAACCTTGCTGATGCCACCCACGACACCCCCCCGGCCGTCGGAATGCTCGCTGGTTCTCGTGCTCATACTTTGTTGCAAATCCACTCTGTGCTATAGTAGCGAGAGGCGAGCGTCCAAACCCCGGCCCGGCGTGGAAGTTGGATCTGTCATCGACACAAAGTGATTTGGTCGAGGGAGCGCATCACGACCTTTTGGCAAAGTGCGTCGTCCGATGGCTGGCTGGCCCGGCCTCTGCCGCGTGCGCTGTACTGGGATGACGTCGCTCCTGAGGGGGCCGGGCTCCGCGTGCGCCAATCGACCCCCAGCCGCACTGCGTAGTTGCTTCACCCTGGAAAATCGTCAACTAGAATCACTTCCCCGCCACAAACGAACGGCCCAAGGGCGGGCTTCGCAAGCCTCCCTCGACTTTTCTTCGTCCGGCGCCAGGCCTGCCCTTGCCCTGCGGGCGTCGAACCCGCCCGCTCGCCCCCTCGCGAGCTGCACAACCATGGGCATTGGCAAACACCTTTTCAAGGGAAATCGGCCAATCAATCACTTCCGCGGTCGCCTGCTGCTCGCGATGGCGGCGCCCCAGTTGGCTCGCGCGCCCATCCTGCACGGCGATGCAGCGCACGAACCTCGTCTCTGGGCGGCGCTGGAGCCACACGAAACGCCGGACAGTGGGCAGACGCAACGCGTTCAGCACGGCGCCGCAAGTGCTCGAGCGCACTCATGCACGCGTTCGTTTGTTTTTCCCGCTCTCGCCCACTCGCGCGGTTTCGACTTGTGGCGGTCCGCGTCCCCGTGCACGACCGCAAACTCTGTTCTGCGTCGACTGCATCGCGCGCCTCACCGCGGGCGCGCTCGGGCGAAGGAGGGGCCCTCCTCGCCAGGAACGAGGCACACAAAAACCCACGCTCAAGCTGGCTGCTAAGTTAATTCGTACCAGGCGGGACTCGTTCGGGCCTGGAAATTGCGCCCGGGCCGAGAAGCTACTCCTATGTACTGTTAAGCTCGGGCACGATGCCGGCCAAGTGCCGGCTCGCGAAATTCGTACCCGACAGGGGGGAATGAATCTGATATCCTCGTGGCGCAGCGTACCGATCGGCGCCCGCATCTGCGACATGTCAGCGACCCTACCTGGTGCGTCCCTCCATTGGGGGGCGCGGCTGGCACGGCGCCAGGGTATCCGACTCCGCCAAGGCGGCGGGAGCCGAGCACGGCAGCACCTCCCCGTGGCCAAGGGGGGGCAACTAGACTCGTATTGTACGTATAATGCTCGTGGCCGCCTTGCTGCGCCGTAGGCGGTAATAGCAAGTCATCTCTTGCAAAGGGGCAGCATGCCAAGCTTCCTCGGCCAGTATTTGCATTGCGGTATTGTCGCTGGAGCAGAGCATACGGAGATGTCAAACGCCAAAGACGGCAAATCGTGTAGCCGTTTGCAAGATCGCCAAAGGGCAAGACCTTCCAAACAGACAGCATAATGGCTCCAAGGACGTAGAGCCCTTTGCCTATTTTGGCCTGGCCATCCTTGTGTCGCGGGCCGCTGGACGCAGTGCACAGGGTGGTCCTCGCTCTCTGCCTGGGAATATTACGGTTCAGACCTCCTAATTTACAAGCGTATTGTGATAATAAGATATTATAGTGCGGGTACGCTGCACAGGCGAGGAAGCTTATATCTCCGCGAAGACATCCCACCGCAATCTGCCGTGGCCCACGCCTCCGCAGGGTGGGTGGTGGACCGATCGTCCAGGTCTTGTGCTGAAACAAGCTCAGCAGGCGTTGCTCGAGGTCAACGCTGAACGTCACGACGGGGTAGGTTGGCCAATATTTGTCACTGGTGTTATTGTATAATCCTCCGTGCTCACGGCGATTGACCGCGTCGAGACTCGTTCGTACGTCATCCGAATCCTTGTAGGCGTCGCTTCGAAGCGAACCCGTGGTGTCATTTTCAGAAGTCATCGCTAAGCGGACTAACCGTCAACAGATCGTCATGTTGAAGAGCCCCTTTCGGGCTGCGTACGTAACCCTCAATCGTACCATGGATATTATCATATCTCCGTATAAGCTTCGTCACAATTCACGTCTGGTGATTTATTCAGCAGTAACGAAGCTGGGCAGCGAGGTCATACAGTACGCGTAGGGGGCGCCAGTGCCTCGACATACGCAGCTCTTGCGTGCGGTTACGGACAGAGGCCGGAGGCGAAGGGGGTATGGGTTGCAAACAAGACCATCAAGACACGCAAAGGCACTGCGTGGACATGGCGGCATTGCATGTCACTATTTCACTCGCCCTGAGCAGCCTTCTCTATGCGATCTTCCTCATCACTGCGAAAAGGGTGCCATTCCGAGCCAAAGGACAGCCCGACTGGGCCGGAGCACGGACCCGCCCGCAATATCGGGCTCGGGCCGGGCGGCGCTTACCCACAGCGGCCGGCGCTGCCGACGAACGGTACAATACGCGGGTGGGGATGTCGGGGCGGCCGGCGGCGCAGATGCGGCGTCGCGTGGCCGTTAATAACGGTTCACCCATGCCGCAGCGGTGTGGCTTGTTCGTTCGGGCCTGTCATGCCGCTGGGCCCCGGGGTCGGCTGAAGCCCTGGGCTGCAATTCACTGGGCTGACGGCTACGTTAATTCGTCATGACAAGGTAGGGCTGTGGCTGCCTGGCGTTGGGGTCAGCGACATGCCACCTTTCTAGCTAATGGACACAGCTCCATGACGAAAGGGACGGGCGTCGACAGCGGCTCGGATTCTCGGGGTGTTGGCGGGGCCCGGGCAGGCCTCCGCACTCATACAACCGGCGCCAGTCCTCCTCCACCACCACCAGGCGCCACCACGTATTGCATGTGCTGCTGCGGCGCGGCATGGTGGCTGCAATGCAATTTGCGCGCCAGGCCCCATCTTTTCCCTGGCAGCTCACCTACTAGCTCTGATGCCTTGCGGTGGAATTGCTGATCGATGGTGAAGGCAGCCTAGGACTCCAGGACTCTGCGAGTGGACGGCCTGAAACTTTGTGACAGGCGACTGCCAAATCTGGTGATACCACGCGCTGTGTGCACCGCAGCGCTGTACATTGCTGGCTCGGCAAGAACAGGCGATGGGTCCTTCCCTGGACCCAGACGCGGTGTGTGACTCAGACTGCGCGCGCGCACCGCTGGGATATGGCGACGGAAGGAGCTTCCAGAAGCCAGACGCCAGATCTCCTTCCATTGCTGCGGGTCGTTGTGCAGTCATGACACTTGGTTTCGCGGAGACGGGGGCTTCATGGAGGCCTGCATGAGCCCGATATCCATGGATCTGTCGACAAGGACCTCGGGCGCCCTTCCCGTACGGGCTGCCGCCGCGTCACCCATCTGCATGTCCGCGACGTTGGCGTCCGACGTTGTTGCAACTTTAATCCGACCGCGCGTGCCAGCTGACGGCCGTTTCCAAATGTCGTATCTCGCGTTTGCGAGCGGCAGACGGGGCCCCTTCTCTTGGCCCAGCCGCACCAAAACGTCTAGCGTCGACGCGACCTCCCTGTTAGTGCCTCGTCCGGGTATTGTCAACCTTCGTGCCCTGATAGGTGGCTTATAACCCTCCTGAGTTCACGGTCACCTGCGCCTTCGACCTTGTGCACAACGTCGGGCCACCTTCAACCCGTTGATTCTTCTTCATTGCCGCTCGCACAATGGGCCAGAGATAGACCGCTGGTAGTCTCAAGATGGCCAGCGCGACCGGCGAAACGGCCGAGAAGACGGTGCCGTCGACGGCAACCGAGAGCGACAACCCGTCGCCACCGGCGCCACGGGGCGACCACGATGCTCCTCCGGCGGAGGCAAAGGCCCGCCCCGAGCGGACGGCCTCGTTCAACGACTACCTTGTTTGTCGAGCCTGCTTTTGGCCTCCGATATGTTGCTGACGAACATCAGCGTGTCTTTCGCTATGCCAATAAATGGGACTTTGTCGCTTATGCCGCCGGCTCTTTGGCGTCTATAGGGGCCGGCATCACGCTACCCCTGATGAACGTGGTCTTTGGTAAGGATGCATATCAACGACCCGCAACAACGGCCGAGATTCCTGACAATCGCGTGCAGGCAGGTTTGTCAGTGACTTTACGGGATTCGATTCAACTGGCTCCAACTCGTCCCTACAAGACCAGTTTCGAAGCAACCTCAGCCGTCTATCGTCAGTCCAGACCCTGCCACTTGTCTAACGGTCAAGGGCCATCGCCTTTGCTTGTACTTACGTCGAATAGCTTGTACATGTTTGGCCTTTTCTTGGGCCGGCTGGTGCTCAACTACATCAACAAGGTACGATTGCTTCACACGTCCTAGCTCCTCCGTAATGATTGACTTGTGTTGCACAGCTTTGCTTTCGCATGATTGGCATCCGGCTGTCATCCGCCATTCGCTTGCATTACCTTCAACGTCTTTTCGCTCAGAGCATCCATGTTCTGGACTCCATGCCTCCTGGTTACGCGACCAGTACGATCACGACAACAAGCAACACTCTCCAATTGGGCATTTCCGAGAAACTTGGCGTCTTCATCGAGTTCATGTCAACCATCATTGCTGCCATCGTTATTGCCTTTACTTACAGCTGGTCCTTGACCCTTGTTACCTCCTCGTCAATCCTCTTCATCCTCATCACAGTCAGCACATTGTTGCCCCTGATCGTGAAGACTCATGGGCGAATGACAAAGGTACGTTTCAAACCTGCGCTCTTGAGCTTTGTCACTGACAAGTATGGCCCGGGAATAGTCAGAGGGCAAAGCTTCCGCCGTCGCAAGCGAGACCATGGATAGCATTCGAATGATTGTGGCTTGTGGTGCGGAGTCGCGCATCGCCCGGAAGTACGCCACTTTCGTTGAGGAGACCAAGAAGCACGCCCGCTTCATGAGTCCGTTTGTGGCTCTTCAATTTGGACTCATTGTGAGGGACACCTTGCTTGCCGCATGGCGTTGCGCTAACAAATGCCTAGTTCTTTGCTGTCTTTTCCGCATTTGCTCTCGCCTTCTGGTATGGCACCAAGTCCCTGCTAGAAGGCAGATTAGACAATGTTGGCACTATCGTCATGTAGGTCAACCCTTCTTCTCCGACTTTTGCGGTACGGACTCTAAACTTGTCAGCGTTCTACTCTCCGTGATGATGGTCGTTTTCTCTCTGGAGCGCACCTCGAACCCGATGCTGGCTGTCGGAAAGGCCACGGTGGCTGCCTGCCAATTCTTTACCGTAATTGATGCTCCCTTGCCTGACAAGGGCCATTTGCGAGACCCCGACGTGTCTGCCACGGATGACATCAAGTTCGAAAACGTCACGTTCGCCTATCCCAGCCGCCCCCACGTCAAAATTCTGGACAACTTGAACCTCACGATCGAGTCGGGAAAGCTAACGGCGATCGTTGGCCCCTCCGGCTCTGGGAAAAGCACAATAGTTGGATTGATCGAGCGGTGGTACACCCTGAAGGAGCAATATGCCATTGAGAAGGCTGTTGAACAGAAGAAGAAAAAGAAGAAGAAGAAGTCGAAGAAGGGCGAACAAGAGGAGGAGGATGAGGACGACGAGGAGCCTGGCGTAGCCGAGCCTGAGGAGACCGGACCTCCGATCCAGCTGAGTGGCAGAGTTCTTACCTCTGGCCACTCCGTCGACGAGATCGAGTTGAAGTGGTGGCGGTCGCAAATCGGGCTTGTCCAACAGGAACCGTTTCTCTTCAACGATACCATCTTCACCAATGTGGCCAATGGTCTGATAGGCTCTCAGTGGGAAAAGGAGTCGGAGGAGAAGAAAAGGGAATTGGTCAAAGAGGCCTGCAAAGAGGCTTTTGCGGACGAGTTCATTGACAAGCTGCCGGATGTGAGTCATGTCCCGGCGATGTCGCGAGAATCAGCTAATGGGTGTTACAGGGCTACAACACAATTGTGGGCGACGGAGGCGCCAAGTTATCTGGTGGCCAACGCCAGAGGATTGCCATTGCTCGATCGATTGTTCGCAAGCCGAAGATCCTGATCCTCGATGAGGCCACGAGCGCGATAGATGTCCGCGGCGAGCGCATAGTACAAGCTGCTCTCGATCGAGTTGCCCAGAACCGAACTACGATTACAATCGCCCACCGTCTATCAACGATCAAAAAGGCCGATCGCATCGTTGTCTTGAAGAAGGGACAGGTTGTTGAAACCGGGACACACCAGAGCCTCATGGTTAAGGACGGCGGCGTCTATGCTGCTCTCGTCAATGCCCAGGCCCTGTCCCTCGGCGGCCCAACCGAGGCGAGCGAGGAGCACGCCAGCACGGATGGCGACAAGACTTCGCTCGAGCGCAAGAGAAGTCGCGCTAAGTCCGAGGAACACGCCGCTCGCCCCGAAGAGAAGGAGAAGAACCGAAACATCTTCGCCAGCTTCGGCCGCTTCTTCTATGAGTCGAACCAGTACTGGTGGCTCATGGGGCTTACCATCTTCTTCTCCGCATGCGCTGGAGCCGCAATTCCACTCCAAGCGTGGCTCTTTGCCCAGATTGTTGTCGTCTTCTCGCCGACAGAAACCGACATGAAGGGCGAAAGCGAGTTCTGGTCCCTCATGTGGGTTGTCCTTGCCGTTGGCACCGGCCTGGCCTACTTTGGATGCTTTCTTGCCTCCACGCAGATGGCGGCCATTATCCGCGCCAAGTATCAAAAGCAGTACTTTGAGGCTATTCTGTACCAAAAGACGTCTTTCTTTGACGAGGAAGACCATTCTCAAGGCACCATGACGGCCAGAAGCTCGGGAGACCCGCAGAAACTGGAAGAGCTCATGGGCCCCAACATGGCCAGCGTTTATATCGCGGTCTTTAACCTCGTGGGGTCACTTGCGATCGCCTTTTCCTTTGGATGGAAGCTTGCGCTCCTCGCGTGCTGCGTGGTCATGCCGGTCAGTATTGCTACCACGTACTGGCGGTTCAAGTACGAGATTGAGTTCGACAAGATGAACAACGAGGTCTTTGCCGAGAGCTCCAAGTTTGCGTCAGAATCAATTGGAGCATTCCGGACCGTCGCATCTCTCACGTCGGAAGATGCCATCTGCGATCGGTTCGAGAAGCTCTGCCGAGGACATGTTGTCACGGCATTCAAAAAGGCTCGATGGGTCAGCTTGCTATTCGCCTTCTCCGACAGCGTGTCTATGGCGTGCCAGACTTTGATCTTTTACTACGGCGGCAAGCTCTTGGCCGACGGCGAGTACACCGCTTTGCAATTCTTCGTCTGCTTCATGGCCACGATCCAGTCTGGTGAGGCTGCGGGTCAGGGCCTCAGCTTTGGTCCGAACGCCGCGCAAGTCACCGCTGCGTCGAACCGTATTATTAACATGAGGGAGTCCCGCCTTCGCGAAACTTATTCTGAAAAGGAGTCCATCCCTGACTCTCAGGGGGGCATGAAGATTGAGCTGGAAAATATGCACTTCTCGTATCCCACACGAGATGTTCCGGTTTTCCAGGGGCTCAACCTCACAATTGAAAAGGGTCAATTTGCGGCACTGGTCGGGGCTTCTGGCTGCGGTAAGACGAGTATCATCTCGTTATTAGAAAGGTTCGCCACATTCAGGAGAGTTGTTTGTCAATGTTGTAACTGACGGTTGCCACAGATTCTACGATCTCGACAAGGGCCGGATTCTTTGCAATGGCAAGGACATTAGCCAAATCAATGCCTATGCGTACCGCAAGCATCTGTCTCTTGTGGCTCAAGAGGCGAAGCTCTTCCAAGGTAGGGCATTTTAGTGCTGATGTCAACTCGCCAGGTCTGAAGCTAAATGCAACCCAGGAACCATAAGAGAGAATGTCCTCCTCGGCGTCGACGACACTGCCGTCACCGATGAGCAGCTCCATCAAGCCTGCCGTGACGCCTCAATCCACGACTTCATCGTGTCGCTCCCCGAGGGATACAACACCAACATTGGCTCCAAGGGCGTGACTTTGTCGGGAGGGCAGAAGCAGCGTGTCGCTATTGCGCGTGCGCTCATCCGTGACCCCGACATCTTGCTCCTAGACGAGGCCACGAGCTCGCTCGATTCGGAGAGCGAGAAACTGGTTCAGGCGGCGTTTGAACGCGCAGGCAAGGGCCGCACGATGGTGGTGGTGGCTCATCGCCTGGCGACGGTGCAGAACGCAGACGTCATCTTTGTGCTCGGCGAGGGCAAGCTCCTCGAGAAGGGCAACCACAACGAGCTGTTGAGCAAACGTGGCGTCTATTGGCAAATGGTAAGCGCACCTGTTGTCTATCCTCTCTCGCTGGCGGAAGTTGGCTAACATCAGTCTCAGTGCCAAAGCCAAGCCTTGGATCGTTGAAGCGGGCATCAATGAACAGGCACTCTCGTATGTGCGCGCGACATTTGACGGGCGTTTTGGGACTCACAACTCTAGAAAACATGGCATTGCGCGCTATCAGGGAACATCTATGTAATACTTCTCGCATATAAAATATTGGACTGAGCCTCTCCACTGCGCTGGGGCGAGAACATGACGCTGGAAACAACATGTCGCTTCGTTCCTAAATGCATCATGGTCCTGGGTAGATGTTTGATTTTTGAGAAGGTAGCCCCACGAGATGTTTGAGTAGAAGTCTATGCCTCATGTCGAGGACCGCTGAGCCCATCAAGCCTTCATCCCCCACAGGGCGTCGAGCTCCTTCATAATCTCGTCGACGTGCGTCATGACAAAGTCGTGGCTGCCGGGGAGGACCCTCCAGACGACGTTGTCCTTGCCGCCCGCGAGGACGAGGCCGTCGCGGGTGTAGTCGTCGACGTCGATGATCTCGTCGGCCTCGGCGAGGAGGACGGCCGTGGTGCCGGGGGCGCGGGCGGCGAGGCGGCGCCACTCGTCGTGCTGCTCCGTCAGGGGCGCGAAGCGGATGCACGACATGAAGGCCGGGACGAAGCCCTCGTGGTGCACCACCATCCAGCGGACGTACTCGAGCACGCGGTCCTCGAGCGGCGTGTGCTTGCTGCTCGGGTGCAGGTCCGTGGCCTCGGCGGCGGCGGCGACGGCGACGACATCAGCCGCCGCGGAGGCAGAGGCAGAGGCCGAGGCGGACGCGGACGCGGATGCGGCGTTCTTGGAGAGGCGCGAGGCGGCAATGGGCCGCTGCAGGCGCTGCTTGGTGATGCGGGCGAGGATGGTCTCGGGGACGGCGCCCGAGGAGAAGACGAAGCGCGTGAGGGCGCCGAAGCTCTCCGGGCGGATGAGCCCCGCGGGGGCGAGCAGGACGAGCGACGAGACGAGGCGCGGGAAGGCGTTGGCGAAGTGCACGGCGATGCCGCCGCCGAGGGAGTAGCCCACGAGGCGGAACGCCCCGTGGCCCGTCCACGCGAGGGGGCTCGAGGCCAGCACGCAGAGGATCTGCGACGAGTAGAGGCGCTCGTCGTGGGGGAGGTCGCCCACGCCGTCGGAGAAGCCGCGCCCAAAGAGGTCCTGCCGTCCATCATTGCCGACGTTAGTTCCAACACACACACACACGAACACACACACAAGGGCCCCAGGAAGGAGGGAGGTCAGGAAAAGTCCAAGCCGCCGCGGCGGGGGGCGTATGTGTGAGGAGTTGTAAGAAAAACTCACGTAGAGCATGACGCGGCAGCCGCGGTCGGCCAGCGCGCGGGCGATCCTCGTCAGGGTGATGCACGACGTGCTGATGCCGTGCACGAAGAGCACCTTTTCGCCGTCCTCGGGCCCAAACTCGTAGACGCGCACCGAGCCGTACGGCGTGTCCACGTCGCGCGCCCCCGGGAACTCGTCGGGCTGGTACACGAGCCGCCGCAGCTCCTCGCTCGACGCGCGCGGGATGACGGTCCGCAGCGGGCTGCGCAGCACGCGCTGCCGGCGCGGCCAGAGCGTCGCCCGGGCGAGCACGAGCAGCGACGCCGTGGCGATGGCCGTCGTGGTGACGAGCGCCGTCGCCGCCGATGGCGACCACCACCACCACCACCGCAGGGTTGAGCCGCTACCTCCTCCTCCTCCTCCTCCTCCACCACCTACTCCGACACTGGCAGCGACATCCATGGCAGCAGCAAGCAGCAAGCAGCAGCAGTGCCCCTCGCGTTTCGGCTTCGAACCGGCCCTTCGACGTAACGAGCGTGCGCGCTCGCGAGAGGGGGAGAGAGCCACTAAGACCCGGGTAATAAGTAGGAAGAAAGTTGAAGTGAGCTGACGGGCGCGCAAGGCAGTAATGGACTGGACGAGGCAGCAGGGGGGCCGGCCGCGAGCAGCCCACGTGGGATGAACGTGCAACCTCCAAGCAGCGAGGCGCGGAGCGACGACAGGAATCACGTATTGCGCGCGGAAACGAAGGCAAAGGAGGACGGGGCCAGGCGCGAACGAAAGGCAGCACCAAACAGTCTCGCTTCTGTGGCTGCGAACTGCGAACAAAGGGCGATGGAGCAGAAATCGTCACAGAAACAAAAACAGAAGACGGTCCAGGCACGCAAGGTCGTTGAAGAGCACAAAGTGTGTCGTGAGTCGGGGCGATGACGTTCTCGTTGCCGGCACCCTCGGCGTCAGACTACCACGCCTGGCGGGCGTCAGTGGGGCGCAGTCGGCGGGCATCGGGCGCCTGGGGCAGCTCAGCTTCCCCTGGCTGGCGCGGCTGAGGCCGCCACATGAGACACCACGGCTTTGACATCCCACTCGTGGCATCAACTCAGATCCGGCTTGGGGCCTGACATGCAACCTGTCACGGGCTCACGGCATATAGAGTTCCTGCGTACATGGACCCTGTAAATCCCATGCGTAGAGTCGCGAGGGGTGACATGACACGATGGCATGCGCAACGCTGCGGGTGCCAACGTACAATGCTGTTCAACACTGGCAAGACTGCAATTGATATGCAAGTACCGGGCACGGGCGCAAACATGCCGAGCCCGTCGTCCATCGAGATCGGACGCTTGACAGGCCCGCTCTACTGCCGGCACTCTTGCATGCACCCTCATGATGCTCCCTCATGACGCATGGCCCTGCAGAGCCGTCACTCAACCCAGCCCTACCGCCCAAGCCGCAGCCCCCAACTGCTGGATGATCTGACAAAGATTCTCGACTAGAGGTGGCAGCTCTTGCCCGCGAGTAAAGTTTGACCGCAGCACGTCTTGCGCAATCTCCATGCAGGCTCGCGGATCGTGAATCGAGGCTTCCCTCACCATGCCTCGAACAGCGGGAGCATTGATGAGCGGCCGCCCCTGGTCAAAACCGATGAACCGCTGAATCGCTATCGAATCAGAGCCATCTAGGTAGATGGCTTCGCTCTGATGCTGCGAGGCCGTTCGCTGCCGTCGCAACGCCCGCACCACGACGCCATATGTCCACAAGGTCAGGGCCGCGTGGTGCACAGCGACGGCATAAAAGTCCTTGAGGTGATCTTGCGGAAAGTATCGTGCGTATCGCAAGACCTGGGCCGCGCACCACACGGCAGACCGCGACTCCGAGCTCGTTGCCCACTGCTGCAGCACTGGGTAGATCCGACGTGCTTGATCCTCGCCTTCCTTGCCTGAGAAGAGCTGCATGTCGTCTAGAGACACGTGCAAGTTCATCATGAGCAGGTTGAGGAGCAAGTGCTCCCGTGGCGACATGTCCCGCCACCCAGATGCAATGAGCTGAAAGCTCTGCAGGTCCTTTACCAACTCCTGGTGACGGGAGTCGAGGAGCAGGTTCGGGTTTCCTCCCAGACTGTTCGCGTATGACCGAGTCTTGTGAACCGAGCTCAATTGTCGATACTCCAGTATGAGTGCCCAGAAGCCGTGCAGAAAGATGGATATGGAGTATTGTACGTCAAGCCGCGCGTGGTTTTGCGTCAGCAGGTGAACGTCGTGGAAAAGGTCGCCGACCGATGGCGGTCGCTTCTGGTGTCCGGCGTTCTTCTCCAGGTATCGCCTCTTCCATTCAAGAGCGTTCTCCGCAAACCAGAGGTCCCGCGATTCCGGCAGCGGAAGGGTGAGCTCCGAGTACGAGAGGCACGGATTCGTCAATGTAGTCATGGACGTCTGAGCCTCGCGTATATAACAATGAAACACGAGCCTGTTCCGTCAGTCAGGTGGCGGCGCTCCACGTACGGTATCACAAGGACGTACCGCTTCCATTGTTCCATTTCCACCCAATGTTTCCATTTCTGCTCAAGGACCTCGCCCTCATCAGTGACGTCAACTGCAGTAACTGGGTACTTTGATCGTTGGAATTTCCCTCGGTAACGCATCATCTACAGCAATGATGAGATCAGGCCGCTCTGCAAAGGGCACTTGGCATACGTACCGTCACTGGGATAACGAGATGGCATTCCGCAATTTCCATTTTCCGTCGATTCCCGCTCCAAAGACCGTGATCTTGGAGCAATATGAGGGATTGCACGAGGCCCAGCCTTTGAATGGCTGTATTGTTCTCCTCAAACTAGTGACATGTCAGCGGAGACTCGTGGCACATCGTTGGAGTTGTCCTGTCCATACTCGGCCTGGTATGGTAATGCCTGTGGAGTAGCAGTCAGAACAACGTTTAGCTGAGCGTGAAAGGGGTTGCACTCACGAACTGCTTCTTGCACGGCGAAGCCAAACTTGCGGAGAGTAGGCACTGGCGTCAGAGAGGCTCCCATTGCGGCGGCCATCGCGACCCATTCGGGCCATTGCTCATTCAATCTGAAAGTCGGAAAGTGTATCCATTCGTCGACTTGGCAAGCCTGTGACGCCAGAAAGATGTGCACCAACGTGTCCATAACTTCAACAGTCGGGAACGAGGCGGCAACGCGGTTGGCTGTGGCTGCGTTTTGGTAGCATGTTGAGAGCAGTATGGCGAGAACGCGATCTCTCGTAGGTTGCTCCAGCTTCTCTGCGACCACCCTCTCAAGCCGCTTCCGGCTCTCCTGGAACTGAGCGCTCGACATCTCCTTGGCGGGTACGGCGAGAAGGCCTTGCTCTCGATATCCAGTATCGTTGTTTTTGGGGTCCCAGCGCCATGGCGACTCGGTCCATGCTTGGACCAAACTCTGGCGCATTTGAGCAATTTCGGCAGAGTGTTCTCCGTGCGTGACGACATCCTGGGCCGGCAATGTTCCCTCGGCCATACCGTCCAAGTTCCAATGATCAAGAAGACCGAAGTCTATTTCAGTGAGTTCCAGATTCGCATTATCACAAAAGTCGAGCACGGCGAGCCCCTGAGAATCGGGCATCCTCTGTGCGTCAAGGGGCTGCTCGTACAGCACGTCTCGCAGGAAGTCAAAGAACGGTGACCTGTTCATATCCATGATGGCATTCGGTAAGGCGTTATTTTGCTCAAGCGTCTGGCGATATGTCTGAGCATTGGCTGCCGCAATGTTAGCATCTGGTAGCTGGGTGAGATGGGATCAATGCCTTGCCTTGGTCGGCGCCGGTGTCCGCTGTGGAGAGCCGCCCTTCATCCAGTTGGCAGGATGCTGACTGTGAGAGTGGTGTGCTCTTTGTGGTGGTGGCGTCTGGGCCAGAGGTTGAGACGCTAGGGACTGACCGCCCTTGCCCGAGTGACGCCGGGGAGGATGAGTCTGGAGCGTCTCCGGCCCCGACGGTGGTGTTGGACTGAGATGGCTCGCGCGCGGTTGTATGGGCGGTGGCTGACAAGTGGACCAAATGCATGGCAGCTGCTGAGCCCGCCTCGGATGCGACGCACGAGAGTTTTCGGTTGACGCAACGGCGACATGGCTTCGTTTCATCACACTTTACGCGAGCAACGGCGCAGGGCCGGCATGCTTGCGTAACCCGCCCAGCCCCTGGAGACGATGTCGTCCGGCGACGCTTCTGCGGCGTGTCGTTGTCATGGTTTGCGACGTGTCTGCGTAGGAGATCCTTACGAGCGAACGATTTCTGGCATATCTCACATACGAAACGCCGGCCGAGGGTGTGCGTCTGGACGTGCCTGACCAGATGCTCTGGGCGAGAGTAGGATCGTCCACAGTCGCGACAGGCGTACAAGTTGTTGCCTGCGTGGCTCTTAGTCGACGAGGCTGTGCCATGCCGGGTGGGAGTCTGGTCTGGCGGCGGCCGCAGAGCGGCACCAGCGCCAGAAGAGGCTGGAGGCACAGATGGGGGCGAGACGGAGCTATTGCCGTGCATAGGCGCATGGACGACGTGAGGCTGCGAAGGCGTCAAGCCAAGAGAGTTGCCAGCAGATCCGGTGCCGGGACCAGGAACAGGAACAGAGACGGGGACGGAGACGGGGACGGCGGCAGCGAGGGCAGTGTGGTGAGGAAAGTCGGACGACGTGTCGAGTCCGGTGACGTGGGCGATAGGCTGGGGAGGATCGAGGATGTGGGAAAGGGACGGCCCGGCCATTGCGAAGCCCCTCGCGTAGCGGGATGCGAATGGCGGCGCGCCGGCCAAGGAGGACCGCGAGTCGGGGGCCACGACTCCAAGGCTCGGCAGTGGTTGACCGGAGGCCGCGGCACGTCTTGAGGCCTACATGAACCGGCTGATGTGGCAGGGGATCCTGGTAGCGCCGCGCGCCGCGTAGCTGGAGGTGAGGGCTCGAGATCGGGGGTGTTACGCGGCGAATGTGGTGAAACAGAGGCGGGCGTGGAGGCTGAAGGTCGTTCGGATGAAGGGGGAAGTGAGGCCGAAGACGGACTTGGAAATGGACGAGGTACCCTGAGCGGCGGCAGGAGCCGTGGGCCGTCTGCAAAGCTAGGTCGAGGCAGGCAAGGCGTCGCCAAGTGAGTGCCTGGATGAGACGACGGGACGGAGTGCCTCAAGGACTGCAGAGAGAGACGACGTTTGTAAGTGACACATGTCAAGGTGTTTCTGGTTAGCGAAGCTTGGGCGATGAGACGAGACGGTCACTAAGGTACAGCGCCCACGGACATTGGACGAGTTAGGTACTTCGTAATGGAGGAAGCAGCAGTGGAGGTGGAGGCACGAAAAAAGGCAAGCGCTCCCGCCAGACTGAGGAAGCTGCCATGCGATGGCACTAACAAGGTCATGGGGGTACCAGGCGGCTCCACGGGACGTTGCCTGCAACGCAAGTACCTCCCTTTACCCTTTAAGACGGCTCAGCCAGCCCAGCGGCCTGCTGGAGGGACTGAGCACGACACCTACACGACGACAACCACGACCACGCGCAGCCCTGAACCCTGGCAGACGACAACCCTGAATCCACCACGGCACGGCGATTTTGTGACAACCTCTCCTGCCAAGACGCCCTGTGCACGCAAAATCGGCTGGTTTGCGCCGCGAGCCCGGAATCCGTGCTCTGTACGGACTAGTCGGCCCGGCAGGCAAGGGCAAGAGCGCGCTGGTCGTTGGGTCCCCTTGTTGCCCCCGCGCTCTGGCCGCGTATCAGGGTGACGAATGCGTCGAACCTTCGACGGGAGAAGATGCTGTGGAGACGCTCATCAATCGACGGCGTGCGATCCACGCATCGCGAATAACGAAGCGCGTCAGTGAGGGCCGAACCAGTCTTCCACCCTCAAGTCTCACCCTCGACCGCGCACCGCGGGCTGACCCCGGCTTCCCGACTACGTCGTGCGCCCTCGGTTGAGTCGACTGGACGCGGGTTGCATGCCACAGGCCTGGGCACAGACGCCACGTCACGGACTGGCCATAGTACAGAGCGCCTGATAACGGGTTTGGCCCAGCTGTCGTGATGCTACTTGCGCGACGTGTCTGCCGCGCCTCCGGACCAGCGACGGGGCACTATCTCGGCCGAGTCACGATGTCAAGTCGCCGATTACATACTGTCCCTTGCTTTTGGCCCCCAAGGACATGCTCTCGCCCGAATTGCTTCTTCGTACCAAACTGGGGATCAAGGGCGGATTCTCTGCCGCGCATGTCTCGGGCTCCCCGATGGGTCTCGAGGAACGCGCCACTCATGCGTTTTTGACCTTGGTCGACCGCGCAGTGAGCTCTCGAGCAAAGAAGCGTCGCTGGAGAGGAACAGCCCAGCACCTCTGCGGCGTGGATCCCTGCAGTCGGCCAGGTCTGGTGAAACGGAGCAGACGACTGAGATGGCGCTGGCGAGCGAATGGCACGGCTACGTACCCGGCGCCTCATTCTCCTCTGTCTCGCCTGCTCAAAGTTTAGCACGCCGGCACTTGGCAGCTGCCCGCGCCGCCATAACACTTCCAGTCGACAGGGTTCCAGACCCAGATTGCCTGGCGCCTCCAATCTATTGTCTAAGACCACGGCGCCCAGAGACGGCACGCCAGCCGCCTTTCTTGCCTGGCCTCTGCGTCTTTCGTCAACTCTGCCGCGGAGACGATTCGCTCAGACCCGGGCGGACTGGTCATGCTGTGTCGCCTGCACTTGTGCTGCAGAACGGGTCTGGATTCTGGATGCTGGTGGCGCCTGCGTACTGCACGATGTTCCCCATAGACTAGTCGACGCCAAAACGTGGCCGCGGAGCATGTGCTGTGCAGGGTGTGTACTTGGCGTGGCCTCGAAGCAAGACAGCGCTCGAATCTGGCAGCCCATCTGGCACCTCTGCTCCGCACATGGTTCATGCTGCAGGGGCTAGTTGGCCCCAATCACACATCCCAAGCGGCTGGGTCGACGACGGAGGGTCAAGAAGGCGGATCCCTGGTGCCAGCTGCATGGCGTCTGTCTGGACTCTGGACGATACACCAGGGACTGGAGGGAGAAGTGCCCGTGGCCGCCGTCTCCCGAACAAGTGTTCCCTCACCATCGGTAAAGTTGACGGTAATCTGGATGCGTAACCGCTTACCATCCATCCATTCAATCGAGGTAGTGTTGCACCTGGGGCGCAAAAGGAGCTACGACGCATGCCTTTGGTCTGGTGCAGACAGCTCCAATGGTCACAACAGGAGTCTATTTGGTCGCGCAACCCGGCACGGCAGCTGCCGCCACTTCGACGGGCTGAGCCCCAGCATTGGCACGACCCTGGGCGAAATAACATTGGCTCTTGGCTTGCGATACTAGTGGATCGGAGTTGAGCCTTTAGTGCGCATTCGCCGTGCCACCCTACGGCATTCGTCGCACTGTGAGTATAATCCAAGTATAAGCCTGCCGTCCCACCAACTAGAAGCCACCTCGGTCTGAGACCCCAGCTCCAGAGTCACCTTGCCCTTCAGCTCCTCCAAGCCATGCGGGCTCTCCCGTCTGGTATATATTGTACGACGGAGCTCGCAAGCGACAATGTAAGGCTCGTCGCCCGTCTCCCGCCGCAATATTTGGTTGCCATCTGTCTGCCTCTGGCGGGCCACGGACCAAGGACATCATCATCATGACCAAAGGCGACGTCGATATAGCAGCAAATCTAGACCCCAGGTTTGAGAACCCGAGGGATGAGAAGCTGCGAAAACAGACGTTGGGCAACGTCCGGTTGATGCACCATGACAGCAAGGGCCTCATTCTGGTTCCCAGGCCGACGTCTGACCCTAATGATCCTCTGAACTGGTGAGGCACTCTTGGCCCCTCGGCTTGCGAGCCTTGTGTCTGACGAGACAGGCCGAAATGGCAAAAGTATTGCATCACTGCGATCGTGTGCCTGACAATGGCCATGTGCACCTTTCTGGCGGCAGGACCGAGCATTGCCATCGTCCAGACAGCTGCAGACTTCTTTCCCGAATCTGTGGCGGACAACACGCTCATGTCATATGCGATCCCCAGAGTTGCCTACTTCTTCACGACAACATCACTGTTGCATGGCACAGGGAACCTCATCTGGGTGCCCTTGGCCAACAAATGGGGGCGCAGACCGGTTTATGTACTCAGCTACCTCATATACTTTGCCGCCTCAGTCTGGCTCATATTCGACAAGTCATATGGCGGGTTTCTAGCCGGGCGAATCCTCATGGGATTCGGCGCCGGGGCCGCCGAGACCATTGCCCCCGTCTCGATTGTCGACCTCTTCTTCCTGCACGAGAGGGGCCGCATCATGTCGGCGTATACCGGCTTCCTGTCTATCGGCGTTGCGGCAGGCATCATCATTTCGGGACTCATCACGATTAACCACTCTTGGCGAACCATCTACGAGGTCGGCTCCGCCGTGGTTGGCCTGGGTTTGCTCCTGGCCATCTTCACCCTTCCCGAAACGGCTTATCCTCGAGAAAGCTGCAGCGACAGCAAGGCTCCGACCTCGACGGGTGAGCTAGCAGCCGCGAGATCGGCCAAGAGCTTCTTCGAATCGACAAAGGGCCCGGCTATCACACGGGAAAGCTACCTTCAGTCTCTTCGACTCTTCCGAAGAACGTTGACCGACGAAAATATCTTGAAGATGATGATCCGGCCGTTTGGTTTGATCATCCTTCCTCCGGTGCTTTGGGCTGCGCTCGTTCAGGCCGCCACGATTGGCTTCCTCGTCGCCGTCACATCCAACGTGGATGCTGCGTTCCAGCAGGCCTACCACTTCCAGCCATATCAAGTTGGGCTGTGTTTCTTCTCGGCAATTATTGGCTCACTGGCCGGCGTCCCAGCCGGCGGTATGCTGGGAGACAAAGTAGCTGACTGCCTGACCAAACGGAACGGCGGCATCCGCGAGCCAGAAATGCGCCTCCCTGCGATGATTCTGTCTTGCATCACGGCTCCGCTGGCGTTGGTACTCTTCGGCGTTGGGGTACAGCATCAGCTTCACTGGATATGTCCGACCATTGGCCTTGGCCTTTGTGAGTTTTTCTTACTGGCCCATGGGGGACTTTAATTGCTAATTCAACTGCAGTGAACTTTTCCATCACTCAGGCCGCAAACATCTGCCTCGTCTACGTCATCGATGCCTATCGTCCTGTTGCCGGCGAGGTCACTCTCGCCGTCATGGGCTTCAAATGTATAGTCGCGCCACCCAGAGACTACTCCTTCCCTTTGTGCAAAGACTGACCATATTGATTCAAGCGCTCTTTGGATTCCTTCTGGCTTTTGAGACGAACCCCTGGATCAACGAGAGCGGCTACCAGAACGCGTATGGCGCCATGGCGGGCATCTCTGCCGGCGTGCTCATCTTATGGGTGCCGCTGTACTTCTGGGGCAAGAGGATCAGGCACAGGACGTGGAAGTGGCCGATAATGTCCCTCGTCCACTGGAACGACGACCGAGAGGTCGGGGAGTAGGGTGGCTCGGGCAGTGTATATATCCTAGCGTAACAGTTTGAAGGCAACTTTGCATCTCTGAGGCTCTTGTCCTTGGTGACGGGAACGGCGAAGATGCTGCGCTCAGCCGAGCATGCGAGTCGCCATAAGGACATGTATATGCCCTTCATCGGCCAAGAGCCATTGCGCAGACGCAGGACGCCCGAGGCGCTGCCTCAAGAGGCAACTCCCTTCATCCCATTAAAGTATGCCGATTAGGTGCCTGAAGAATGGAGATCAGGGCGCTAGCAGGCGGGTTTGCCGCACTGTTGACCCCGCCTGACCCTGGCAGATGACGGGGCGCAAGTGTATTAGGTAAGTTTTGGTAGGCTCCCCTCGCCCACTGGTGCCGCCCGGATCGCTAAACGCCACCTCCAGGACGATAAGCTGCGCTGTCTCCCGATAAGCACGTTGGCTGTCATGCCTGACGCAAGGGGTCATCGCGTGTCCCTGCCGACTACCAGTCTTCCCCAGGTCCCTTGACGACCGCGATACTTTCGCAGTCTTCTGCTGGCGCCCCCTATTTGGCTGCAGCAGACTCCGAGATGAGTCTGGGCGGTGAGTACAAATACGACCATCGTGGTTCAGTGGTCCGCTTGTGGCGGCGACATGCCCCGGCGAAACAGCCAGGCAGCGGCTGACCCGACTTTGCCAGACGCGAGGCGCAACAAGACGTTGAACGCTACATAAAGTTCGGGGCGACGGGCACACGGACGATTTCCCCTTCCGACACACCAACATCGACTCTCGAGAACAAGTGCCGCATTGCCGCATACCCGTCCGGAGCCGCGCAACGTACGACTGCACGAGCCACGGCCCATGTCCTAACATGGCGAGCCCATCCGCCCATCACGGGCCTACCTCCCTCGCGGAGCTAGAGACATCAGATCAAGATCGGCACGGTTCATCCGTGGATGCAGATTCGATGGAGAATACTGATCAGCTGCCCGCCTCGACGGGCTGCCCCTGGCAGACAAGCGAGTTTCACGACGGAGAGTGCTCCCGCTACTTCGATTGCCCGGGTCATCAAATCGCAAGAGGAACGTCGACGGACGGAGACGGAAACGATCACGAAAGGCCAGAGGGTAGCTCCGGTACGGTACAAGAGCGTCGGGACTCCCAACCTTCGATCAGCTCTGGAAATGTTGTCGATGGTCCCGCGGCAGACGACAACGAAACGAGGACAAGATCACATGGCGAGCAGAACCCGAACGAGCTTCCAGAGTCGTCCCGGACCGCCTCGGCCGCCGAGGGAGCAGTTCGTGCGACTGGCAGCCAGGCGCACAGCACATTTTCCCTGCCTATTCGAACCTCCTCGATGGTCAGTACGACGAACACCGCCGTGACCGCCTCCCAACAACGTGCAACTCCACCCTCGCCCGATCATGTCCCGCGCTCAACCAGCGGCTACAGGGAAGCTTGGCAGAGTGACGGAAGGGCGGGTTCCTATGGCTTCGAGGACGACTCCGATACCAGGAGGCGAGGGAGCGGATCGCGAGCCCCGCGTGACCGGACACCGGACGCACCCGTCCCTCGCCGACATCGACCGCGCAACGACGGACAAGAGTCCCCAGAGTTTGTGCTCCCTAGATGGCAGCCTGACGCAGAGGTCACGTATTGTCCCATCTGTCATACTCAGTTTAGCTTCTTCGTGCGCAAGCATCACTGCCGGTTCGTCCACACACATCTCAACCAACCTATCTCCTGACCCAGCTCTGTTGACAACGATTCCAGGAAGTGTGGACGGGTGGTGTGCAACTCGTGCTCCCCACACCGCATTATCATACCTCATCAGTACATCGTTCGGCCTCCCGGGTCGGACATTGCAATGCCTCCGAGCCTACTACTGGACGGCCTCGGGGCAGGATATTTTGACGTGAATGGGCCTTCTGGGGGAGAACGGGTCCGGTTGTGCAACCCTTGCGTACCGGACCCAAACACGGCGCCGCCACAGAGCCCGACATCCTCGGCTGGTGCCTCGCCGCGCTCTTCCCACCAGCGTTCTCGGAGCACTATGGGCGGTACGTACGCCGGCCCACCCGCCAGCAATAGGTACGGAACGGTCTTTGCCAGTGGCCGCAGTGGCGACGTCCACCAGTATTACTCTCCGCGCACGAGGAGCATCACAATGGTAAGGGCACAGCGTTGGGAGTATGACTGTAGGCGTATACTTACACAGGTCAGGTTCGTGGGCCCCACGGAGGAAGCGCTGGTTCATCCAGTCATCATCGCCCCAGCGTGATTTATCCAACTCCGCTTGATCGCCTACTCGCCGTTGGCCCATCTAGCACGCCCTCAGGCTCGCGACGACACCGCCATAGCTCGTTCGGTGAGGGCCCGTCTTCATCCCGTCAAAGGGCGCTGCCTCCGCCTCCTCAAATTGCGGAGGAGGACGAGTGTCCCATCTGTCACCGCGAGTTGCCGTCCCGGGAGCTGCCGGACTTCGAAGAGCTGCGAGAGTCTCACATTACTATGTGCATCCAAGCGCACAGCACGTACGGCAGCCCGATGCCCCGAGACGGAGACGACGAGGAGGCGCCCCTACCGGCACCACGGCGGACCGGGATGTACTCGTACGCGGCGACAGAGAAAGACTGCATTGATGACGCCGAGTGCACGATTTGTCTGGAAGAGTTTACGGTGGGCGTGGCAATGGCCCGTCTGGAGTGTCTCTGTCGCTTCCACCGAGCATGCATATCGGCGTGGTTTGTGAACCACCCGGGGCGGTGTCCCGTGCACCAACACGACGGCTTCGGGTTCTAGCATTTGGGCCAGCGGCCCTTGCCCTTCATTACATGTTTGGAGTTGGTCGGTTTCTTCTTTGCTTTCTTTTTTTTGCTTTCATTTGCATTCGGAGCAAGCCGTGTCGCATTGTCCATTTTCCAACCCCCCTCTTCCATGGCTTCCATGGTTTTCATGGATCTTGTTGGTATGTAAGCTGCAAATCAGCGGCGTTTTGAGGGCAGCATGGTCGATCGTGGAGGGAGGCAAGTCATGTTTGATACCACCGAGTCAGTCATTCACTTTGCTGTAAGGAAGGTGAGGATAGCTAGGAGGGCAAAGGAAGCATATGGAAACCCATCACCAAATACGTGCGTCGGTCTGTGTCGATGTGACGTGTCCGAGCCGTGCAGCCTCATGCGCTAAGGCATCTTACGACGGTGGGCTGGCGATCGATGGTGATCTCGAGGACCACGCAACAGTTGGCCACCCCCGTGTCTCGTCGCACGCCTGCCGCACGCCGCGAAAACCGGCAGGTTGGGTTCGGACAACGGACGGGGGGCTGTGCTCGGCAATCGCTCGCCCGGCGGGGCCGCCAGATGGGACCTCGCGGCGGGGACGAGCCTCTGGCGCGCAAAGCGCTGCCGGATCCAGGCGGTTGGAGGCGCCACGAGGAGAGCTGGACATGACGATCTGCGCGAGCCGTCTCCACGGCGAAAGCTGCCTGCACCTGGAGCTTTTCCCGGGCGAGCGATCGGAGCAACGGGCTTGACCAGAATTTGTGAGAGGGAATTGTTCACGAACGGCCGCAAGACCAAGTGTTTTGTCGCTTCGTACAGTACTCTCTCTCTCTGTACTCCGTACATCCGCGGTCGGGCAAGGAGGGGCTACCTTATCATCCCGCCCTGGGGTCATTGACTCAAGTTAAGCGAAACGTGTGGCTCCACGAGGCGGTATCAGTAATACCACAGCCGTCTGGTCGTCCAGCAGTCTCTGTGCCTCGGGCCTCAATTGGAGTGTCTGGCCCGACCCGACGACTGCCGCCCGGAATTCCTGCCTGTCGCACGGCATCAACGCCAGAGGGCGAGGCACCCGAGAACGGTCGCACAGCTCCGGCACGGCAAGCGATGCCATGATGCCATCAACAGTCGATCGAACACTCCCAAGGTTTCGAAAGGAGCGTGGTCATTCCAGTTTACCAGGGGCTCCAGCTGGGCTGGTTGGCTGGATGGCTGGGCCGGCCACGAGCTGGGACGGGAGAGCCAGCGACGCTTGCAGGGGGGTGTGGGACTCCACTGGCGACTGCCAAAGCCGGAAAAGTCGAGCTGGAGCTCGCCAGGCCTCCCCCCTGCCCTGCTGCACTGCAGACGATCTCGCCAGCCGACCTGAACCAACCCTGGCAAGCCGGGCTGGGGGGAGGCCAATCCCACTGGCGGCCGCCGCGACCCGATAGGAGGGGTTAGACCTGGTGAGATGCAGTGACGAAAACCGTGGAGATCAGGCCGAGCAACCGGGCGCTCGCGCGGCGCGCCAGCGCGACAGACGCCGGCAGCAAGGAAATGCCCTGCTTGCTGGCAGACCATCCATTGAACCCGGCGCCCCCGCTCGGCGCGCGCGCCGCCGTCGCGGCTGGGAGGCCCGCCTGGAGCCACACGAGCGGCATGCCCAGCCAACCAGACGTAGCGCCGCGGGACCCAGCATTACGTCGTCGTTCAGCAGGGCAGGGCACAATCGGCTGTGCGCAGCTGGAGCAGTTGGGGGAGAGGTGGTGGTGGTGTGCTGGTGGTGCTGGTCCTGAACAGCGACAAAGAACCTTCGTCAGAAGCGAAGCGATGTGCGCAGGGCGGGCGGCCGGGCCTGGATTTCGCACCCACGGGCAGCTGAAAGCGTGGCGCAGGCTGGGTTTTTCTTCAGCACCCAGTCGGGGGTTTTTTCCGTGCCCGGAGAAATAATAGGGGAAGTAGCGGTACCTCCCGTCGCGTGTGAGGCCTGGAAGTACATGCGCGGGCACCAGAGCTTCGGGCAGCTTCGCCAAGCTCGCCTGTAAATGAACATGGAAGGTACCTTAGCTGGTGCTGGGCTGTGCTCCAACGCGTCCATACCTGCACAAAGAGCCCGGAGTCCTGTAGCATCAGCTGCAACCTGCTGCTTGCGTCCCATCTCCCCGCTGCACGGTGCTCGCTGGCCCGAGGTGCCTCTGGCTACTGTAACCACTGCGTCGGACCCCCCTCATCTTCCGCAGCAGGAGCTTGCCGTCCATCCTCGCCCAGTCCGTCGCCTCGTCACCACTCTGGAGGGTGCCTTCCTCGCCGATTCTGGCATCAGCCCTCCCTCTTCCTGTTCCCTTGATTGCGACGTACGAGTACCTCTCCTTGCGTGCTTCCCCTCCCAGCTTCATCTGCCGACAGCAGCCCATCCCCATCCGCTCCGACAAGCTCGAGCTCGCGCTGGCCACCGCGAGCGCCTCGTCTCCATCCTCGGCGTGGGCACCACCCCAATCGCACTCCACACACTCCCGCCTGCGGCCGTCGAGCTAGGCTCCCACGCACGAAATAGTAGCTCTTAGCGGCCAGGCCCAGCCACAGCTGTGTCTTGGATCGCTGCCTGGGTACTTGCCGCACCGCCGAGCTTGGCCTGCCCGCCGCCGCTTTCATTACAGTTTGCAACCTTAACTCGCAGTATCCGTTATATTGCTCGTGGCTGCTGCACCTCTCCGGCGCGACGTTGCTGGCCTCGGAATCGTGCATCACCATCACCCACCCTGCAACGGCTGCAACCCATCGACCGCCGCCGTCGCGGCCATCTCGAACCTCGAAAGCCGCTCGAGCGCCGCCGACCGAACTGCGCGTCATCGCCCGCTACCCGATCGCTGCCCGCTGCTAGCTACCGAGCTCTCTCGAAGACGACGTACGCTTTCGCGCGCAATTGCCAGCCACCCCGATTGACCCTACGGCTGGCCACAATCTCGCCCCAAGCTCGTCCTGGCACATTGCCGTCGCAGGCGCCATGTCTGCCAAGGAGGCGCGCGAGCTCAAAGTTCAGGGAGCCATTGAGGCCGCCCAGAACTCCCAATCGCAAATCTCCTCTGAGGATGCTCAGAAGGAAATTGTCGAGCAGTCCTCAAACGCGGGCATCCCCGCCTTTTCTTTCGACCCGGATGCTTCTCCCGAGGAGAAGCGAGCTCAAGCCCGAGATGTGAGTTCATCATCTGCGCCGCAACACTGGCTGCTATAGCAGCAGAGGCGCGACACTTGCTGACAAGCTCCCAGGCCATTCCAAAAGAATTGCAGCGAAGCAGGCGCAACAAGGGCGCCGCCATCATAACCGACCAGGACGATGGCAACGGCCCGGACGAAGATCTTCCCGAGCCCAGCAAAGCCGGCGTTCTTGACGTGGCAACAGACGCCCACGGAAACCAATTGACTGGCGGCGAAGACCCCGATGCCAAAGATGCCCCGTTTTCGCGTACGGGCTGGGCTCCGAAGCTCGGATGGCCGAGCGACAGTGCGAAAGAGGGCGAGAGCTTGCTCGACCATGCCACGTGGGTGGAGGGGAAGCTCCCAGATAAGTTCTTTGGAGGTGAGTCTTGCAAGCGAGCACGCTGACTGGCGTTCGAAATCTAACCGCCGTTTAGACTGGTACCACAACACGGGCCTTGTCATTTTCGCCTGTATTTCGTCATGGCTTGTTGCCGTCCTGGGCGGCGGGCTGGGCTGGGTCACCATCATCATGGCCATCTGTGCGACTTACTACAGGACGTCTCTGCGACGCGTGCGACGTAACTTCCGTGACGACATCTCGCGCGAACTGGCCCTCAAGAAGCTCGACAACGACAACGAGTCCCTCGAGTGGATCAACTCATTCATGGTCAAGTTTTGGCCCATCTACCAGCCTGTCCTGGCCCAGACGATTATCAACTCTGTCGACCAGGTCCTCAGCTCCGCCACGCCCGCCTTTCTCGACAGCCTCAAACTAAAGACGTTTACGCTTGGCTCCAAGCCGCCTCGAATGGAGCACGTCAAGACGTATCCCCGCACCGAAGACGACATTGTCATGATGGATTGGAAGTTTAGCTTTACGCCCAACGATACGGCCGACATGACGGCTCGCCAGCTTAAGAGCAAGATCAACCCCAAGATCGTTCTCGAGATTCGCATCGGCAAGGCCATGATCAGCAAGGGCCTCGATGTTATTGTCGAAGACATGGCATTTTCGGGTATCATGCGCCTCAAGATCAAGCTTCAGATTCCATTCCCTCACGTGGACAGAGTCGAGATGTGCTTCCTTGAGCGACCCGAGATCGACTATGTCTGCAAGCCCCTCGGTGGAGAGAACTTCGGCTTCGACATCAACTTCATCCCCGGCCTCGAAAAGTTCATTCTTGAACAGATTCACGGCAATCTCGCGCCGATGATGTATGCGCCTAACGTCTTCCCCATCGAGGTGGCCAAGATGCTCGCAGGAACCCCTGTTGACCAGGCCGTGGGCGTCCTCGCCCTGACTCTCCATGGCGCCCAGGGCCTCAAGAACTCGGACAACTTTGCAGGTACCGTCGATCCCTATGCGAGCATCAGCTTCAGCCGTCGCCAGGAACTCGCGCGAACGAAGACCATCGAGGACAACCCGAACCCGAGGTGGAACGAGACTCACTACCTCATTGTCACATCTTTCAATGACACACTGGATATCCAGGTGTTTGATAAGAACGACTTCAGAAAGTCCAAGGAGCTGGGTGTCGCCTCTTTCCGTATGGAAGACCTGGAGGAGCTCAACATCCACGAGAACGAGCGCCTCGAGGTCATTGGAGACGGCAAGGCGCGTGGCGTCGTCTCTTGTGACCTTCGATTCTTCCCTGTTCTAGAAGCCGCCAAAAATGAGGAGGGTAAATTGGAGCCGCCACCGGAATCGAATCAGGGTATTTTGCGCTTTACCGTCGAGCAGGCTAAAGATCTGGACGGCACCAAGAGTCTGGTTGGCCTTCTCAACCCTTACGCAACCTTGTTCCTCAACGGCAAGACTGTCCACGAGACCAAGAAGCTCAAGCGCACAAACAACCCCATCTGGGACAATGGGTCTAAGGAGATCCTCATCACGGATCGCAAGAAGGCCAAGCTTGGAGTCACGATCAAGGACGACCGAGACCTCACGGGAGACCAAACGCTCGGCAAGTACCAAATCAAGCTCGACGAGATTCTTGACTGCATGGCGCAAGGGAAGGAGTGGTACCAGCTGTCCGGGGCGAGCACCGGCCGTGTCAAGATGATGGCGCAGTGGAGGCCCGTTGCCATCAGCGGCGTGGCCGGCACTGGCGGCTACGTCACGCCCATCGGCGTCATGCGATTTCACTTCAAGAAGGCTACCGATCTGCGAAACTTTGAGTCCTTCGGCAAGTCAGATCCCTACGTCCGCGTGCTTCTCTCTGGCATCGACAAGGCGCGAACCGTCACCTTCCGCAACGACCTCAACCCCGAATGGGACGAAGTCCTCTACGTGCCTATCCACTCGCCCCGTGACAGGCTTGCACTGGAAGTCATGGATGCCGAGAAGATGGGCAAGGACCGTAGCCTTGGTTTGATCGAGGTCTTTGCGGGTGACTACGTCAGCCAGGATGAGGTCGGCGAGTATCTCGTCAACGACAAGAAGCATCTCCGCGAAGAAGGACTCCGTTTGCATGGAAAGGGCATCGCTAAGGGAACACTAACCTACACTGCCTCTTTCTATCCCTGCCTGAACGTTGCGGACCCGGAGGAGGAAGAGGAAGAAGAGAAAGAGGCCGAAAAGACGACCGCAGAGGACAAAGCGAGCGAGGGCAAGCCCAGCACCGATCAGCAGCGAGCCTCGCTCGATCGGTCCCCTACCGCAGGGAAGTTCAGAGCTAGCCTCGACAAGAACGGCAATGGAGACGCGCGCACGTCGACATCAACCTCTGGCCGGCCGTCTGTCGAGAAACAGGGACCCCCGAAGATCCGGCTCAGCCCCGAGGAGCTGCTCAAGCATGAGAGTGGTCTGCTCATTTTCCGATTGTTGGAAGCCGAAATGCCTGAGGGCAACAGCCGCCTCGAGGTGTTCGTGGATGACATGGCCTACGCTTCGTACGTCTCGTCGACTACGGCCAGCAGGGCACACAAGTTCGACGAGATTGGCGATTGTGTTGTTCGTGAGCTGGACGTGTCTCGTTTGACGCTCAAGGCGAGGAAGAAGGGCGACGATGATGACCACGTTCTTGCCCAGCTGACTGGGAACACCCTAGAAACACTCAAGCAATGCTTGGTAGGCATGCCTTTGAATTCGCGAAACAATGTAGCGCTGACCATTGTGAAACAGAACAACCCTACCAAGCTCAAGCTGAAGACTGACGATGGCAGAGACGGTTGGGTCAAGGTCAGCCTCAAGTATATCCCCATCAAGATGCAGTTGGATCCAAGCGAGAGTATCAACAACATGGGCAAACTCCGTGTCGACGTGCTGGATGCTCAAGACCTGCCGGCAGCAGACAGAAACGGAAAGAGCGACCCGTACTGCAAGTTTGAGCTTAACGGCAACGAAGTGTACAAGACGAAGGTACAGAAGAAGACACTCACGCCGGCGTGGAACGAGTTCTTCGAGGTCAATGTCCCGTCACGGACGGCGGCAAAGTTCGTTGTTACCGTTTACGACTACGATTTTGCGGATAAGCCCGACCTCCTGGGCGCCGCCACGATCAACCTGGAGTCTCTGGACCCCTTCAAGGCGTCCGAGTCCCGCTTCATCTTGGACGGCAAGTCGGGCACCTTGCGTCTTCGGATGGTTTTCAGGCCCGACTACGTTACGCGTACCATGCAGGGCACGTCGACCTTCTCGGGCACCTTTGCCGCGCCCGGCAGGATCGTTACAGGCGTCGCTGGAGCTCCCATCAAGGGCGGCGCAGCCGTGGCGGGTGTCGTGGGCCACGGCGTTGGCAGGGGTGCATCTTTCCTGAAGCGCGGAGTCTTTGGGAAGAAGAAGGACACCGACGATGCGAACGGCGCGTTACCTGACGTGGCGGAGTCGCGTCCGACCACAAGCAATGGCCACGACGTAGCCCCCGTTGGCGGCCCGCGCCAGTCCCTCGGATTAGCGGATGGCTCTCCCATTCCTACCATCGAGCAGCCACGAAATGACTCTCCTGGTCACAGTCGTACAAAGAGCATTGCGGCATCGTCAATCCACAGCACGGCACCAGCAGGTGCGGCATTGGGCACGGCTTCATTTACGATTGTCGGCGCATCAAACTTTCCCCCGTCGACGAATTTGTACATTGTGGTCACGCAGCTGTCGCCAAAGGAGAAGGTAATCGGCAAGACCAAGCACCACAAGTCTGGAACTGGCCAGTGGAGCTTTGAGGACACCTTCACAGCCAAGTGCACTCCGGACACGCAGTTCAAGATAGAGGCGAAGGGCGACCACTTTGTCGGCAAGGATGATGACCTGGGCGAGTTTCCGCTGTTCGTCGACGAGACGGGAACCGCAACGCCCAAGGAGCTCAGCGTGGGCTCGGGTACCGTCACCATCAAGAGCACTTTCCAACCGGCGGAGCCGAGCGCACCAGACACACCCAAGTCGCACATGCGCAGGAGCTTCCTGAGCAAGAGGGACGGGCGTCCCAGCCGTGAGACGACGCCGAATCCTTAGATTGGAGCTGCAGTCTTTTGGGTCAAAATCTAAGCCTAGAAGGCGAGCAAGTGGAGTGCATAGTGGAAAGCAGGGTTGAAGGGAAAAGTATACTTGGGTTGGGAGGAACATTGATATCGTCATGACCGCCGTGCTACGGCCGTCTCTGTTCGCACGCGCTGAACGAGGTTTCCTTGTCTCTTCACATTGTTACAGGCGATCCTTTGTTCCGTTTTCTTTGCTGTCAGTTTCGGATCCTCTCCTGTCTCTGGTCTGTGGTGGGCGTGACATGGGAGAAGCCATTCTGACGGACACCGGAGCGAATGAAGGCTCCTGAGATGGGAGGCGGGTGGGAAAATCCGCTAGTTTTGTTAATTTGCGATATCCTAGTCGAGTAGTTGCTATGACTTCACGGAAGGCTGAGACCAATGTTGCCCGGCAGGTGAGATGTCGTGCGCCCGGCTTCACGAGCTTACAGCGGCACCTCGTTTACAGGTGATGTTTTGGAGCCGCAGCCCAGAAAGGAAGTGAAGAGTGTACCTGGGTACCTTGTTTGGGTGCGTCAATTCAGGCAACAAGGCACTGATGCAAAGGTGGGGCCCTTCTCGCCTGCTACTGGACAACGAGATTGGCAGACGTCGCAACGCCGCATTACCTCAGCCAGCTTGCAGCCTCGCTGGCTGGAGCTCCATGCTGCTGCTCAAGCTGGTGACGCGCGATCCGGGAGCTGCCTGACCTCGTCAACCCGCTTCGCCATCTCCAACGACCGGCCAGACCCCGTCCACACTGCACCACCACCATCATCATCACGACCTAATTCAGCGATCCAGTGCCACAGGCGGGTGCACAAAGGAGCGTACCAAATCCCATTTTCTCTCCTCATCGGACCGGCATCACCCACCGCGTTGGTGAACGACGAGGTCCCTCCGTGTCCGACAAAGCCGTCCGCGATAACGCCAGACCCCGGTCTTCGCCGTCAACAATGGACACCCTCGTTTCGAGATACAGCCGGCCGGCCTACGAGCAGAATGAGTCGTTTGAGGATGAGGCACAGGACCTGATGAACCCGGCCTCGAGCCTCGCTGGCAAGTTTGCCATGCCGCCGATTGCCCAGGTATATCCCACCATGAGAGCGTGCACTTCCCCATTGCGAGGGGGAAACAACCCACTGATCTTGATGTTAACGTCTGTAATTGATAGCCGTCTTCCTGGCTGCGCGCTGCGACCGACGACCGGTCGAACCCCGACTGCCCCATCAAGATTGCCCACGGCACGACGACGCTCGCTTTCCGCTTCAAGGGCGGCATCATCGTGGCCACCGACTCGCGAGCCACGGCCGGCAACTGGATCGCCTCGCAGACGGTCAAGAAGGTCATTGAGATCAACAGCGTGCTGCTCGGCACCATGGCCGGCGGTGCCGCCGACTGCCAGTACTGGCTCGCCTGGCTGGGCATGCAGTGCCGCCTGCACGAGCTGCGTCACAAGCGGCGCATCAGCGTCGCCGCCGCGAGCAAGATCCTCGCCAACCTCGTCTACTCGTACAAGGGCATGGGCCTCAGCATGGGCACCATGTGCGCCGGCGTGACCAAGGAGGAGGGCCCCGCGCTCTACTACGTCGACAGCGACGGCACGCGCCTCCAGGGCAACCTCTTCTGCGTGGGCAGCGGTCAGACGTTCGCGTACGGCGTGCTCGACGCCGAGTACAACTACGACCTGAGCGTCGAGGACGCGCTGGAGCTCGGCAGGCGGAGCATCTTGGCGGCCACGCACCGCGACGCCTACTCCGGTGGCTTCATCAACCTGTACCACGTCAAGGAGGAGGGCTGGGTCAAGCACGGCTTCAACGACACGAACCCCATCTTCTGGCAGACGAAGCTGGAGAAGGGCGAGTTTACCAACGTGACGAGCGAGCTGGACTAGACTAAGGGGAGCATGCACCTGTGAAGGGAAGAGGGAGGCTAGGCTTGCGAGCGAAGCCGCAGTGGCGGCCGTGTACTGGTCAATGTATCTTGTACAACAAATACACAAGGCATTTCGTTTTCTAGAGCATGACTGTCCTCTATGCAAGGCCGCTAAAGTACAGGTGGTTTTACAAGTCGTGTCATAATGTACAGGTATGTCGTTAAAAGTAGGCGTCTGGTCTTCCGCGTCCGCAGGCTCAGAGTGTTCCAAGTCTTCAAGCCTCGGCGCCGTCCTTGAGCCACCCGTCAACGCCCAGGATGCCCGGCCCGACGCTGGGATCCATGGGCCACTTGCCGATGGGGCACGCCGACAGGCCGCTCCGCCAGCCGGCCTCGTACATCTCCATGGCGGTCCAGGCCACCATGGCGGCGTTGTCGGTGCACAGCGCGACGGGGGGCGCGACGAGGCGCACGCCCGGGAAGCCGCGCGCGGCGAGCGTCGTGCGCAGGACGTGCGCGAGGAAGCGGTTGGAGGCGACGCCGCCGGCGACGACGAGCATGGTTGTTGTTCCGCCGTCGATATGGCTGCCGTTGCTCTTGCCGCTGCCGCCGTCGCCCATCAGCAGCTCCGGGCGGTCCTCGAGGGCGAGAACAAGGCGCGAGGCGAGGTGCTGGAACGCGGCGCGGAGGGTGTGCCGCGCGAGGGCGCGCCGCTCGGCCAGGTCCATGTGCGGCCCGCGCTGGGCGGCGACGCGGTGGACGTGCGTGTGGATGCTGCTGAAGGAGTAGGCGAGGCGGCGCGAGTTGCGGAAGGGCAGCGGCACGGTCCAGTCGTAGCCCGAGGGGACGTCGGCGATTTCGTCGGCGCGCGAGGCGGCGGGCCGGAAGAAGGCCTCGTGCTGGGCTGCCACGCCGTCGTCGCGACCGTTGTCGTTGCCGTTGCCGGTAGAAGGGGGAAACGCAAAGGCGTCGAGGAGGCGCCCGTACATGACGTCCGGGCTCGCCTCCAGCACGTCCTCGGGCAGGATGACGCGCGCCGTCTGGTCGAGCAGGTTGCCGATGGCGATGTCCCCCGTGGTGGCGACGATGCGGTGGTCCGTCAGCGAGGCCGAGTGCACGAGCTGCGTGTGCCCGCCGGAGACGAGGAGCGACAGGAACGGGAAGTCTGGAGCGGCGCCGGTGCCGCTGCTGCCGCTGTCGCCACCGATTGCTGTCGTTTTGCTGCTCTCATTGGGAGCAGGACTAAAGTTGGAGCTGGAGACCCGGTTACCGCTGCCGCTGCCGCCCATGGCCATGTCCATGCCCAGCGCGCCGACGAGCCGCGGCGTCAGGGCGTGCGCCTGCATGTGGTGCACCGCGAGCAGGGGCACGCCCCACGCCACGGCGAGGCCCTTGGCGACGTTGAGCCCGACGGCAAGGTTGGCCATGATGCCGGGCCCGCGCGTGACGGACACGAAATCCGGCAGGGCCTTTTTCCTGCCGTCCACGTCGACGGTGCGCCTAGACTCCGCGGTCACTGCTCCTACCCACTCCCTCTTCGTCGCCGCCTCCACCGTCGCCGTCGCCGTCGTCGTCGTAGAGCCATCGTCCACAGCATCCGGCAGCGCCGCCAGCGCGCGCCTCACGAGTGGCCCCAGCGACGCATTGTGGCCCTGCACCGCCACGACGGGGTTCACGCCGCGAAAGGCGCGGTTGTCCGACGAGACGCGCTCGTTGAAGAGCAGCGCGGCGCGGCCCGTGGCGCGGCACCGCGAGAGCACCGCCACGGCCGTGTCGTCGCACGACGTCTCGATGGCGATCGTGAGAAGCGTCCGGGACGAGGACGGGCTAGCTGCTGCTGCTACGCCTGCTGGTCCGCGGACGAGGAGCGGCGAGGCGGTCCGGTAGATGCCATAGGAGGGTGCCCACCGCGCGCTGGGGCGGAGAGCGAAGAGGAGAGCGCCGCGGCATGGCGGGCGCGGCATGGCGGGCGCGGCATCAAGGCGCGGTGCGAGACGCGGTAAGGGACTGTCTGTGGTGATGAGGTGTGCGCCCGGATGAGGTGAAGTTGGAGGTTGGAGCCTTGGAGGTTGGTGATGTGGTGGAAAGCAGGGGGGCGAACCCGCGTCGAAAATTAACTGGGTCCAGGGACCGGCGCCAGCTCCGGCCCCACAAACGCCGGCAGACGGTCCGGCTCCGGTCCACATCCTCCGCACGAGCAAGAACGAGGCTAACCACGAGTGCACGGAACAGTCAAGACCAGCCTTACACGGCTTGGAAGTGATTAAAGAGACGTTATCTCTTCAAAGAACTGACTATGCCGTTTCCAACGCCCGAGGCAATGCAAAGCAAAATATACTGTGAGTATGGGACATAGCTGGCGTTACGCGCACGCCCGCCCTGCTGGTACCTTTCACTTCCGTGTCTGAACCCAGTTTACCCACTCGCACTTGCATCCGCCAGTTCCTCCATCGAAGCCCCCGACGCTCGCATCGCCGGTTCCACGTGGGTTGATCCAGGTCCCGCCCACGCCCATGTTGTTGGCCAGGAGAGCGGGCTTGCTCGTATCGAGCTTCAGCCGCTTGTCCATGGGCCAGTACCACACCAGCTTCTTCTTCGGGTCGCCGCCGTGAGTATCGATCGTCACAGTCACAGGGTACGGCATTGTTCCTGGCCGAACAAGCTCCCCAGTACCGGTGATGCCGCGCCCTGTGTCCGCGTTCAGGAGTGACGACGTGTTGGAGCTGAGTGCTCGAGTCCAAATTTGCAGCAGCACCCGCGTTTCGGCCCACGTCACCAGAAAGTCGGCCTCGGTCTTGCGGCATCCGCCGTTCTCATCTAGTGGGACGTTGCCCTCGTCCGTCTTGTTCAGTATCGTCGCGGACCGTACGAAGATGGTCCTCTTGAAATGAGTGTAGAATGCGTAGTGCTCCGTGGGGAGACCTCGGTCAAAGAGCCGCACGGGTTGCTTGACAGGATTCGGAAGCATTGCGGCGGGTGCGGGCGTCCCATCTGAGTCCAGATCCGGAGCAGGTAGTAGCGCGACCAGGCTCTGGTTGCCGATTTGGTTACTTGGTCCCCTTTTTGTTAGCGACGGAAAGCTGACCGTATCGTTCATCGACTTGAGCAGGCTGATGTAGAACGGGGTCGGCTCGCCCGCCTTGTTCTCGGCCTGGACATTGTCCGTGGTGTTGCCCAAGAAAAACATCTCCTTAAAGCTCGGCGCCGCTGGCTGGGGAACAAATCCGCTCGCTCCCTGCCTTGCTTGAAGAATTGCCCCGGCAGCGGCCGCGACAGCCGACAATCCCCTCCGAGGCTTCTCACCGCCTGAGCCTTTCCAACCATTATTTGTGCTGTTGTCCCATTGGATCTGCATGATCACGGTCGGCTGGTTGGCCTTGTACGGGGCGACAGAGTCTTGCTGGTCTTTGGGGAGCGAACAGCTCCAGAGAGTCGACGGCTCAGTGCAGACGCTTTTGGAGGCACTGTTATCTGGGCCCACTACTGTCAGGACACCCGTAGGCATTGGCGGAAAGTCTGTGAGGTTAACCCATATCGACTGTTCTGCGGTGGTGCCGTGATGTCTGGTGAGCACGACGGCCAGGACGACGATGAGAATGATAAGAGCGATGATTCCAGTCCAGATCGCCACCCAGACTCGCCGGCGCTTGCGGCCTTCTCGTCCAGTGCGGCCATAGCAACCGCCCGCCGGAACGCAACCTCGGCCTCTCCAGAAGCCGCCCAGCCGTCGAGCGACGACTTCTTCCTTCTCGTGGCGGCGCCTTCGTCTTTCAACCTTGTGAAACTGGCCCCGGGCTGCATGTGCGTGTTCCTGTGGGAGATATGTGCCCAGCGGCCGAGGCGGCAAAGGCTCTTCTTTCCTTGGGGGTGTTTGGCTTCGGATGGTGGGCGTCAGAGGAACGTTGACTAATTGTGTTGCGCCTTGAGACGTCATTGTCGCCGCGAGGCCGGGAGACGCCGGACCAGGAGACGGAGGAAATTGGGCCTGCAACGGATGACCAGGCGGGAAAAGCGCTCTGTATCGCACTGCCGCCTTGTCGTGCTTCTTCGGGGGCGAATACGGCGGTGGCTGGTCCCTGTTGCTCTCGTTCGTCATGACCGTGTAATGCTTCTCCTGAACTGTCCACCCCTTGGACAGTGATGGAGCACTCTTCGATGACGACGCCTCTAGCTCTGGCGCCGGTTGCAATTCAGATTGCGACCCCTGAGCTTTCCGAGGTGTCGGGGCGCGCACTATGGGTGCTTGCGCCATGACCCGTGGCACCTGCAGCGACTGGTCCTCAAGGCGTTTCTCGTCAATGTATGCGTACTTCCCAGGCGATCGTTCCTCATCTCTTGGGGACGCAGCCTTCAGCTTCCGGCTAGAGAACGAGAACGTCTTGTCGACGAAAGGGGTGACGACATGGTCCCACCACCCTTGCGATCTGGATCCGGCACTCTCAGGGGAGACGCCTGGAATCCTTCCCTGGGCTTGCTTTTGGGGAGACGGGCCATCTTCTTCAAACAGCGTGCAGGGCGTTCCACTGTCTTCCTCCTCTGGGCTGTGCGAAAGCTCAAGGCTAAGTATCCTTGGCTGAGACGCCTTGTAGGTGTCAGGGACAGCCGGCACTGGGGGTGCCCGTTGGCTGATAGCCAGTCCAGCGAGTGTCGCTTGCGAATAGATACTCGAGGCAGCTCGGTTCGACCGAAAAGAGTTGGTGGTATCCGGGGTATCTGGAGACCACACTGATCTTTGCAAGTTTGTGCTCGGGTCGTCCGTAGCTGAGCTCCCGGTTGTGGGTATCAGCCTTCCCGTCGCATTATTCAAGACAGGAGTCCTGGGCGTTTGGGTGTTGGCCGTCTGGGGACTGATATCGCGCGAGCTCATTTGATCAGACGGCAGAGATATTCCAATGACAATGGGCCGGTCATCGGGGGAAAGCTCCTGCTCTGTGCGTGCTGATCTTTGTGGCGTGGCAGACTCCGGTGTCTGTGTCTTGCCCCTCTTGAGCCAGTTCCAGTTTCCGACAGAGGCAGAATTTGGCTCTCCCTCCAGCGCTCGGAGCGCCGCGGCGTCCACAAACTTTGGCTGCGGCTCGCCGGCGGCGCGCATTTGATGAGCGATGTGGTTGTTTCGCTTGAAGGCGCTCATGTCGGTGATGAGTCGAATGCCGGCCTTTTCGTTTTGCGCCTTTTGTCGATGCCGAGACTTGAGCCGCCTGACCTTGGCCGTCGAAAGTCGTGAAGTTCTGGTAGTCGAGGGCTTGAGCGAGGTCCGGGATCGCGACGTGACAGGTTGCAGCGGCGGAGGTATCGAAACCTGCACTCCGGCATCGATGGGGGTGACGACGTCGTCATCCTCCCACTCCTCCCAGTCATCCGGCTCATGGTGTCGGTTTGTGACGGGCGAGTCCTGTCTGTGCCCCATCGTGTTTCTGTTTGCGTATGAGGCGTACGCAATGCAGCGATACGGTCGTTTGGGTTCTTCGTTGCGGAGGCGGGTACGAAGTAGTGCGGGGACAAAGTTGTACACGCTGTTTCTCACAGAGCTTCTCCCGTAAAGAATAGTGATGCACGACGCATGACCGCCGGGGGCTGTGAGATGCGAAGCGGATGATACAGACAGAGGAAAATGCAAAGGGCGAGACGCAAGTATCGTGGAGCGCGCGGGTTGCGTATCTCGAAGGCGGGTACGTTCGCAGACGGTGAAAAGAAAGGAAAGGCGAAAAAGAAAAGTCACGTTGCGTGTTCAAGCGTAAACAGACACACCATTGTATTGTGTAGACGAAAAGGCGAGCCGGGCGGGAGCCAGACAATTCTTCGCAGACAATGGGACCTGGCTATTGATGGACTGGCCTAGCCGGCTGCCCGGCTGCCTGGCCGCCTCGGGTTGCGGCCACGCGCAGAGCTAACAACGTAATGAGCTGCATCATTTCAATCTTCGATGGTTTCAGGGCGCCGCTGTGCAATGAGAGGCAGACCCAGCGCGGCGCTTCGAGGGTCTTGGTCGACAATGGATGGTCGACGTTGCTGGGCGTTGCTGCACCGAAGTGTGAGGTCGGCGCTTGAAGGTGGCGGGTGGGGGCCCTCATTGGCCCACGCATGTCACCTAAGCGCCGGCTGTAACTGGTGGCAGGGGCTACCCGTCTGTCGCGGCACGGCAGGTCGCGCCTGCCCTCCCTGCACTCGCGACGCTAATTGGGGGCGACGGAAGGAGGATGTGGACGTTGTGCTTCTCTCAATCTCAAGGGGAGGGATGGATGCAAGGGCTGTGTCGCCGCCTTGCGTCCGTCTATTTATGAGGAACCGTTTGGTTAGTTATACGTACCGAGTTGTCGGTGCCGGCCACGAGAGGAACAATCGGATCCAAACCCTCCACATGCTTGCGTGTGTCCAGGGTGCACTCTACGGTGTTCTGAGCGGCTGTCGCTTCAAGCAGCAGGACCTGCCATTGTACGAGTTGCCGTGCCGTTTGCTCCGCCTACGGGGCTGTGACGATTGCCCGCGCATCCGTCAGGGCGCGAATCACTGCAGTTCTCGGCGGAGCAGCATCAGGAGGTGTTTACGGGCCCGTTTGCAGATCCGGGAGTCGACACCCGAGCTCCATAATTGTGTACAACTCGTTCTCCATACACGGGAGTCCAGTGGTGAACGGATGGAGTCTTTATTGCTCAGTCGAGTGCCGATCACCCGAGGCTGCTGGTCCTCAGGTCCTCTCGGTGGTAGGCCGCGACAATGCTACTCTCAGGCAACGCGGTCTGCCTCGCGTGTAAGGTCGTGGTCGCAACGTCGCACTTCATACGATATGCTTCATTTTGCGACCAATGTGATGAACAGTCTCCGAGTGTCGGATGCAGGGCAGGCTGCTTAGTGTCAGATGCCCAGCGAAACGTCAACAAGCCGCATTGGCTACTCGTGGAGTATAACTGGCCGCACGGTGATGAATCATTATCGCCTCAACAGCGACAAATCTTTCCGAGCCAGAGTGGTGTCGGGAGCTGCCGCAACGAAGCCAAACCTGGTGGGCGGCGCTGCTGCATGTCGCCGCGCACGCCACGTGATGATTTAGCTGGGCCAACCCTGTTTGTTTTGACTGTTGAGGGGGGCCCAAGGGCTGGCGATAAATTAATTAACTGCATGCTGTTCGAGTCAAGCGACCCCGCGTGTCGCGATCAGGGTGCGCGCAGCCACCGCAAGGGACGACCACGGTGTGAGCGTCCCGATGAAGCTAGCTGCCGTATCTTCAACTTGATGGGGGCAAGCAGCATGGGTTCGCCCTGCAGGTTGCCGCCCCGGGCTGAGGGCAGAGGCGGCGGGATGCTACATGTACGAGTAGCTTAGGCCCATCTCCTCAGGGGAACAATGAGGTGACAGTCTCTATTCCTGCTCCGTTGTCCGTCGTCCGTATGGCTGAAAAAATATCTTTGCCCCCTTGTTGTCAGCGCAGCAGGCAATGGCAATCCAGCGTTTCTCCTTGTTTGCCGTCTGAAATTAGCTGGCCTGCCCTTCGGGCTCTTGGCACGCGCCCACCCGAGCAGCTAACGAGTCTAGCGTGGGAGGGCCTCGACGATACGAGGCGCATAATGGTCATGTCGCCATGGGCACGTACCGGTGCTAACGACGGAAACGTGCGCCTGCTGAAGAGCTTGACGGGTATCCGCGTCTGGTGCTACTAGTACAGAGTCGTTCTGACAGCAGATCCCTGACGAGGGCCCTCCGTCAGCAGGCCACCCATTCGCTCATGCATATTGCTCTCATGCGTCGCAGGCCATTGAGAGACACTTACTCGCCTTGCGGTGGTGCCTTGACCGTGCTCTGCACCGTCGAGCAAACTCATCCTGTACTTGTAATGTGTACTCGAACTTTGTGCGTGTACCCGCCGTCGTGAGGAAACGGGGCCCCCAGCCGGAATACCGGTTGCTGTTGGGCCGTGGCATGGCGTCGAGCGCCTGAGTTGACGGTTCCACGAGCCCCTGAGTGGTGTGTGCTCGACGGCTGTCTGTCGAGCGGCTGACAGCCCATTGACGATGCGTCGGCACTGGCCACGGCGACTGGCGGGACAGAGGAATGAATGAAAAGAGGAGTTGCCATAAGGTTTTACTGCTAGCGCCCAGGCGCCCAGGTGATGCGGTGCGAAGGGGGTTCGTCCCGTCTCGGCGAGGCCAATAGACGTCGGATGCTGGGCTCTGGCGGTACGTACTCGGCCACAAGGGCAAGGCATCGTCAAGTCAATTCTCTTCAATTTCCAGGCTCCATGCTCGCCCCCTCGTGTCGTCTGACGGCCAAGGTACCTGCCCGCTACCTGGGCCAAGGCATGCTTCACCGCGGCGGGCGAGGTACCTCGCCTTATCGCTCCGATGTGGTAATATCACACCAACCTGGGAAGCAAGCCCTTGGGCGTGATGGGGAAAGCGCCAGCGCTGGGCGGCCTCCCATTGTCAACAGGATCGAATTTGACAGGGCTGCCGCGCGAGGAACATGTCCAAGTTGAGCGCAGCGCTGAGCAGGTGCATCCGCCAGCGTTATCGCCAGCCCCAAGCCGGCGAGTCGCATTACGAGCGCCTCGTCAATAGAATGCCGGGCCCGGGCTCGTATCCGCCTCCATCTCACCATCTGGCTTCTTCTTCTCCTTCTGCGTGCTCCGTACTTCTGCGTCGTCGCCCTCGTCTCTTTCACTCTTCCCTGCCCCCCTGCCCTGCCCTGCCCTGCCCCTCGGGCCACAGCACCAACCCGCCGCCTCCCAGTATCTGGGCCCGCCAGCACACCGTGTCCCCCACAGCAAGACATCCCGCCTGCTGTAGCCTGCGCCGTGCGACGACGGCGAGTGGCATCCGAGCGAGCAACCGGCCGACAACGACGACGGGGCCCGTTACCCGGTCGCGCGGAGGACATTCCCTCTGCGGTCTCTGTGCACAGGCTCTCGACGGAAAGGCGCTCGGCCGCGCCGTCTCGTCTCGTCACGCCCGGACCGGCCCAGTAGAAGGCCCCCCAGACGAAGCCCGCCAACCCGTGCGTAGGTTGACCGACGGGCAGCGCTGACCGGCCGGCTGGCCACTCCGCCCTGCTTGGCGCCACTGAAAAAGCGCATCGTTTGATTACACGAGGGGGCGTCGAGAGCCTCTCGAACTATAGGTACGTCGATGAACAGGAATCATGTCATGCCCGTTGCATCTGCACGCACCAGCGCGTCTCGTCGTTCCGACCACGCACCTATTGCGCGACGCTTTCCACGAGCAATGCCTGCACCGCCAAACCAAAGTCTCGCGTCGTCTTCAGGGCTGCTCCGTCGGCCCCCTCCCAGTGCCTGGCCACGGGTACCTCTGGTAGTGCCCTTCCGTGGCCCCCGCTGAGACCCCGAACCCACCGAGCCTTCCATGGGCCCACCGGCCAACCAACAATCGAGCGCCCCAAATTACTACGGCGGCCGGCGCCCCTGCCAGGCAGTGCAGCGCAGCGCCTTTTGCTAACTGTACGAAGTTCAAGCCACATTTCTCGTGGCCTCGCAGATCTCATCGGGAGGGATTCTTGCGTCAGCAACTACCATCGACACCCTCGACATCCGGCCTCGTCGTCCTCCGGCCCTGCCGTCTTCCTCTTCACCGCGGGTGGCTCGAGGCACCTCGTCTCGGCGTCTCTGTCGTCCCGCGCATTCCAGCCTTTCTGGGGGATCGTTCCTGTGCGCGCGCCCCGTGGAACCAACTCGTCCCACGTTTTTTTCTCCCACCCCAGAGCCTTGCCAGCGGACAAAAGTCGGCACTGCGCCTGGCTGTCCTCCCTTGCTGCAAAGGGGCCAGATAGCCGTCTTTGAATAGACAGCGGGTAGCTCGACAGCGCCAAGCTCGCCATTCTTGCGCCATCCGCCATCTGCGAGCGCCTCGTCTCGTCTCGACCCGAGGGGCCGACCCAAGTCGAAACCGGGACAAGAGCCCAAAACCCCCCCGGCGGCGTCGACTTTAGCCAATCCGCCCGCCCGACTCCGCGTCACTGCAATCTCGTTCGTCCCTCCCTCCGGTCGATCGATACGGCATCCCGTTCCAGCCAGCCAGCCATTGAAGTTGGATCGTCACCTCTCCGACCTCGCGACCTCGACAACCGGTCAATCTGGCGTCCGCCAAGCTCTCCGCCGGCTCTTCGAGCTCCTTCAGCGACCGGCCTGCCCCATCACACCACCGGCGGCGCTCATCGGCTGGCTCGCACACGCTGAGCGAGGCGCGATCTGGCAACTTGCTTGAGATACGCCCCAAGCAGGCCAATCAAGCTCCGCTGTCGCCAATCCTCGGTACGTCGCGACATCACTCCTCCGCATCGCTCCTCTGCATCTCGCCTCGTCTGTCGCTGCTCCCTGCCCCTCTTGCCCTGGGCCACGCAGTATCATTTTGTAATCATGGGGCAGAGTACGATCCCGCACACTCGCTGACACTGCTGCTCCTTCCTCTATAGGCACCCCGGCGATTCCTATGTCCTTGTCCCGCAGCCCGTCGCCGGTCCCCGGCGGCGGCTGGTCAAGTCCTGGCCTGAATCTCAACAGCGGCAGGAATAGTCCGGCGGCCGTCAGCGGCGGCCCCGTGCAGTGGGAGTCGGCCAAGATGCGTCACCTTGGGCCGAACGGCTATCCCTCCTTCTCAACACACAACCAGGGCTTCTTCTCTCGCCACATGCGCCGCATATCGAGCAGCCTACCGCGCTTCAGTCCCACTGTTGACTCCCGCTATGGCGACAAAGACAAATTCGGGCGCGGTCGATGGCCCGGCCAGAACATTCCCCTGGTCGGAAGGATAATATCCATCTTTGGTCGCATGGGACGGAAGATGAAGATACGCCTAGTGATTGGGCTCATCGCCTTTCTGTGCATCTACATATTCTACCACTCCCGTAAGTCCGGCCTGTCCCTACGTTTGCACCGCATAATCCGCCAGTGCGTGCCTTTGTCTAACAAGATCCAATGCAGCTCTGGTATACCATTGGCGGAGAGCCTCCTGGGGCGGCGGCGGCGAAAAGTTCGTCATCATCCTGGGTGCCAACGTCGGCGGCGGCGTCATGGAGTGGAAGGGCGCCCGAGAATGGGCCATCGAGAGAGACAGCGTGAGGAACAAGCGCAACTACGTGAACCGTTGGGGCTACGGCCTCGAGGTTGTCGACATGAAGACGAGGAAGAAGTACGCCCACGAGTGGCGCGAAAGCTGGGAGAAGGTTGACTTCATGCGGACGGCCATGAGAAAGTATCCCAAGGCAGAGTGGTAAGGACCCCCGATTCCGCCCAAGGCAGTCCAGGACGGTCGAGTTGACCCGTCTCAAGGTTTTGGTGGCTTGACCTCAACACGATCGTCATGGAGCCATTCTACTCATTGCAGGACCACATCTTCGACGACTTAAGCAAGCATGTCTATCGCGACATCAACGAATACAACCCCCTCAACATCACACATCCATTCACCGATCCGTACCTCGACCCCGATGCCCTGAGCCCCACCGGCGACGGCAACTCCGGCTCCATCAACATGGTGCTCTCGCAGGACTGCTCAGGCTTCAACCTGGGCTCGTTCTTCATGCGGCGCAGCGCGTGGACGGAGCGCGTGCTGGACGTCTGGTGGGATCCGGTGGCGTACGAGCAGAAGCACATGGAGTGGGCGCACAAGGAGCAAGACGCATTCGAGCAGCTGTACAAGACGCAGCCGTGGATTAGGCAGCACACTGCGTTCCTGCCCCAGCGCAGCATCAACAGCTTTCCCCCGGCAGCCTGCGGCGACGGCAGCGGCAAGAACCACACGCGATATCACTACAGCGAGCGGGACCGCGATTTCCTCGTCAACATGGCCGGCTGCGAATGGGGCCGGGACTGCTGGGGCGAGATGTACCACTACCGCCAGTACAGCTACTGGCTGAACCGGAACCCGTGGGAACGTTTCAAGGAAGATTTGGTGGCAGTCATTTGGTTCAAGCTCACTGGCAAGTGGGTCAAGTTATAAGCGCCCTCGAGGGCGGTCGGGACACCGATACGCGCATCATGCCGTTGACGCTGCTCGTCGATTCGACGACGGGCGACTTGCATACTGGAAAGCCAACAGTCCGGATCCGCCGACAAACTGCGGCTTTCACGGATGGGGCCCGAAGGGCGCGCGATTCTCTTCTTGGTTTCGGAGATGTTATAATACCCGATTTTCTGCATGGCTCAGTGAGATGGCGGCGGAGGCAACGACATGATAAAAGGGAAGAGAGAGGAAGTCATACTTGCGCCATCCTCCGGCCCGGAAGATGCTGCGGGGCCGTCGAAGAACCACACGGGGCCGCGATGTGGCAAAGAGAGGCATTGGCGAGCCTCGCAGCAACATCCGAGTCGGGGCTCGCAGGACTTTGGAGCCGCGCCTTACGACCGACATGGAGATTCCGAGGACATGTATCAAAAAAGAGGAAAGGAGGCAAGCGAAAGGGGTGACTAGCATGGCGAGGGGGACTATGACAGTGGTCCCCCCGGGTGACCATGATGCATTACGGCCAGCGACATGGCCCACCATTGGCGTTGTGCAATTTGGTGTCTAGATGGAAGGGGAGCGACTTCGTTTTCTGGCTTGGGGTCACATTCTATGGTCTATATCATTTTTTTTCTTCCTCAACCATCACATGTACGATTTGAGGTATGTTGGACTACTACGGAAATAGATGGTCGTTGACGACCGATTCGGAAGGCCCTTTTCCAAACGGTTCTCAAACGGTGCTCGGCGACGACGGTGGTTGCGGGGAGATGTGAAGGGATACCGACGCCGCAGATGTGACAATGCAAAACATGCCCCGGACCGCACCCCAGATGCCGAGCCGATGACTGGCCCGAAGAGGAAATGAACAGGCACGGGCGCCAAGCACACTGGGCGAACCGCCGACTTGTAAATCAATGCCAAGTGAGTGTGCGAACGAGTATCGGGTAGATTGCGGCAGGGCCACAGTTCATGGAGGCCCACAGACGGCGTTGATTACCACGGTCAGGGATGGACCCATGCACAACGCATCGTGGTTGATGTGTTCTGCCAAGCACCCACTCAGATGGGAGCGAATCCGACCTGAGGAGCCGGCATGTAAATAGCCGGTCCGGGCTGCTTTATAGATGCCAATTTCGTTTCCCTTCGGGCGCCAGGGTGGCGTCCAAACTTTTGAAGCGTTTTACTGCGAGGAAACGCTTTGGCGAGGGCAAGGGGGGGGTGTGAGCTGGCATGATGGCTGTTCTTGAAGAACGGGGGGTTGAAACGGTGGAAACGAACACGGGAGGGAGGGCTTGCCGGAGGGGGTGCACGAGTAAGCATGGATATCAGGCAGATGCAGGCACGAGTAAGATCTCGTAGGTGTTGGTAAGTCACGAGGGATGTTTCAGAGCAGCAACGGCTTGTTAACAGCTGATGGGCGAACCTTTGGGGATGGTGAACGACGGGAGTACGAGCAGGCAAGTCTCTCTCCTGGAGAGAATCAAGTTGACTCTGGCTTATCGGCCTGGCTGAGAGACGGGTCCATAGCATCCATCTGGGGGCCCTTGCAGAGGTGAAAGGTGCGAATGTCACTCACTGTCAGCGTCGGTCGAGGGAGGGGACGATGACCCGCCAACCCTCGAGCCCCCCCGGGAACGGTCGCACCGGAATGGATGCAACGCAAAATGCCATATCAGCCTGCCCACGATCGGCGCTCAGACCCGCTCGGGCGACTCGCTGGATACCACGTACCTATCACCCCCGGGACAAGGGAAAGGAGCGAGGAGGGACCGACGGGGGGGAACAGAATTCCCTCGGCGCTTCTTGCTCTGCTGCTGGTCTCGAGGTGGGTAAAGGCTGCAAAAGATGTGCGTGAATGAGTGTACTCGTGCGACGTTGACGATGTAAGATGGATGGATGGATGCGCGCGCGTCGGGCGGCACAACACGGAGGGCTGAGAGAGTCAGTGTGCCAGTGCCAGTGCCAGTGCCCGGTTGGTAGGTTGGTTGTGTGTGGCCGGCGCTGCGTTGCTTGCTTGGAAAAAAACCGGGCAACCCGCCGCAGATATCCACCACAGACGACGTTCCCCCCTGAGGTGGGCGGTTAAATGCCAACAATACGCGCTGAAGACGCGCATGCCTCGCCAATCGCTCCATCAGCCATGCGCTTCCCGCCTGCGTGCGTGCGTGGCGGTCGATGTTCCGCCTTAAAGAATGGCGCATGGCTTTTTTTTTTTTCTTGCGGTGGTGGGGGTGCTGCGTTGCGTGACTTGCGTCGAGTTGCGTGCTCGCGCATCGTGCATCGATCTGCAGTTACAGAAGATGCGGTGGGTGAGGCTCGGGCTGGCTGAGCTGGGCTGGCTGATGAGGCTGATGGGGCGCCTGTGGGCATGGGCATGGCATGGCTTGGGTGTCAAGGCAAGGGGATCGGCTGTGTGGCTTGCAGCAGGGGCGCGAGGGGGCCCGATATGCTGGGTTGGAGATGGATGGATGGATGGAGCGAGGGCTTCTCGACGGCAGTCTTTGGTCCTTGTGCAAGAAGAGGTGGTGCGGCTGCGAGGTCCCTTGATGCAAGGTACATGGCTTGCCTCGTTCTAAACGCATACGACAAGCCGCATCCTCATCCCATCTGGCAGGCAGCATATTCATCACATCTGACGATGGCATTGTTTTTCCTCAGTCGAGGAGGCCCTGCTCTGGTGGCCTTTTTGACGGAGCATTTGGATCGGTGTCGTGCTTGCGGCACGGGTCTGCATGCCACGATGATGCACCCTCAAAGGCAATATGGGCTGGGCATGTCTGCCTCCCGACATCATGCCCACCCGTCGTCGCGTCGAAAAACGACCGACGATCGCCTGTGCAGCCCAGCAAGAAACCTCGCACCTGCAGGAAACCATCTGATGTGCGCAGCGCGCGCGCGAGCGCGCGGTTTTGTTCCTTGCATGAGGGGGGGAGCATGGGGAGCATCAGATCAGTCCGGGATAAACGAGCCGGCCGTGTTTCATCAGCTTTCCACCAGCCGGGGGGGAAGGGGGCTCTGGCGGTCTGCCAGCTGGCCAGCCATAGACAGCTTGACAAGATGCCGCTTCGTACTGTGAGGTACATGGCCGGCCCCGTAAAGCACAGGCCTAGCGGCCCGTATAGGTCGGTAGCGGGCACCGTATCAGTCAGTCAGTCGACTCAGGGGCTGGGCCGACCGAGGCGGCATCGGGCAAGACGGCCGCGGCGAGCGGAAAATGCTGAAACGCTCAGGCATCCGGACCAACTGGACGGCGGTCGTGAGTCTTTACAGTGGGGTCAGAGCTCCCCTGCAGGCTGCGCTGCTGCACCGCGACGGAGCCCGTCGACTGGGGGGGGGCCCTGGTGCAGGTGCAAGTGGCTGCCCTGGCATTCGCTCCGTGGCTTGCCCTAGCGCCAGGGGTCCCAGCGCCAACCGCCAAGCACGGGGCGCCGCCTGCCAGCCGTCGAAACAACCCCGCGGCGGGATCCCATTGGCCGGCCCGCAAAGGACACCGCATGTCTCAGAGTTCCCGGGGGGGAGGGCCCAGCGACGTCGTCGGGCCCCCAGGCGCGCGCAGAGAAAGTCTCGGCTCTCGAACCACACGCACCCGCAGGCCGACCCATATCTGCTGCGAGCGCAGGGGAAGCGACGAGGGAGAAGACATGGACATGCTCGTGCGTTGTACGTACTCGTACGCGCAGCTTTTTTGCGGCGGATGCCCCCAAAGCAGCAAGTGCGCCAGTCAATCGTTGGATGGGCTGCTCCACGAGGCGGCAGGCCGTGGGGACCCGGGATGCAGATACTCTGACTCTGCGCACACAGAAACGCGCACATACACGTGCGTGCAGAGGCTGTATTTAGCCATTCTCGCTCCCCCCCTTGACGGCCTTGTCTCGTCTCTCCGTTGCTCTGCACCTTTCGTCTCTCCTTTCAGGCCCCCGGCGTCGTCGTTTGACTGCCGTCCTTTCCCTTCGGCAGCTGGCTACAACCGTGACTTGAGATCCGTCTCCCACGCCTCGGCACCTGTTCCATTCATTCAATCCTCCCCCTCGGGCCAGCTCTATTTAGTAGAGCAAACGATACAGCGTTCGCATTGCCTCGCCCGTTTTTCAGCGTCGAAAGATCACCACCATCTGCCTAAGCAGTTGCATCTCTCATTTTCGTGGCCTTTTGACAAGCTTCGTTCCTTCCTCGTCTTACACCACTGCCGGCTGGACCTTCCCGATTTTCGTGGTGAACTACACAGCCTTCAGTGCACTCCTTCCTTGACTCGCACAGCACGTCAGTCTATCTCTCTCTCACGACAACGACGACATCTGTTTCGCTGCGCCCTTCGGTCTTTGACGGCACCTCATTTGCCTCGCACTTCCTGACGGGCTAGTTCCCATCACCGCCACTGCTCGACGCAGACGGACTCATTCATTCACCCACCTCGACGCTGCTGTGACCGGTTCACTCAGCGATTCACGGGCAGACATTGTCGGCTTCGTCACCGACAACCCAACTCGATCTTCCTCTGAGAGGACATCGACTTCACACGTCACTTTCTGGCAAAGCTCAAAAAACTTCACCTCTCCTCACCATGCATTTCTCCACAACTCGCCTCGCCGCCGGCGTGCTCCTTGCTTCGGCAAGCGCCGCCCAGGCCCGGTTCTCATACAACCTCCAGGTCTCGTACGACCAGACCAACTTCTTCGACTCGTTCGACTTCCTCAATGGGCCGGATCCCACGCACGGCTTCGTCGAGTACGTCGACCAGGCCACCGCGCAGCAAGCCGGTCTCATTGGCGCTGGTCAGGGCAACAGCAGCATCTACATGGGCGTCGACCACACCACCGTCAACCCTGCCAATGGCCGCAAGTCGGTGCGCATCACGTCGAAGCAGTCCTTCACCAAGGGTCTCTTCATCGCCGACATCGCTCACATGCCCGGCTCCATCTGCGGCGTCTGGCCCGCCTACTGGATGTTTGGCCCGGAATGGCCGTCTTCCGGAGAAATCGACATCATTGAGGGCGTCAACACCCAGACGCAAAACGCCGTGACCCTTCACACCTCTCCGGGCTGCGTCATGTCCAACACTGGCTCGCTTGCCTCGACCCTGCTCGAGTCAGGCAACTGCGGCTCCGGCAGCGCCAGCGGTGGCTGCCAGCAGCGGACGAGCGACAACCAGAATTATGGAGACGGCTTCAACGATATCAAGGGTGGCGTTTACGCCACGGAGTGGACGTCGGATCACATTGCCGTCTGGTTCTTCCCCCGCGGCCGCATTCCGCAGGACATCACCTCGGGCAATCCCAAGCCTCACACTTGGAACCACCCCTTGGCGCGTTTTTCCGGCGGCCTGGGCTGCGACATTGACTCTCACTTCACCAACAACAACATTGTCTTCGACACCACCTTTTGCGGTGACTGGGCCGGCAACCCCCAGGTCTGGGGATCCAACGCCGAGTGCACCGCCAAGTCGTGGTCGTGCCAAGACTACGTCTCCAACCACCCTGCCGACTTCAAGGACGCCTTCTGGGAGGTCAACTCGGTCAAGGTCTACCAGCTGGGCGAGTCGCGCGGCAACCCAGGCCAGGGCAACACGTCCACCCGGACAAAGCCCACCGCAACCCTGCCTATCCAAACCTCGACCCTGCCTCTTCCGAGCTCGGCCCTCAACTCGACCCCGACACTGATTGTCCCGAGCTCGACTCTGCGTCTCCCGAGTCTCTCGACCCCGACTCTTGCTATCCCAAGCTCGCCTCTGCTTGTTTCGACCCCGACCTTGCCTATCCCGACCTCGGACGTGCTTGTCCCAACGTATGCTCAGCAGGAACTCGCCCCCACAGTCAGCCCACACATCGTCAAGGTTACCGTCACCAAATATGCCACACAGTGGGTGGGGTCTGAGAGTGAAGAAACGCCGACGAGCCAGGTCGCTCCGCCCAGTCAAACCGTTCCCTCAAGCAAGGCTGAGCCGACTTTTGTCCGCCAGGGCAAGCCGACTTTTGTCCGCGGGGGCAAGCCGACGAAGAGCCAGGGCAGCAACCTGGGCGGCTTCAACGCAGAGGGTAGCTATGTCCCTAAGCCTTTCAAGGCCTAAAAAGGCTGCCAGGGGATGGACATTCTGCGAGACAGACGGTTTCGGCTGTGCCCTCGGCTCTTGGCCCGCGTCAGCAGGGCGGTCGATGACGAGAAGAGCGGCCATGGTCCGCAGGAGAGATACCCAACGGAGGACTTCTACCGCACCACGCCGCTTGGCATGCTCTGCAACGCTTTAGAGAGGCTAGGGAGGCACAGAAGTGCAGGATACAGGGCGTTTCGGTTCACCTTTTTGGCCAATTTCGTTTCTCTGCCCTCACGGGCTGACGATTTATGTGGACATAGGGCATTACGTGGGGTGTGCAGCCTGTCACGGGGGCCACCTCCCTTGTATATACAATGCACTACAGAACAAAGAATATGTTTGCAGGTGCACTACTGAGTCTTGTGCGAGCCGTCGGGGGTGATTTTATTGTGATGAACTGTTGAGCTACAGCGCCATGACTGCCACAACCGCGGCAATGGCAACGAGACTGGCGCCGTTCTTGCCCGCCGCGCTCTTCTTCTCACCGTCGGACCCGTCCTTGCCGTCGCTGACAAACTTTTGATAGACGTGGTTGTACTCGCTCAGGTACTGCGAGACGTACTCCCTGTCGCCCTTGGGCATGTTCTTGTCGTACCAGGGGGCGTCGGTGACGCGGGCCCAGTCCCAGCCGGTCATGACGAGGTCGGGGACGACGACCTTGGAGTTTGTGGCCTTTGCGGCGGCGGAGTAGACGTCGCGGAGGACGGTGCCGAAGCGGGCGTCGTTTTCGTACTTTTTCTGGACGCTGTAGAGGGCGGTGGCGAGGGAGGTGTAGGCGGCGCCGGTGAGGGTGGCGGGGAGGGCGGCGGCGTGGGTGCCGGTGGTGGGGGGGAGGAGGACGTCGGAGGCGGGCTTGGAGGCGGGGAGGGTGGTGAAGATGGCCAGGGAGGGTGTTGCCGTGAGGGCGAGGGCGAGGGTGAGGGTTGTGAGGGTGAGGGTGGACTTCATGATGGGTTGATTTGTGTGTGAGTCTGTGTGTGCACGTCGTTGGGGAAGGGGTTTGAGGGGAGGAGGATGGTTCGCGGTGTAAGTGGATTGGGGGTGCGAGTGAGAACGAGCAAAGATTCAGGACGCCTTGGGGGGACTTCACGACTGATATAGAAATGAGCCGGTCGGGCAGGTAAGTAGGCAGGCAGGCAGGCAGGCGGAAGGCCGGCTTTCGGCAGGAAGGAGTTTGCTCGAGCAGAGCCTCACGTTCGGTCGGCGGCGGAGGGGATCTTGGCCGGCGGGCGGCTTGGCTTGGCGGCACGGGCTGTTTGTCGAGTGCCAACTGCATTTGGTGCAGGAGCTCATGATGGGGAGGGGCCGAGCGATACGAGTTTGTGAAAGAAGGAGAGAGAGAGGCACGTCCAACGACGATTGTCTTGGAAAGATGCGTGGCGAGGGAGGAGAGAGTTGTCGAGGCACATGCAGCTATGACTACATACAGCAAAATAATGCTCTTGTTTTTCTCTCTTGAGTTTCTGGGGATTTCATTGCTAAGTCGAAGATTAGGATCTCTTGGGACGTTTTGGGAGAGAGCCCAAAGCAAAGCCGTTTCAAAGGTCGTGGCCACTCACGGCTGGCTACACGATGGCCGAGACGACGAGATGCGGCTCTGCTGCCCAAGCGCGGCTCAATAGCGGCGACTCCCTCGCGCGGTTCAAGGGACCGGGGACATCGTGGCCCTCAGTCAGCGCGATGCGTGGGCGGCGTTGGCGTTGCCATTACTCGAAAGGGATATGCCCGAGCATGTCGTTGGCCAGCGAGCGCCTACCTTACCTATTATGTAGGTTGGGTCGCATCACGGCAGCGTCCTTGCGTCCAACCGATTAGTTATGTGACTTGCGGTTTTTAGATGGCTCAGACGCTTTCGCCTGGGACTGGTGGGAACGGTGCTAACCAGTGGCCTGCAAAATACCGTGCTCGAACAAGGGGATAGAAGACCCGGTGGTGGTGGTGGAGTACGGGATGGCATGGCTCTTTTAGGAGAGCGTCATACATGTATTGCCCACATTCATTTTGGGACGGGTTTCTTGACTTTGTCTCTGGTGAGTGATTTCCTTTGCGTGGAGTCACTCACATCGTGGAGTGTTTGGTGCGCACAACGTTTGTTGTTGCTGTTGTTGCAAGAGGCCATTAACAGGCAGATGCATCTGATCTAATCGGAGATGCTAGCCCGCCGGCCCCCACCACATACACGGGCGGTTCGTTATTACTGCAGCCACGCCCCCTGTCCGCTTCCAGCATCGCGCACGCCTCCCGACATCATGCCATTCAATGCCATGCCCGCCGTCCATCAGGTGATGGGCCAAGGCGGATAGATTGCAGAGCTCCCTCCCTCTCGAAGTCAAAATGTAAATTCGCCTGCGTACAAAGCATGACGGGGCTGCGGTCGCTACGCCAAATGACCCGGCACTTGGGAAACGCACGGAGCGCGGCCTCATCACGACCGCTGCCGACTGCTGCCGCTGCCATCGACTCGTCATCATCCTCAGCATCGTCATCGTCGTCTCAGATCCGAACGCACCGAGGCACCACCACTGCCAACGCCAGCGGCACGACGGGTCCCGGTTCGTCAACGACGACGGCGACGACAGCAGCGCCCGCGATGCAGCACCCCGTCATCGTGGTCGGCGCGGGCCTCGCCGGCCTGACAGCCTCCTTCTCCGCCCTCCGCGCCGGCTCGCCCGTCATCCTCCTCGAGCGAGCCGCCGCCGCCGGAGGCAACAGCATCAAGGCCTCCTCGGGCATCAACGGCGCCCCCACCGTCTACCAGTCGGGCCCCGTCCCCGACACCTTCTTCTACGACGACACGATCCGCAGCGCTGGCTCGCGCATGTACTCGGCGGAGAGGTCCCAGCGCGAGACCCTCATAGCGCAGCTGACGAACCGCTCCGCCGCTGCCATTGACTTCCTCGTCGATGATATTGGTGTCGACCTGAGTGTCGTGTCCCTCATGGGCGGGCACTCGGTGGCGCGGACGCACCGCGGCGGTGGGGGCAGTCCGCCCGGCTGGTCCATCGTCAAGGCCATGCTGGATTCCCTAAAGCGAGACGTGCGGTTCCAGCTGCGCACCGAGCACGAGGTCACGCAGCTCCTGACCTCCCCACTGAGTGGCGACGACGATGACGGCCCCGCCACCGTGACGGGCGTAGAGGTCGCCCATCAAGGCGAGACGACGCGGCTCGACGGCCCCGTCGTCTTCACCACGGGCGGCTTCGCGGGCGACGCCGACGGCCTGCTCGCGCGGTACAGGCCCGACCTGGCCGGGTGTCCGACCACCAACAGCCCGCGGCCGGGTATGCACGGCCTCCTGACGGCGGTGGGCGCCGAGCTCGTCGACATGGAGAGCGTGCAGATCCACCCCACGGGCTTCGTCGACCCGGCGAACCCCAACAAGCCGGGCAAGATCCTCGCGGCCGAGATGCTCCGCGGCGAAGGCGGCATCCTGCTGCACAAGGGCCGGCGGTTCGTCAACGAGATGGGCACGCGCGAAAACGTCAGCGACACCATCATGAAGCTGCCCCTGGACCGGGCGCCGCTGAAGACGGGCGGGAGCGCCACGCCGCGGCAGTGGGACGTCCAGCTGCTGCTCGACCCGGGGGCCTTTGTCCGCACCAAGCCCAACGTCAACTTCTACCTGAGCAAGGGCCTCATGGCTAAGCACAAAGTGAAAGACCTCGACGAGGTGACGCGCGAGACGCTCAGGGAGTACGCGGGCGTCGTCGCGGGCCAGCGGCAGGACAGCCTCGGCCGGAAGGCGTTTGGGCACTGGACGCTCAAGTGGGAGGACGGCGTCGGCGACGAGGCCGAGGTATATGTCGGGCGCGTCACGCCCGTGGTGCACTTCACCATGGGCGGCGCCGTCATCGACGAGCGGAGCCGTGTCCTGGCGTCAACGCTGAGCGCGCCTGTCCCGCGCCCGGTGAAAGGGCTGTGGGCGGCCGGCGAGATCACGGGCGGCATCCACGGCGACAACCGGCTCGGCGGCTCGTCCCTGCTCGAGTGCGTCGTCTACGGCCTCGTCGCCGGCGAGGAGGCGAGCAAGCACGCCAAGACGCTCGACGTCGCCGAGCGAGTGGCTTCGTCGTCGTCTTCCTCCTCCTCCCAGAGCAAGGAGCCCTCGGGTGTGGACTGGACAGACTTGTAGCGGATTTGGTCATCTTGGGATATAATTTTTGGGGAGTTGTCAAGACACTAGAATGGCATGAATATACGAAACTTCGTTTCTTGGAGGCTGGACCCGGGATGTAGCCGTAGCAAGCACACAACGTCCCCATGAGCTTAATATGGGGGGCTCCAGCTTCAGCCGTCCTGTCACACGCAGCCCGCTGCTCTCCCATGGGCCAGCCACGAAGTCTAAATCTCATGAGCATCGAAAGCACCGATCGCGTCACCGAGCTCGCCTTCTTATGGGCAGGCGCGGCGTTCATGCTAAAACGCCGTCGTTCGAGCAACATGTCGTGACTGAGCACTGCACCGCCCTGCGTCCCATTCAACACCTCAAGTCGCAATCAGCATGTCCTGATTTTGATGAATTGATCGTTTCCCCCCATATGACCGCCAGCAAGAAGACAACCGCCGCCGCCGCCACCACCGCCACGACGAGCACGACAACCCTCATCGTCGGCCTCTCGGGCTGCTCCTGCAGCGGCAAGTCGACGCTCGCGCGCCTCCTCCGCGACGTCTTCCCCGGGTGTCTCGTCGTCCACGAGGATGACTTTTACAAGCCGGCGTCACAGTGAGCCAATTGCCCTGCCCGGCCCGGCCCTTGCCTTGAGTTGCTGTTTCCGCGTCTCCCTCCCATACCCCCTACACAAGGGGGCAGGGGGGAGGGCAGGAAGGGGGACGAAAGACACCACTCCTGATACTGAATCGCGAGTTGCGTTGCCACAGGTTGCCGCGCAAGAATGGCTTCGTCGACTGGGACTGCGCCGAGGCGATTGATGTGCCGGCCCTGGCGGACGCATTGTCGTACGTCCGCGAGCATGCATCTCTACCTGTACGCAGAGACCCTCTCTCTCGCGCCCACCCCTGTGACACTCCGGGCGCAGCAGCTATGACTTGCTTGGCTGTTGACAAGACGTCGACTCGCAGCCCGACCTGACCACCCGGCACGGCCGGCAAGACCAGGAATTCATCAACGGATGCTCCATCCACCCATCGGTCATCTCCGAGCTCCAGCACACGGTCCGCTCCTCCCTCCCACCCCCCACGATGACGACGACGCCCTCCCCTCCTCCACGCGTCTGCATCGTCGAGGGCTTCCTCCTCTACGGCCCGCTCATGACCGCCCTCGAGCCCCTCCTCGACGTCAAGTGCTTCGTGCGGGCGTCGCGCGCGAGGGTCACCGCCCGCCGCCGCGACCGCGACGCCTACATGTGCGCGCGCTGGGAGGGCTTCTGGCCGGACCCGCCGGGCTACGTCGACGAGGTGGTCTGGCCCAACTACGTGAGGGCGCACGCGTGGATGTTTGAGGCTGGGGACGTCGAGGGCAGGTTCCTGGGGGAGGAGCGGCTGCGGCGGAGGGAGTGCGACGGCGGCGGCGGCGGTGTTGAGGTGATGCGGGAGGGGGCGGCCGTGGACGCGGACATGGAGGGGACGCTGCGGTGGTTCTTTGGTGTTGTATTGAAAGAGCTGCAGAAACGCGCGCCTAGATGAAACTGACCGAGATATACAAGATGTTTTTCTCCGTTCTTTTTAAGACGGACCCAAGTGCACACACAATCTTTTGTCGACGAACCATCTCCGTGCCGTGTTCGTGTACCATGCCCTGTCTTTCTTTCCTTACGCTCCTTGTTCCAGCACGACTTTCCAGCATGACTGTTGCAGCCAACAGGCGTCCTTGTGTTATCCAATACACATCCTCCGAGGAACCAGGGTGCGTGCGAGCCCCGTATCAGCGCCGCGGATAATAGTGGTGGAACGAATGTGGCCGATGATATAGACAAGAAGCCTTCCCATCACCCGTGGATGGAAGTGTCAAAGTCGTGTCGGGTCAGTGAGTGTACGTGTGTGTGTTAGACCCCCGTGTCCCTGCGCGCAAAGTGAACCATATTGTCCAACTCCGTCATCAGCCCACGATCACCAAAGCCCATCCCCTCGCCCGCCTTGAGCGCGTGCGTCCACACGGGCACATCCCAGTCGAGCGCGTCCCAGCAGCAGCTGAGGCGCCACACGCGGCTGCGCTCGCCGTCAAACTTGCTGCCCTTGGGCGGCGGGAGCACGTCCTCCGCCGAGGACGCTCCGTCGGGCAGCCGCACCACGCCCTCGTACAGCGTGCCGCCGTCGTCGAGCGACGAGTAGAAGCGCAGGTCCTCCTGCCCGAGGCGCTGGCGCAGCTCCGCGAGCGCCTCGGACGGCATCACGGGCCGGGGCGACGTGAGGCGGAAGAAGACCCAGCGGCCGCACCAGTTGCGCGACTTGAGCACCTCGCAGGCTGGGTGCCCGCAGCAGGTCTTGCCCGAGCAGGTGTTTTGGTTGCTCATGGTTGATGTATGTTTGTCTGATACACGAGGTTCTTATATATAGCTGTGTGTAGGGAGTGATGAGACTTGGGCATCTCAGGCTGCCATGTGCCAGCTAAGAAGACAGAATCCAGCAGGGAGAACGGAAGAGCTTCCATCTGACGCAACCCTCCAAGGGGTAATATAAGCAAGAGAGCTTCCTGGGGCTAGGAGGCGGAGGAGGGGGTCACGTCGGATGGATGGAAAGCTTCCTCGCCCGCATCACCACGCCTCCCCCCCCAGCCAAAACTCCACGCCTTCCGGGGGCGGGAGAGGGGTCCCCCAGCCGCCGTCGGCCAGATTCCCCGTAGACCTCGGCGATGATGGGCGAAACATACGGTACGGGCAGCGGGCGCAGAGGGACAGATGCCCGCCCCCAAGGTTTGCAACTAGGGGCCAAAGCTGAGGGCCACCCTCACAGGCAGGCCCAGCAGCGATTCGCTCCAGCGCCGGATGGATGGCCGACGTGCCGTGCATGTTGCGTGTGCGGCGCACGGCTTCGGCTCCCCGGGGGTGCAGCGGTGCGGTGCGGGTGCGCCCACGATGCACGTGTGGTTCGAGCCTTTTCCAGGGAAGAAAGCTGGTTTACGGTAACGAAAAGGGCCAGGCTGGCTCACAGCTTCCAACCCCCCGCTGCTCCAATAGCTTCCCGCCGCCCTCCATCCTCCTCCGGCCACTGGGGGTCGTGTAAGTGTTAAGTGTGTGTGGTGGCCGCAGTCTCGCGCGACGGTGATAGGACGCCATCGAATTCAATGGCACGGGGAAATGTGGGAACGGGTTTCCTCCGCTGATAGGCGCTCGGGCGGTAGCTGCGGATATGGATTGTCGTCAAAAGGGGTCGTCGTCGCCGTGGGGTTGGTTGGGTGATTTTTCCCCGCCGCGGCTGCTGCGATCGTTTTTTTGCTCCGTGATGATGCGAGAGTGACGACACGCGATGCTGGAACGACATACGACCTTTTCATCCTTCCAGCGGAAGTTATTGGAAACTGAATCTGTTCCGGAGAATTTTCGCTTCGGGAGCATAACGGGGACAAAAAATCCAATTCAAAGAGACCTCTGAGCCTTTTCATCCTTCCCCCCCGCCTGTGACTTACACGGGAGGAGGTTTAATGTGTGCGAACATGGGCCGCGACAGACTAGCAGGCGTCTTTGCGCCGTACCGACTCTAAAACACTAATAAAGTGGTCGAACCTCTGGTTTACAGTGGGCTCCACCTACGGCCAAAGGGGCTGTCTTGAAGACGAATTCATGCAGAAATCCCGAAGCACGACCGCTGGGCCTCGGGGGGAGCTCCCATGTCGACCTCGGCAGAAACTCCATGGAGTCCGGTAGCGCGCCCTCGATTCTCCGACAATCACACGATGTTGAGTCCTCGACCCATTCCACGTGTCAAGTCACCGCGCTGCCGGGATCTTCGGGAGAGGCATCGCTGCCTCAGTCCAGCATGAGAGTCCATATTGATGGTTCTCTCGTCTTTCAGTCAGGTGGTTCGTGACGACGCTCGTCGGGCCTGATGACTGCTGGTCGGGGCCACTTCCGGGTGAGACTGGATGGATGGTTGACACGCAGCCGCAGCAAGCCGAAGACCACCAGCAGTTTACATGCCATATACTTCGTACATACAGATCAATGCCGGCGGACTTTGCTCTTCCCCCTCCCATTTGCCTCGTCTCTCTGCCCAAACCTGAGATATATGTTCCATTCCTGAATCCTGACGTCAATCGCTACAGAGGCAAGTATGAGGCAACGAACTAAATAACACAAATCAACAGGGCCAGCAGCAACTATTTGACATTGTCGCCGTAACCCCTGCTCCCACAGCCACCACCACGGCGATCGCCCAGGCACAAGGGGCCAAGCCACGCGGGCGCTACGTTCGCGCGGCATTTGGCGCATCAACGGCGCGACAGAACTGTGATTCCAAATATAATGCGTATGCCGGCAAGCGAGCAACGCCTCATGACACTGACACTTTACACGATGCGGCTCAACATTGGAGAGCCAAGAGCATAGGCCAATTTTTTCTCTCCCAAGCCGAACGGAGTTTTGTGACGGAGTCCGCGAGGCGCAGCGTGTAGTAGTATCATTGATGCCTCCGCGGCCTCGGGATGGCCGTCCCTCGGTCGGTCGGTCGGTCGGGTGTTGCAGCAACGAAACTAAAAGCCCGCGATGAGATCATTGATCCATGCACCGCGCCCCGTGGGGAGGAAAAGAGCCCGACCCCTGCCTGGGACGAGACAGTTTTCTTCACGAGTACATAACCAGGTAATCGCTGCAGTAACCGTTCGTTCAATCCGGACCAGTCTTCCATTGCAATTGCGCGTCGTATTCACTCGCATCTCCTCCCGCCCTCATTGCCGACTACTCACCACAAGCAAGTGACACAGCACAACACCACACTCGCCCATCATGAGTTCCGCCCTCGGCCTCGACGCCTCCAAGAACGTTTCGCTGTTGACGGTACGCATCAAAAACTCCCCTTCTGCCGCGTTTCACGCGCAAACAAAACCTTGCCCAGTGAAAAGAAGCTCACACATCTCCCCGCCATCGCGCCCAGATCCCCGTCGTCTTCATCGCGACGTGTCTCGCTCCCCACGCCTATGCCGTCTCCGCCGCAGGCAAGACGTACGACATAAGCAACCCGCGCTTCTTCCTGCCGACCGTCGCCAAGGATGAGTCGCTCGACAAGACGGTGCGTGCCTCTCTTTCTCTCTCTCTCTCTGTCTGAGCCTCGTTCCCCCTGTACCGCGCGTCTCTCTCGCAGGCTGGCTGGCTGGCTGACCTGTCGGGGGGGCTCAACAGCTGAGGCAGCGCATCATCCGCGCCGAGGGCGCCTCGCAAAACGGCTTCGAGAACCTCGGCCTCTTCGCCAGCGGCGTCGTCGCCGCCAACGTCGCCGGCGTCGCCCCCGCCGAGGTCAGCGCCCTCTCCGTCGGCTACCTGCTCGCCCGCCTCGCCTACGTCTTCACCTACGTCCACCTCGGCGCCAACCGCAGGCTCGCCCCCGTCCGCTCCCTCGTCTACATGGCCTCGACCGGCCTGTTGCTGGCCATCTGGGTCCGCGCCGGCTTCAGCCTGATGCTGCAGTGATGGAAAAACTCGGCCCAGACATGACTTGACTTTGGTGCTTAGGAGAAGGAAGAAAAAAGACGGGCCGGGTTTTGGCTTTTGGGAGACAGGCGGCCACAGCTGCCAGTGAGTGCGGTCTGGAGTCTGGTGTGCCGCACGTACGCACGCATCTCGGCAGCGCGCGAGTCAGCCTCCTGTTGTATTCCGTCGTGAGCCCATCATCAAAGGGGAAACCCGACGACGCGCGCGTGGTCGTGCCGCATGCGCGGGACCCTTTGTTTGCCGGTCGTACATGCTTCCATATTAGCAAGGTGCATCATCATATGCAACAGCATCAGCAACAACAACAGCAGCAGCAGCCTGCTGTGCGACAACGTGGCAAACACGGTCGACGGAGGCTGGTTTTGGTGGTCTTGCGCTGAGCTCGTCCGTGATAGATAGGGCAAATGCGACGCTGATAAATGTCCAGTCACCACCACCCGTCCATCCTCCCATCCATTCATTCATCCATTCGTCTAGTATCCGCTTCCTCGCATGCAAAGACGCGCGACCCGCCTCTGTGCGCAGTCTGACTCCGGGCGCGCATGCGTCTGCGCAAAAAGCGCCTTGATATCGTGACGCGATGCGATGCAACAATTCGGAGTGGCAAGGCCAGGGGACCCCCCCAAGGTCTGGAAGCCCTGCTCCATCTCGGATGCTGCATCACCGACCGTGGAAGAACCTCGCGTCAGCTCTGTTCGTGGATCCGGCCGGCATGGCTCCGGTGGCCCTGCTGGCTCACTCCCCTCCCCTCTCACGTCCCTTCTCGTGCCGCCCGGACCGTCAGACGCAGTCCAGCTTGTATTTATGCGTGATGCTGCTGCACGCGGATGATAGGGGGGGTTGGAGCGACGTCGGTCCACGGCGTGACAGACTGAAGCTGTTCATCGAATCACGTCCTCTCGATGTCGTCGCTTCAGCTCCCATCGACATGCTTGCCGCACTGCTACGTGAGCACGAGAAACCACAAGGTTGTGCCGCGTCCATGCTTGCGCTTGCACGCCCGTGGTGATAGTAGCTGATGTCACCCTTCCCAGGTCATCGTCGAGGGGTCCCCAAGCGGTGAGGCACGTTTCCACGCGCGGGCTGTGCTTCGCAGCACGCAGCACGCATCGCACACATGCCGTGCCCCCCTCAAGTAAGTGAGCGAGTGAGCGAGCCATAAACTAGATTCGTCTCGCCGGGCATCCCGCGTCTCCTGCAGTGATGCGTCGTCGAGTCCGTCCCTCCTCCCCTCGTTCAGTGCGTGCGCCCCCCTGGGTTTGGTCCTGGTATAAAAATGTTCGCCGCGCCCGTCCTTGTGTTCCGCCATCTCAAACCCTCCTTCCCTCTGCTACTGCTTCTGCTTCGCGCTTTCCTTATTCTAAAGCCACCGTCCAGACGCTTTGCTCTCGTCCTTTGCCGCGGAAGGAACGTACATCCCTTACATCAAGACACTCGATAAAAACTCCCGAGACTCGCCGGGCGCCTCTGCTACGGGAGATATCCTAGAGAAACCACCTCCGCGAAAAACACGCCACTCCCACGCTCCCCGATATCCTTTTCACTATTAATCATATACGTCAAAAGTCAGCAAGGGGACATCCTGATCCAGCCATCATGTTGCTGTCCACGCAGACCACGCTGCTCCTCCTCCTCGCCGGCCTCTCCTCGGCCGCCGTCCTGCCCCAGGACGCCCCCCGTCGGGACGGCCTCGTCGCCCGAAACACGCCCGCCTCGCCCGCGCCCACACAGACGCAGTCTGCCCAGGGTCAGGGTCAGGGTCAGGGACCGGTCCAGCCCGCCGCCGTCACGCCCTCCGTCTCCCTCCCCGTCGCCTGCGACTACACCTACTGCGACGGCTCGTCCTCGTGGTGCTTCTACTGGGGCGGCGTCACTTCGTACGACCCCAACCACGGGCCCGTCCCCGGGGAGACGAGGACCAACCTCGGCCCATGCGGCGCCGCCGCCACCACCGCGCCTGCTGCGACCCGTTGACCTGCTCACACATGAGTGTGCGCCCAACCGATGAGCAAGGGGAGGCGAACAAGGGAAATATGGCGCAAGGCCGAGCACGGGTTTCGGGGGCATGCGTTGTCCCATGCTGGCGAGCCTATGCAAGTTGGCAGCGCACAGGCCCGTCGCCCGTTGGACTCGATGCAGCAGGCCAAAAACAGTCATCAATCGCCGACGAGGGGCACTGGGATGGTATGCATGAGGACCCATGGCTGGGGAAACATGATACGCACAGAGCGGGCATGTCCACGGCGAGAATGGCCCACTGCTCGAGTTGGTGCCATCAGGTACCTGTCCATTCATCAACGCTGTACATATATATGGCAAAAGCAGTTCTAGTGTAGCACGCTCCGGTCCCTCAAATCCAAAAATAAACGTCATGCAACATCCAGATGCCCTTGCCAGCAGCTGTGAAGACGCCGGCCTCATGCATGACATACGTTGTAGCACAATGTCCAGTCCAGTGTAAACGCCCAGTATACAAGACGTCTTCGAGCCGCGCCATCCCACCTCGAGTGTGCTTACGGGTGCCCTTGAATCTCAGAGGTCGTTACACCACTGTCGGGTGGTCTCGCTTCGGCATAGCCTCTAGTGGCCCGGGGCCGCGCTGCCTGGTGCCTCAAGTTGTTCCTCAACGACAACCTCCTCTGGCAACTCGGGAGGGCGGTCCCTCACGCTGGCGGCGAAGAAGCAGGAGAGCAGCACAAACCCCCCACCGAGCGCCATGACCACGGCCATGCTGTGGTCACCAGGCGTCCCGCGCGGTTTCTGCAAGAACTTGAAGATGATACTGGATCCCACCGTCGCGAGGATCTGAGGCACAGCAATGGCCATGTTGTGGATCCCCAAAATCACGCCGGTGCGATCCGTCTCTTCCTCGTCTTCTTCATCCGCATGGGCACCTCGGCCTGCCCCGTGGTTTGACTCGCCATTAGAAGACGAGGGGCTTGGGCTCGGTACATCGATTTGAGAAGCCATATCTTGAAGCTTCTTTGCCCTATTGATGGCGTTCTGCCGACTTATCTCTGCGCTGATGATTGCCCATGGCGCCCAAAGGGCCATGGCCCATGTTACGCCGGCCAAGCCGATGAGAGCCGTGGCGCCTTGAACTGAGCGGACGAAGAGAGTGCAAAACATGGCCCCCGCGAAGAGCGCCAGCGAGCCGAGCCATGCGCGCTTGAGTGTGAAGCCTGGGATTCGGAGGTATTCCAGCCAGTGGCGCCGACCGTCGATATCTGCCGCCGCCGTCGTCCCCGCGCCATGCCCTGGGGCAGTCATTGCGCTGACAGGCTGGCTGTCAAAGGTCGGCGCAATAAAGAACGGCAGGAAGACATTCGTGCACAGGCTGACGATCGCGTTGATAAGAAGAGCAAAGGTTCCAACTCGTGTCGCCTTTTCGTAAAGCTTGTCGAGTTCCTCTGGCGTCATGTGGGGATTTTCCTCGAGATATGGCTGTATATAAATGTCGCCAATGTAAGACGACGTGTAGAACAGAAGCGGGAAGAATCCGACCCAGGCACAAAACTGTACCTGGCACACTCGCATAGTCTGTGGTGGAAGCCGCTTGATGGACTTGAAGATGGTGAGAAAAAAGGGCACGAAGCCGGGGGCTTTCTTGGCAGGAGAGCCGTCCACCCGGGGGTCTCTCTCGTGAATCGTCAGGGTGCTCAGCGCAATCGTAACCCCCAGTGCAATGCAGGCGATGGCGCAAAGAATCTTAAACTGCGTGTCGCCCAGGAACCAGAGGTGCGCCGGCAGGTCGATGTACCCGGCGATAAACCCAACAATGTTGCCCACGCCGGTGAGACGGCTAGCCATGGCGTTGGCGAGCTCCTGCTGGTGGGCCGGGGCGCAATCGACCATGAAGGCCCTGATCGCGGCCTGCACGGTGTTTATGGCAATATCCAAGACGTAGATGCCGACGACGGCGGCGATGATGATGACGGCCTTGACCCCTTCCGAGGCGGGGTCGGCGCCAAAGACGCTCAAGATGCCTCCCACAATCTCCCTCGTCCACGCCAGAAACAGCAGCCCGAGTATCGTGGCTATGGTGCCGCCAACCATGTACGGCCGCCGCTTGCCCCAGGGGCGCCTGCTGTGGTCGCTCAGCACGCCGACGTACGGCACCACCAGGGCGCCCGTCATCGGGCCGGCGATCCAGACGAGGGCCATGAGGGACTTGCTGAGGCCAAGAGACAGCAGATAGGGCGACCCGTTGGACAGCTCGACGGACCATGCTATTTGCAGGCCGCCTATGCTGATGGTCAGCATGGTCATGTACCACATGCTCTTGGTCGTCTGCGTCTCGTCGACGGCCTTGGCCGCCGCGGCGCCGTTGCTGGGTCGGCCCACGCTCGACGCATTGCTGCTGAGGAGAGGCGAGCGCTCGTCATTGCCGTTGCCGCCACGTTCCATGGAGCGCCGCAGGGCCTCGTCGACGTCCCACTGCGCGAGCAGCGGCCGCCCGTCCTGCCCGTCGGAGGCTTCGGCACGGGGAGGTGAGCTCATGCTGGGCGGTGATCCCGGTCTGAGGAGAGTCGCTGGTGAGAGGAGGTGCTCTGCCGCGACCAACACCTTGCTCTGGCCCGTGCGAGTCAGGCACTTCTGGAGACGGACGTCCGGTCTCGTGTGTTCAGCGGCCGACTAAACAGACTACAAGGCATGCTGCAATAGATGAGGGCGTTGGGGTGAAGCTCGGACTATGGGGACGTCGCGATATGAGATTTGGGCCAAGGCGTCACGGCGTCGGCGAGATGAAAGCCATCGTTGAGTGAGGTTACGGGGAGCCACGCGACCTGACGAGCTGCAGCTGATGCCCATTGACGTGCTGTGATCACGACCTGAGGTCACGTCGCTGCCTCCAATAGGACTGTGGCGCATGCATTAGTCAAGCCGGGACCTGCCTTGGTTTGCATGGCGGTTCCAGGTGCCAGGCTTGCCAGGCTGAGCCACCGGCAAGAGGAGGGTTGCTGCGGCTCAGCTCCCTGTCGCCGCCACAACGCCGACTTGCCATTTCAGGCGACCTACCCTGGACCCAACTTTCGCCCACGTCTTCAACGTCGTGCGTCGGGCAAGACGACCTTGGGATAAGTTCGCCTGGATTGCTCTGCGCTGAACAGCAACTTCCACACTCTCTGTCAAAGGACGTTGTGTGACTTTGTTCGACGTGCATCGCGACCGTCCCGTCCCGACATCGGCGGAGATGGGCGTATGCTCCGTGCATCACGGCATCTTATCTATCGGTCGACTTCAGCAAGCCGGGGACGAAACGGATATGCGCCCGCGATCTGAGCCATCCGCAGTGGTATGATCTCTTGCCGTTATTCATACACCCCTGTGGACAGAAATCGGGCCGTGCAAGCCGAGACGAGTGCAGCGCAGCGCCTGAACGGCTTGATCATGGCCAGGCCGTCCCTTCACACGTCACTGTATTTCCTAGTTGCCGACTCGCTCCGTCAATCTCGAGACGCAGATGTTGCGAAATCCGTCACAAAACCGGCTACTAGGCAGTCACGCAACATTTGCCCGTGCAGGCCTGTACAGGCTGCTGCTTTGGAGCGCGATAAACGCCGCGGCGGTCGTCCATGACATGCTTCGTCATGGATGCTCCACTGTTACCCACTGCCACAATAGAGAGAGAGCGTCATCAGGAGCCTCATGTTCTCCACGCTGAACCCTCCGGTCACGATATCCCCGTGGAGCCTTGAATGGATAAACGGGGCCCCCATCATCCCTGGCATTGTCACGTCACGGCATTGCGGCAACACGGCATGGCGGCCGTGGGAAACGGCCGAGCGTCCCGCCAACAAGGGAGCGCATCCGTACGGCGCTGCGCCGTAACTACTTCGTAATACCTGCTGGATTCGTAGGCTGGCATCAACTTGAGTTACCTGACGTCCGCGGGCTTGCATTGCATCACCAACACCTGACCCAGGCTCACCGAGCGGCCCGTGGGCGAGCCAAATCTGGATCTGGACCATGCAGATGCAGACCTGATCGCCTCGGAGCGCGCGCGACTAGGAAATCTTGTTGCCAGAGGGTTGCCAGAGGGCGAGGCAGCCGGCCCATTGAGTGCTCCGGCGCAGCGCACGTTGGCATCGTGAGTGGCCGACCGGCACATCATAACCTTTCGAGCCGGCACTCGTCATCGTGAATGGAATGGTGGAGAAAGCTTCCACGGAGGCAGGCCATCACATCATGGCCTCGCCCTGCTTAGGTTCTGCTTCCTTGGGCGAGCAGCCAAGGCGACTGCTGGTTACGGGGGTCGTTTTCGGGCGGATTGGGGAGGCCAGTGACGTCGTTGGGCGCTGCTGGAGTCGCCGAAAAAAGTGCCTCAGGATGTCCCCTGCACCGACTCGCGCTAGCACCCTTCTGCACATCCGGTGCAGTACAGGTACGTACTGTCGCACACTGATTGAACCCGGACCGGCAGCGGCGCCAGGATCTGGATCTGAGCTGGACTGGCTTGGCTGGGCTGGATCATCAGTGATCTTGGTTGGGCAGGGCCAGCGACAGCTCGCGGACTCCGTGCCGCACGACGAGCGACTCGTGTGCCACCCACCCACCCATTTTGAGCGGCTCATGCTGTGCAACGGCCTCCGCATCTGCTGCGTGAGACGTGTCAGCCTGGAGGATGCACGACACGTGAGGCATGGGGCAGGCCTCGAAGCGTTCCCTGCGCCAGGTACAGACGGCCACTGCGCTCGATTCCAAAGATTCGCGGGCTGCGCTGGCCATTGCGCCTCGAGGGGCGTGGACGCCGGAATACCAGCTGGTTTGCCCTTGCAATGTACGAGTATGCGACAGCGCCAAAGCCAAAAGGTAATGGTGGTGGTGTTGCGCCGTTGCCAGCGCCCCTGGCACGACGAAGATCAGCGGCGCCGAGTCCGTCCTGTCTGCAGGCGGTGGCGGGCCACCGATGGCACCCGGCCATTCCACTGCAACCGCCGGCGTCCAGATGGCCGTTCCAGAAAACGGGTGCCTGTTCCGCTGGCAGGTGGCTGGCCTGCTGGTCTCAGCCATCGCGGGCAGAGAGGGTGGCATTGTGCAACGGGGGATTGGCTGCCCTTCGCCACGCGTGAAGGATTTTTCTGGAGACGTCGAAGCTATTTCCGCACCGCGGGCGAGACATGCAACCAGGCTACAGCGACAGACATCCTGAGAAATGCGAGTGGGAAACCCCGGGCGTCCTGCCTGCGTTCGTTTGTTCCTTCACTGCTCGTGTTGCTTCGCGCGCCCGCCGCGCCTCTAGCGGGAGGCAGGCGGAGCAGCACCAAATCGGAAGGGCGCTGGTCATCGCGTCTTTCATCAGCCAAGAAAGCGCCCGGGGGGGCATCCTTGCTCGACACCTGCGGCGCGCAGGTTGCTTTGAGCAAACGTTCCATCTAGCGCGGCTGACTTGATCGTAATGCGGCATGGGGAAATGGCGGGTGGGAGGCGTCAGAAAATCGAAGGGTGCGGGATCCCCGGCTGGGGTCGGGTTGGTGCAGACAGCCCAGACGAAACTGGCCGGGAGCTTAACTTGGCAGCGGCAAAATATGGCGAGGTAGGCAGGCAGGCAGGGAGAGGCACCTCAGTCGGAGGGAGCCCTGCTAAATGGAACCTTCCTCGCCGACCTAGGTGAGTGCGGTGGCAGCCCAGCGCATTTGTTGGATGGCGGCGCGCTGGGCGGACTCTTGGCCGCCGGCGGGCGAGGCTCGGGGTGTCAAGTCAGCCAGCACGGCCCACGAGCAGCACGAACAGCGAGAAGGCGAGGCGCGGGCTCGGCGGTTTGAGGCGCCTGGGGGGCGTGGGGTGGAGGCGCCACGCCCCTCTCCGCGAGTCTGGAGCCCCGAACGTGCACCCCCGTTGCCCCCACTGCACCACCGGGCGGGCACCCTCCATCTGTCCACTGAGGTGGCCTGCCATTCTGCCTGCCCCAGCGCCCACAACGTCCACTGCCTGCTGCTGCTGCGCGCCGGCCGGCCGGGGCCCTTCCATCACTGACGGAGTCTGCGGGCCTCCACTGCAAACGGCGCCGGGGGGCTCCATGCCAGCGTCGACTGCAACTCGTGGGATGCTGGGACTCCTCCACACTCCCTCCACAAGGCGCCTCCACCCGCGCAACCAGCCTGCGCGAAATGGACCGAAGAAGGGTCGCCACTAATACGGCGCTGCGAGCGCGAGATAGACGAGCGTTCCGTGACGGGCTCTCGAAGGGGCAATGCGCGCTCCCAAGAGTCCCATGCACCCATCCATGGGGCCCCCGGCCACCCGTTCCTGCTGCTCCTTTTTAAAACCGGCCAGATCTGCCCCTCCCAGTGAAGACTGCCTTGCTCGAATCTCGAGTTTCGTGTTTCCGGCTTATATCACTCGCCCTCCGACCCCTTCCGCCTGGCCATTGTCTGATCCCGACGAGCCCACGATATCCTCGTCGCCCCCAACACTCAGCAACAGCAACAACAGACCAAGGCACAGTTGCGGAAGAGCAGATTGTTGCCCTCTATATAATATCGTCAAATCGCCGGTGTCGTTGGCAGCAATACGACAAACACACGCACAATGGCGATCCGAGACCGCGTCCGTCGTGCCCTGCACAAGTCCGACTCGTCGGATTCCGTGTCCCAGGCGGACAGCAACGCAACAACAGTCACGACGACGACGGCCACGAGCGACACGTCGTCGCTGCACAAGACCACCACGACCACCTCGACCCTCTCCAAAGTCTTCTCCTTTGGCTCGCGCGACCGCAATTCCGACCGCAACAAGAGCAAGGAGAAGGAGCCCAAGAAGTCGCGCGGCCGCCGCAACAAGCCGGTGCACCCCAGCCAGCGGCCGCTGACGCTGCAAAACCTCAAGCACCAGGAGATGCTCAGCCATTTCACCATGACCTTTGGCGCCAGCGACCCGAGCCAGATTGAGCGGATGAGCTTCTGCGGTGTCAGCCCGTGCTGCACGCGGCCCGGCAGCGTCGATCTCGACAGGGGCGACTTCAATCTCAGCAGCCACACTTCGGCCCTCTCCATCGCGGACACGCCGAGCAGCAGCGACTCGGCCCGACAGTGAGGCCGCGAGCCAGTCCCCCAGCACACGTTACCACTGGAACGGCACCCACCCACCACCGCCCGACCACCCCACCAACACGCCACCACGGAGGCTCGCAGCCCTGAAGATTGTGGTGGCCACTCACAAAGTCGTCGGCGCCCGCTGCCGCGACACATGGATGCAAGCCCGCCGCGGATCTGGCGACGAGTGGTGAAGCCACCGGCCACCGGCCGCCGGACACCACGATCCGCTGCCGGCAATCATGCCGCCGCGACGCCTCTTCCCAACCACCCACGGTTGCATGCAGATTAACATCTTCGCCTCCGATTGGCCCCGGCGCCTGGGAGAGGCAATCGACCTCGGGCCTAGATTCATCCATCCTCAACAGAGGGAGACACCGCACCGCATCGCCGGCAGAGAAGACTGCTGTGGCGATGCCGCGTGCGCAACTGCCGCCGGCCGCACCGCCGAGGCAGCGAACATTTATTGGTGCACCGCATACACTGTATGATATGATACGTACGACGGAACGCGATTTGGCTAGGCCTGGCAGGCCTGGATAAATGTACATGGCGCCGGCTTCTTACACTACATGAGTTCACACGGACATGGCATGGCATTGCATGGCATACTACTACATACATCGTGTTTATACACGGGCTGGTAGGGCGGCTACATTGGGAGCGGGCGTTTTGTCGATAGATTTCGGCATCTCGAATTGACAACTTAATGATCATTTCTTCGTATCTACATTGCTACTTCGTGAATCTGGTAACGTGTGAGTTACGCGTGCGTGACGGAAACATAACCTCTCTGCCCGTTACCCACAATGGCGCCCATTATGTGTAATGTGAAGCTCGTCGTGATAGACTGCCTCATCAATCACGCGTGACAGGAACAATCGCAAACGCGAGCCGGAGCGTGTCCTGGCCTACCTAGGAGTACTGTACTGGCAGACTGTGCTGGCAGTGCACAATGGCTATAGTGGTTCCGCCCGTCCATTCGTCCCTTCCTTATTGTTCTTTCCACCGCCGGCAGCGCGGACCTGCACTGAGGCCCCCCGCCAGGCACCTGAGCTGCCACCTGCCAGCTGTCAGTGCAAGCTCCCTGGCCGCTGGCACCTGCCCGCACCCGAGGAGCCCAAGACGCAGGCCGCACCGCTACATGCAAACCTGGAGCGCTCGCTTCCGTACTACAAACGAACATGAATCCTCCAACCCTTCTCTTGCAAACCTGCACGTCGCACACCCGAGAACGCGCGTCTTCCAACCCACATCGACAACTTCACAACCGCCAGGCTCGTATCTTGCGTTGCATCAAGGCATAGCTCGACTCGAAATACCCGTCCCTGTGACTTGGTCAACGAGTTCCATCGGGACTACAAGCTTCTGCAAGCAAACTCGGCGAAACTTTCTGGTGCCCCCGCCATTCAGCCCTCAACACCACAAAGCGACTTCACGATACTGTTCGGCATCATGACCTCGACCACGTGGTACGCCTTGCGCTCCAAGGCGGTTCACACACGCTTCGGTCTGTCCAAGAACATCCAGCTCCTGCTCAACAGCTTGGATTTGTACAAGGCCGGCAGCATCGACGCGACAGAGCTGGGTCGCATGGTCCGCCTTAGCGCCCATCGTCGGGCTGCACTCGCCAACACCATCTCCAAATGTGCCGGAATCATCAAGAAACAGCCCTCCGAGATCAAGACCTGTGTCGAAATCATCGAGATGTGCACCGAAATTCTCGAGATAGCTGGTTTGTCCTCATCAATCGGCCTTCTAGTGCCTGGCTCCAGCACAGAGTGGCTGGCCGATCTCCTGACACTTCACGCAGATAGGCGTCCCCCCGAGGGGGTTTTTCCCTTCAGAAAGCTGCCCGTGGAGATCCGGGATAAGATTCTCGATCTCATGATCTCGAACGTTTTTCGCACCACGGGCATCATTCCCGCCGAAAAGTCGAGCTGTGAATGCCCTACGTTCGACCGGCACAATATCTCGTTTCAGACCAAACAGATGAAGGCCTTGCCGACTTTGCTGGGAGCATCGCTGAATCACGAATTCTGTCGCATCTTCTTCCGCAAGCACACGTTCCGCTTCAGATGCTCCTGCGAACTCCTCGCCCACCTCCAGCGAAACAAAATGTTTTTCGCACATGTCCGCCACATTATCGTTCACTGGTGTGGGGATGACTGTGCCAAGGCCTTCAAGATGCTGGCCAAGTGCCCGCGCCTAGAGACTCTCAACTTGAGCATCTCCAAATCGACTTACTCGTTCGTTAGCCCCCGCGCGCAGCTTATGAGAGGCTTCTTCTCGGCGTCTTACCGTACCGTTCGGGCCTCGGACTTGCTCGGACTCGACGAATTGTTGGAAGTTCGGGGTCTCAAGGATGTGCAGGTCTCGCACACTCCCAACAGAGCGAACGCCCCAATGAGTATCGAGATGGACCGGTCTGGCCTCTCACGCCTCCTTTCCGGCAGCCTCACACTGCCCCGGGATGTAAGCGCGTCGCCCGTGGCCTCCTGAGCCACAAGAGCAGGCCTGACTCGAACAGGATGATAAGATCAATATCTTCTGAAGTGCGGCGAGGGCCAAGCCTTTTTTACACCATGCGAGGCAGCGAGGGAGCAACATTGACGTCGGGCTGCATATCCTGCGTCTGGAAACTGGATTTTGATTTTGCTATGTCTTGAGCGAGTGGGCATGGGATCGCCTTGTTGAAGTGTGGCGGCAAAAGGACTGTCACCAGGCCTCTCCTCCGTCACGACGTTCCAGGTCCCAGAATACAGGGTCTTGTTCTAGGCGGGGGCTGATGGCTATCATGAGGGATAGCAAGTGATTTCATTACGGGGCATGTAACAACAGATAAATTACGAAGACCCCCATTTGTGAAGTCACTGAAGGTTCCGTACTCAAAAAGCGTTGTCTGGTGATTGTTCTTGTCTTGTACCTGCGCCGAAGCGCTGGTATCCGGCTCAAGATCAGCCTCCGAATGTGGCTGACCGAGCAATGGCAAAAGACGCAAATGATACGTTTCACTTGATAGGAATGCTTGGCTTCCGGGTCTGCATCATTGCCACACGCCGCTTTCCACTCGGAGAGCTAGGAGCACTGTCGAGGAGGGCCTCATGGAGAGTCCGTGAGATTCACATGCAAATAAATGCGAATCGCGCACATGAGATGGAGCCAACGACAATGCTGCCCACCGTGTGTCATTGAAGCAAGACAGGCTCGCCAAACAGCTTATGGCCACTGCATGCAGTGATGTGTTTCTCTCAAGGGGAGACGCCTCCTGTGGACAGCAGTCGCTGCGGTCCCTGCCCAAGTAAACTAGTCGGGAAAATGTCTAGCCGAGCCGAATTTAGCGAGCAGCGCACCATACGCACCATCTTCGCCCACCGAGCAGAAAGCACGTGACCTGACCAATTAGCGGCACGCACCATCGCTTGCCCTACTTGTGCCCCCACAGGGCAAAAAATCCACGACGTTTAGCGAGTGGTCTACGAAATCTCCGCCTCTCTTCCCTTCAACCCGAATCCCTATCCGACAATCACGAGCACCGGCAACGACCGTTACAGTTGCCCAGCATGTCGCTCGTTTCGGGAGAGAAGACGAACTTCCAGTTCGTAAGTCTTTCCCCCTCGCCCTGCTACGGCGGTGCCGTCGATTCCAGCGTCGAGCGTTTGCGCGCACGAGGTGGCCGTCCGCGAGACGGCGGCCGACCGGCGACGACCATCATCACGATACGGGCGAACAAGAATTCATTGGAGAGCGCGGGCTGACCCATTGGGAAATAGATCTTGCGTCTTCTGAACACCAACGTCGATGGCAAGCAGAAGGTTATGTACGCCTTGACCAAGATCAAGGGTGTCGGTCGCCGATACTCCAACCTGGTCTGCAAGAAGGCCGATGTCGACCTGAACAAGCGGTACGCCAGCACTTCTTCTCGAGACGAGATTTCCCCGGGAACAATGAGAGCAGGAAGCTAAACAAGACTCTGTCTGCAGTGCCGGTGAGCTCACCACCGAAGAGCTCGAGCGAATCGTCACCATCATCCAGAACCCCACGCAGTACAAGATCCCCACGTGGTTCCTCAACCGACAGCGCGACATTGTCGACGGCAAGGACTCCCAGATCCTCGCCAACGGCGTCGACTCCAAGCTGCGTGACGACCTCGAGCGCCTCAAGAAGATCCGCGCCCACCGTGGTCTCCGCCACTACTGGGGCCTCCGCGTCCGCGGCCAGCACACCAAGACCACTGGTCGCCGTGGCCGGACTGTCGGTGTCTCCAAGAAGAAGGGTGGTTAAAGGATATGATGGTTACGGTATCGGGTGGATAGGCGTGACGGCTGGTTTCTCCATCTTTCTGAGCATTTTGAGAGGATTGCTTTTTCCTGCATAAATGCAGCTAGGGCTGTACTCTAAATCAGAGTCATGAATCAAAAATCACTTCAAACAAACTATGCGGTTAGCCCGGCTGGATTGTACATGGAAACTGGAGGGGACTCGGCCAGCGACAGGGCAATCTTTGGGCCGCCAGTTTCGTCACGCATCGTCCCCACGAATCCTCTAGGCCAGTCGCCCCATGTCATGGCGGGTATCAAAGTCTTCATTGGGCTGTCTAGTCTTCATGTGTGACTGCCATATCCAAAACCTCCACTCGGCCCTGTCCCTTGGTCTCGTTCGCGATAAAGTCTGACAGAGGCTTGAATGCACCAGGCTCGACGAAGCCAACCACCTCCCACTCCGAACCCATCACATCCTGAGTCTCGATCTGCTCGACGTATCCGAGAATCTTGTCCTTGACGGTCCCCGGCGCTTTCTGCTCTCCGTCCTCTTCTTTGGAAGCTGCGCCTTTGGCCTTGACGGCCTGCTTGAGAACACCAGTTGCGCAGGACACTCGCAGCCGCATCCTTGCGCGAGCAACCGGGATGGGCTGGTAAGCGATGAGGGCCTTCATGGCGTCGAGGGCCTGGCTCTTGGCGCTCTTGGTTGTGACGACTCCAGTCCAGCTGTGCTCCTTGGCTCGCGGCTTCGCCTCGCTGTCCTCTCCCGTGACGGGCGTCCCCGTGCCGCTCGCCGTGTTGCTCTTGCTGTCCGGGGTGGTGTGCGCCTGAGAGCTCAACATGTCCAGAGCCTTTTCGATCATGCCAAAGGTGTAGACGCGTTTCGTCCGCGGATCGACGAGCTTACTCGCCACTATCCCGATGACCTCATTGTGCACACGCTCCAACTGCGCCGCGCGTTCTTTATCTCCGACCTGCAGCTCGCCCTTTTTCAAAATCTCGAGCACGACGTCGTCGGTCGACTTGCCCTTGCCAAACGCCTTCTCGATGTCTTCCTTGGGGGCCGTCTGGCCCTTGGAGACGTTGAGGAAGACGTTGGGGATCTGCAGGACGTTGTCGAGGTCCGTCTCGATGCCGGAGCGCCACTCCAGGACCTTGTTCTTGTAGCAGGCGATCTCGAAGCGCTTCTTGCCCTTCTTCAGGCGCACGAGCGACACATTTGTAAGCCTGATCTGGTTGGAGGGTTGGTTGATTTGGCGGGACATGGTGGCGGGCGGGTCGTATGCTAAAGTGGGATCGTCGTTGTCGTCGTCGCATGCAAGTTTTTGTCGTGTCGAAATCAAATACGGAACTGCTTGCTGTAAAAGACGAAAAGAGCAAGTGAGGGAAGACGGCTGGAAGGGTCGTGTTCTAGTGTTTCTGGGAGGTAGGTAGGTAGAGTGTCGTCAGAGCGGGCTGCGGTGGACGGGCCCTTTTGTGACCCCGCCATCCTCCAACCGCCCAGCGATGAAATCTTTCGCTGCCCCGCCTTCCACTTCCAGCCCAGTCATTTTGAGTCACCACACGACACAGTCACCGCTCACAGTCACTCACACCAGGGCGGCAAACCTTCCCAGCCGTAGCCTTTGACGCTCGCCACAGCCTCAATTCGGAACCAGCGAGACTTCTGAACCCCCAAGAACCGGCATCTACCTGTCGCCATGGCCTCTGCCCCTCCCGCAGACGCCGCCCCCGCCGCGGGGCATGATGCCACGTCCCCGCCAGCGACGTCCTCCAAGCAGGACATCAACCCCTGGTCGGTGTCGGGAGAGGTGGGCGAGGACGGCAAGGTCAAGGCCATCGACTACCGCAAGCTTGTTGAGGACTTTGGCACGAACCTGATTGACGATGCGCTGCTGGAGCGCTTCGAGCGGGTGACGGGCCACAAGCCTCACCGGTTCATGCGCCGACAGATTGTCTTTAGCCACAGGGACCTCTCACTTATCCTGGACCGCTATGAGAAGGTGGGTTGAATATCGCAACAGTAGCAGTGGGCTTGGTGCCTGACAGCGCTGCAGAACGAGCCTTTCTACCTGTATACCGGCCGAGGCCCGAGTAGTGACAGCATGCACATTGGCCACACTCAAGTCTTTGACTTTGTCAAGTACGAGCCTTGAATGAAGTCTACGAGACGCCGCTAACTGAAGACCAGGTGGTTGCAAGACGTTCTGGACGTGCCGCTGATTATCATGTTGACGGACGGTTCGTGCATTGCTTCTGCAATGAGTGGGCTGGGATGCTAATGTCTCGTAGATGAAAAGTTTCTGTTCTCAGAGAAGAGAACTGTGGACGAGGTCATGGGATACTGCCGGACCAACGCCAAGGACATCATCGCCATCGGGTTTGACCCCAAGAAGACATTCATCTTCTCCGACTTCCAGTTCGTTGGCGGCGCGTTCTACAAGAACATTGTTCGCTTCTCCAAGCGAGTCACGTACAACACCGTCAGGGCCATCTTCGGGTTCGACGGCAGCTCCAACATTGGCAAGATTCACTTCGCCAGCATCCAGGGCGCGACGTCCTTCGCGTCGTCTTTCCCCCACATATTCGGCAACGACGAGTCGAAGACGGCCGCGATCCCGTGTCTGATCCCGTGCGCCATCGACCAGGACCCGTACTTCCGCCTGACGAGAGACTGCGCTGCCGGGCTGCACTATGCGAAGCCGTCGCTGATTCACATGCGATTCCTGGACGCCCTCCAGGGACCGGGATCAAAGATGTCGGCCAGCGACGACACGTCGGCCATTTTCCTTAGCGACTCGGCCAAGCAGATCAAGAACAAGATTAACAAGTAAGTCTATGTCTTATTGGATACGATGGATCGATGCGGGATTCTAACGCGTGCAGGTACGCTTTCTCGGGTGGTCGCGAAACCGTGGAGGAGCACCGCGAAAAGGGCGGCAATGCCGAAGTGGACGTGTCCTACCAGTACCTCCAATTCTTCCTGGAGGACGATGCGGAGCTGAAGAAGATTAAGGAGGACTACAACAGCGGCAAGCTGCTGACGGGCGAGGTATGCAAACTCTGCCAGGCATGTCTATATGGATGTGGAAGCTGACACATTGAGTAGCTGAAAGCCATGTGCACCGAGCACCTGCAAAAGTATGTCTTGTCTTTCCAGGAGAGACGAGGCAAGGTCACGGACGCGGTGGTGGATGAGTTCATGGCGACGCGACCGTTGGAGTGGAAGGGCAACCCCAAAGTTCCGCGGGCAGATCTCGTGGTGCCTGTAACCAAGCCAGGCGAGGCCAACGCAGATGGTGCCGCCGTCGGAGGCGCTGCCGACGGCAAGCTGACCAAGAACCAGCTGAAGAAGCTGCTCAAGGAGCAGCAGATTGCGCAGAAGAAGGCGGAGAAGGCCAAGGAGAAGGCGGCGGCCGGAGAGGCTGCGCCGAGCGCGGGGGCGTAGACAGGGTTTGCTGAAGCCTGGGCAATTACAGCGGAAATAGATGAACATACACATCTTGTGCTACGAACTGCAGATAAAGCCGATTTGCGCAGGGCTGTGGAAGCAAGCTGGCAGCTTGGCCACGTGCCATCTCGGCAGCCCAGATGAGGCTGTGGTGGAGTGAGACATTCCAGGTTGTCTGAACGTCTGGTCCAGGTCGGTCAGTGGTCATGCGACACGGCGTGCCACGGGAACGAGTCTCCGGCGATACACTAGCGTTGTCCGCTGAGGATCCTTGATTCCCGGCTTCTCAAGGAGCAATCGTGCATCTCGTCTCCTGTGCAATATTGTCGCCCAGGCTCGTGGGCATTGTGCACTGTACATGACTCGTACATTTCGCACGTCGTACATAATACCAAGAACCGTTTGACGCCGTAAGGTACCGAATGCATCTTGCCGCTTCGGGCGCGAATCCATGCGTGACGTGTCACGGGGTTGGTTTCCCCTGCCAGAAGCTCCCCAAGCAGCTCTCAAGGTTGGCATGGTTGGTATGTGCCTTGCAGCCAGGGCCATCAGCGAGACCGGGGTGCGGCCGGGTACAGGATCCGCCTGACTGTGTCGCTCGGGCGATTGACCGGAGCCACTAACAGATAACCGCGTATTCGAACACTTACAGAGTTAACGGGGACAGTCGCAATCAGGCAGGTGCTAACTCAAATCCCGTTAGCGCCGATGTTGCTGTGCGGCAGCTCCGCGTCTCAGCGTGGGCGATGACCGCTATTACGTCGGTTCCGGTGCCTCGTCATCCCGCCGCCTACTCCTCTCCTCGGCTGACCGACGCCTTCTCCTCTCCCATCATCAACAACCCGCTGTCCTTCATCTCCTCCCATCACCGCCATCGCATCAACCCATCCGCCGCATCCAAACACCGCCAGCAGCACGACTGCGCGCCATCATGCGGCTGACCACATCCGCCCTCGCCCTGGGCGCGGCCTCCACCGCGCTCGGCTTCCAGGACCAAAAGGTCCTCGGCGGTACCGGCTCGTCCAAGCCCCTCGTCGACCTGAAAGACTTCAACTTCAACCTCGACTTCGACTCGTGGGCCAAGCCCCTCAAGGAGGCCTTTGGCGAGATTACGTCCGAGACCAAGGCCATCTGGGACGAAATTGCCCTGCTGGCCCCTGACGCCGTGGATGCCTTCAAGAAGCAGGTGGCGGCCCACAAGCCCAAGAAGCACTCGCGCATCGCCGACAGCAAGTGGGATCACGTCGTGCACGGTGCCGATGTTCAGGCCCTCTGGGTGGAGGGTGAGGACGGCCAGCGCCACCGTAAGGTTGGCGGCAAGCTCGACAACTTCAGCCTGCGCGCCAAGAAGGTCGACCCTGCCAAGTTGGGCGTCGACAAGGTGAAGCAGTACAGCGGCTATCTCGATGACAACGACAAGGACAAGCACTTGTTCTACTGTGAGTTGATGCGACGTCTTTTACTGGACACGCATGCTGATATGACCGCCAAGGGTTCTTCGAGTCGCGCAACGACCCCGCCAACGACCCCGTGGTGCTTTGGCTCAACGGCGGCCCCGGCTGCTCCTCCCTGACTGGCCTGTTCCTCGAGCTTGGCCCTGCTTCCATTAACAAGAAGCTTGAGATCGTCAACAACCCCTACTCGTGGAACGCCAACGCCTCCGTCATCTTCCTGGACCAGCCCGTCAATGTCGGCTACTCGTACGGTGGCGGCTCGGTCAGCGACACCGTCGCTGCCGGCAAGGACGTGTATGCCCTGCTCACCCTCTTCTTCCACCAATTTCCCGAGTATGCCAAGCAGGACTTCCACATCGCCGGCGAGTCGTACGGCGGACACTATGTGCCCGTCTTTTCTTCCGAGATCCTGTCGCACAAGGACCGCAACATCAACCTCAAGAGCATCCTAGTCGGCAACGGCCTGACCGATGGCTACACTCAGTACGAGCACTACCGCCCGATGGCTTGCGGAGAGGGCGGCTACCCCGCTGTGGTTGGTGAGGACGGCTGCCGCTCCATGGACAATGCTCTCCCCCGCTGCCAGTCCCTGATCAAGTCCTGCTACGACTCTGAGAGCGTCTGGACGTGCGTTCCCGCCAGCATCTACTGCAACAGCGCCATCATGGGCCCGTACCAGCGCACCGGCCAGAACGTCTACGACGTCCGCAAGCCCTGCGAGGATGACAGCAACCTCTGCTACTCGGCTCTGGGCTGGATCTCGGAGTGGCTCAACAAGCCCGAGGTCATCGACGCTCTCGGCGTCGAGGTCAGCAGCTACGACAGCTGCAACTTTGATATCAACCGCAACTTCCTGATGCAGGGTGACTGGATGAAGCCCTACTTCCGCGTCGTGCCCAAGCTTCTCGAGCAGATTCCCGTCCTCATCTACGCCGGTGATGCCGACTTCATCTGCAACTGGCTGGGCAACCGTGCCTGGACCAACGCGCTCGAGTGGAAGGGACACAAGGACTTTGCCGCAGCCGAGACCAAGGGCCTGAAGGTCGGATCTGGCAAGGACTACGGTAACGTCAAGACGGCGCAGAACCTCACGTTCATGCAGATCTACGGCGCCGGCCACATGACGCCCATGGACCAGCCCGAGGCGTCGCTCGACTTCCTGAACCGCTGGCTCGGTGGCGAGTGGAACGCTTGAGCATATGGTGCGATGTTTGCCCGGGCGGCAGGAGGAGGCATTGGAACGGAGTGTACATGACTAGGATGTGGTTGACAGCTCCGAGGAGCTGCTATAGAGGCGCCCGTGGCTGTATGCATTATGCATTGTCTGTTGATAGCTAGTTTCCTATAGCTCAAACACGTGGGAGCATTTGATGTTTTTGGCTCGACGGGATGCACATATAATCACAAGCGACGTGTAAGTGTCGTGTAAGTGAATGCCTGGCAAGCCGAGCGAACAACGGTTAGCTTGACACGTGGAGCGGCTGCTATGCCGGAGTCGCCCTCGACCATTGGACTCGGCGCCGGAGCCGAACCGGTGTGGACTGGGGTCAACGGGACCGATGCTAAGATTTTACGGAGCGTCAGGGCCGGAGGAGAAGCGCCGGCCGGGCGACGACTTGGAGCGCCGTCCAGCAATCTTGTGAACACGAGAAGAGGTCCTGGACCCAAGTGCGGAGGACGGGGCAACGGGGTCACCCGAGGGGGGGATCCATCAACCGGGCCATCGACTGGGATTCTACATGCTGTGCCACAAGTTCCTGGGCTTGCTGGAGTCTCGGTCCGCGCGTCGATTGCTTTTTTCTTGCCCTGCCCGGCGTCATCTGGGGGTGCGGGTATGTCCGGCGCCGATTTTGTTGAGGGCGCGGTGCGGAGGGCTGTGGTGTGGGTTGGCCAAGCCTCGGCCGGGGGCGAGCAGGGAAGGAGGAGGCGACAGTGCGTGCGTGCGTGCGTGCGTGCGTGCGGCGGGGCTGCAGAGAGACTTGCATGCCTCTTGCTGCTGGCTGGTCTTGGTTGCACGGGTTGATTCGGTTCACGATTTCCCGTGCTTCAGGCGGAAAGAGAGCGGGCTTGGTTGGTGTCGGGTCGAATCCCTGAGGCAATCTGGGGTCGAGAGCAGTTACACAGTTGGCAGGCAGGCAGGCAGGCAGGCGGGCAGGTGCGGCACGACGAGAAGGACAGCCGGGGGAGCACGCGAGTGTTGCCCAAGCTCGGTCGAGGCCTTTGGCGGTCACTCACTGGTCACGTTTTGGAGGAGTCGCGGAGAGAGAAAAAGAGGGTCGGCGACGGAAAGCCTGCCGCGAGAGAGGGACGGAGGCACCAGACGTCGTGGGCATCTGGGCCCTGGCATTTCGCCAACCGACGCTTCGAGGCGAGTTGTCGTCGGGATTGGTGTTAGCGCCTCCCCAACAAAACCAGAAAGTGCCAAGGGGAAAACGGGTGCAGGTGGCGGCGGGCGGAAGGCGGGCGCGTGTCGGTCGTAGTACCTGGGCGGCGATAGGGATCGGCATGTGACACGCACACAGATCTTAACGGCCGGCAAGTCTATCATACCCCCCCAGCGCATGAGTGCCTTCCCCGTTCACCACTCTGCACCTTCCTTCCCGCGAGGCGTGGGGTTAGCAATCTCAGGGACCGAGGCGGCGGTCGCACGCCCCCGCCCTTCTCTCCCAGCATCAGCATCACCGTCTTCGCTGTCGTGCACCTCGCTCGGCCCAGCATCTGGAATCAGTCGTGGCAGCAGAAGATGGCGTTTTGGCACTGCAACGACAGAGTGTCGTCGTCGTCTCATAATCCATGCCATGCCCTGGGCTATATCTGCATCGCAGATTGCCCGCCCGCCGTAGGAGTGCAGACGCAGTCGCAGCCTCTCCCTCCCCTGCAGCGCCAACCGCCACCCACTCACGGCCAGGACCTCGAGCACGCGCGACGTCGCCTCACAACCCCAAAGGAAGAATCCTGCGAGATCAGATAAAACAAGAAAAGAGCCGGCAGTCACAAGCTCGGACGCACCGTTTTTCTTATGATGCTCCTGGATGCCGATATAGTTGGGGGCCGAGGAACGCGCGTGGGGCGAGCCCGTTCCTCAACCGTTTTTTCTCGCCTTGCGTGGAGATGGCACATGTTCAAAGCACTGATGGGTTTTGACGTGAGCGCGTGTCCACGGACAAGCGGAAGCGTGACAACGAGCGACGCCAGCGAGCAAGTGCAGGGCAGCCGGGCCACGAAAGGGGTTACCACTGCGGCTGATCAGCCTCGACGATGTGTGTCTTTTTCGTCATGTCGACGTCGACTCGTGGCCATCGTTGGCAGGCTTTCAGGCTGGACAGACAAAGTTGTTGATGCTAGCTCGCGAAAGCTGCGCCCCGCTAGAGGCACGCCCTCCTTATCTCACACGCACGCCCAGCTGAACGCCCGGCGACATCAACGAAACCTTTTTTTTACCTGCTTGGGATGGGCCGGCACCAAAAGTCTAAAGACATCCGCTGCTCCAGAATTCATCCAGTACTTACCTGCCGGAACGCCGCGCCGCTTTGCTTTCCTCGGACCCCCTCCCGCCGCCGACCGCTGCCAATCGTCCCTCGGTCGTTTGTCGTCGTCAGTGAAGTGGGCTTCTCGTCTTCCTTCTTCCCACTCTTTCCCCAGGCATTCGTGTCGTAGCTGCCCGCCGCTCCGTTGCCACCGCCGCCCTCTCTCTCTACCCGGCCGAGACTCTCCCCAAGTAAAAAGGGGACCGGGCTTTTTGCGCAGGAATTCTCCGTCCCCGACCTCTGCGGTGGCTTCAACGCCCTCCCGGTGCCCCGGTCCACACCTTCGAAAACGGAGCCTTCCTTCTTGTCTTTCCACAGACAACCAAAAAAACATCACTTTTGGTCGCCCGTTGAGTGCCATAGCACGTCGTGTCGCTGCTGCTGCTGCTGCTGCTGCTGCTGCCCCTCGGCGCGCTCTACTCTGCTCGGACCTTCGATCCCGACACACCGCTGTCAGTTGTTGGGGCCCCGTCCTCAGCGAGGAATTCACCTGTCGAGCAATACACCGCTGTGCCGGCGACGACGTGCGACACGGACGCGCTGATCCGACACCGCCACCTCAGTCTCTCTCGTCCGGGCGAGCTTGCTGAGCCGTCTCTTCCAAAACCACCACCTCGTTGCCGCGCCTCGAGTCACCTTACACGCGCGTCTCCCATCACATCCGACCATCACCGCAATGGCTGCCTCCGGTCTCTCCATCATGGGCACCATGCCCGAAGCCAGCCTGTTTAGCTTCCCTCCCCATGGACAGCCCGCGCCGCTGGCGCCCGCCTCGACGGAGCTCTCCATCATGCGGCCCTTCAACATCCCCGAGAACGTCTTCGCCGCCGCTCTCGACCCGCGGGTCCCTCTGACCATCGCCACCCTCTACGCCGTCTCCGCCAAGGCCCTCAACAAGTACAACCGCTCGCGCAACAAGCAGCCGTGGTCCATCAGCAAGACGCGCCCCTTCCGCATCTTCGTCGTCCTCCACAACGTCTTCCTCGCCGTCTACTCGGCCTGGACCTTCTGGGGCATGCTTGGCGGCATGCGACGCAGCATCGTCAGCCCCACGGGCCCCGGCGGCCTGGCTGCCACGGCCGACAGCTTCTGCCGCCTCCACGGCCCGGCCGGCCTCGGACGCTCCATCTACTACAACGAGACGACCGGCCAGTGGGACAGCGCCGACCCTTCCTCGATGCTGTCGGGCATGGTCGCCGGCAACCCGAGCAACTCCGAGTCCGGCCGCCTCTGGAACGAGGGCCTCGCCTACTACGGCTGGATCTTCTACCTCAGCAAGTTCTACGAGGTCCTCGACACCTTCATCATCCTCGCCAAGGGAAAGTTTAGCTCTACCCTGCAGACCTACCACCACGCCGGCGCCATGCTGTGCATGTGGGCCGGTATGCGATACATGTCTGCGCCCATCTGGATGTTTGTCCTCATCAACTCCTTCATCCACTCTCTCATGGTGAGTTGGCACATCCCTTCACTGTTCCCATCGAGTATGAGCCCAATCCGCTAACATGCGCGCAGTACACCTACTACACCTTGACCGCTTTCTCCATCAAGGTTCCCATGGGCGTCAAGCGAACCCTGACCACGATGCAAATCACCCAGTTCCTCGTCGGTGCCTCGTACGCCATGGCCCACTCCTTCGTCACGTACATTGCCCCCATCACCCTGAGCAGCATCACCTCGACGCCCGTGGACGTTCCCGCCGCGCCCGCCGACTCTGTCATGCCGAATGCCGCCGGCACTCTGGACTCGCTCAAGAAACTCATCTTCGGCTCCGTCACCAAGGATGCCGCCGCAGCCGTCGCGGGCTCCGTCAAGGAGCAGACCGTGGCCACGGAGACCCTCTACGTCGCCCAGCCGTGCATCGGCACCGCCAACGAGACCTTTGCCATCTGGCTCAACGTGCTCTACCTCGCGCCCCTCACGTACCTCTTTGTCAGCTTCTTCATTGCCAGCTATGTGAAGCGTAGCAACGCCGCGCAAAAGGCCAATGGCAAGCCCAACCGTCGGGAGAGCAACGTGACCATGGCCGAGAAGGCTGGCTGGGATGCCGCCCGGGGCGTCGAGCGGGAGGTCTATGGCGGCGAGAACATGGTCGTCGACGGCCCGGCCAACGGCAGCGCCAGCGCCGTCGCCGACGACGAGCCTCCGAAGGCGAATGGAAAGGCGAGGCGGAGGGCCTAAGCCGACTTTCTGCTTTTGAAGGAAAGACGGAAGTGTCACGTGCGACCGTGTCCCCCGAACCAGCAGCCAGGTCAGCTCACGTGCGGACATGAGGAATGGGGGGAGGGACATGTGCATGGCGGTGGGTGAAAGAACCACGACGTCGTTGTCAGGGATTCCAGAGCATCAGTGGACGAGCGAGGTATACAAAAAAGGGACACTACGGCGGGCGGGAGAGTCATCATGGGCGGATTTAACTGCGGGAAGAAGAGGAACAACATCAATAAGAGGAGGAGGGACGGCATTGCGAGCGTTGCACCACTTGTGTACATAGGTAGGGGGGGGAGTGCACGCCGCGTGGCTGGACGGAGGGGCACAGCGAAGGGCGGTGATACCACCATTCATGGCGACAAACCTGGAGTTTTAGGACATACATTATACGTCAACTACTAGCATCATCATCATCATCATGCTCGCGCCTGGACTCTGCTGTGCATTGCTGCTACTTCGTACACACTCAAACCTCTTGATTGAAAGATTGCGACCATCACTTTGAGAATCGAATCAGGAGGCAATCAAGTGTCAATTACCAGACGTCGTCCAATTTGTTTGCATCCTCTCTCTCTCATAGTAGCCCAAGAAGGGGGGGGGGNGGGTATACCCGTCACTTTCTTCTCTCTCCCCAGATACCATCACCTGGCCGGAGCGTTTCTAGATCACACTCACAAAACACAAAAACAACCCAAGCCATGCGCGCAAAAAAAAACCAGACTGTGCCGCATAAGGGCAACAATTATCATCCATCTCCGTAGAGTGGGCGATGCGCGCAGATTCCCCTCCAGAACGCCTCGCTTTCAAAAAGACAACCAGATGCCGTCCGAGTGGTCCTTTGCTCCGTTGGGAGGCACGAGGCCATGCTCGGCGGAAAAAACAACAAAAATAAAAAGCAACAACGAAATCAGAAAAATGAGCATCCGAGAGAGAGATGCACCGGGAAAAGACGGGTGGGCAACGTGTGCGCCACCGTCGACTCGAGTCCCGGGGGGAAAAGGCGCTCGCGCATCGCAGGAGATGAAACGCTCGCTGCCAACCCAAGAGCGGCCTGCCTGCCTGCCGCCCCGTGGGGCGCCGTTCTAGTTGATCTAATACCGACATGGACTTCGTTCATTCGTCAAATTGCTTCGCGCCCGAGCTTTGGCGGCTTGTGCGCTGTTGAGATCAAGGGAAGTTTAAGTGAGAGGCCCCTGCGCCGGTCGAGGCGCTGGTGTTGGTCGGGACCCCGTTCAGAAGGTGCTCCAGTTCCAGTCTCGCGGCACACTGGCAGCGACCTCGGGGCCCTTGGGCGCCGTGGGGACGAAGCCGGCGGGCGCCGTGATTGGGGTCGAGGGCATCGTGTGCGATGCGTCCGACGCGGCAGAGCCAGAAGACTGGCTGCTGCTGCCACCATAGGTGGCCTTGACGACCTGGAAGCAGTGGTTGCAGGCGCGAGAGACCGAAGCCTTGGGGTTGAAGTTTGCGTTCTGGTCCAGAGGCAAGACATAGCTCGAGTGCCAGTCGCAGAAGATGTGGCCGCATTTGCGGCAGTGGTGTCGGCGGATGAAGTAGCTGAAAGTTCGCTTGCAGGTCGGGTCGTCGCAGATGGACGACTCCGCATCGGGCTATGGCGATGCCGCGTTAGCGACGGGGAACGGCGCAAAATCACTGCTGGCAGGGTGGGAAGCTTACCTTCCAGTGCTTTCGCGTCGGAGGGGCAGTCACTTCGGGAAACGCTTCAATGTTCCAGTCGCCGTCCAGAGCTTGGGCGCCTTCGCCGGTGGAGCGGCGGCTCAGCTTGTTGCCCAGGCCGCTGAGGCCGGCGAGGGTCATGAGGTTGGAGTTGGCGCGGCGCAAGGTGGAATCCGAGTCCGAGTCGGAGGTTGAGCCGCCCGTCTTGGTGCGCGCGATGCGCTTCGAGGGAAACTCGTCACACGGCCGCAGCACGGCGGGCATGTACATGGGACGTCCCGAGCGCGCGTGCTGGCCCTTTGGCGACGGCGGCGTTGAGTAAGTCTGATTTGGGCTGACTTCGGTGCTGCTGATGGGGGAGATCTGAGGCCCCGAGACGTGGTAGGATTGAGATCTCTGGTGCATGGGGCGCTGAGGCGGCAGAAAGTGCCGCGACTGCTGCTGCTCGCCTGGTAACGTAGGCATGATGAGTTCGGCTGCCATGGCGGCGAGTGTGTTTGAGTCTGAGGTGGGAGAGGGGAGACCGAGACAGCGACTTTCGGCGGGTGAAGCTGCTGGTCGGTGATGCGAACCTCTTGATATGAGGAATCGCAGTCGAGTAGAAGGCGGGCGACGTTTGCCGACGAGGCGTCAGGAGAGAGTGTCGAGGTCGACGCGTGCAGCAAAGGCAAGCTGCTCAAGCGGCACGAGACCACAGGACGGCAGCTCGGGGGTGAGGGTGGAGGAGGGACCCTTTTTGTCTCCCGGGTCGGTTGCTCCGAGCCGAGCGACGCTCCAGGTCAAGCTGACTATCGCGCGGCGGCAATTGGCGGGTACTTGGGATGCTTGGCTCAATCGCTGTACTTTTTTTGGGCGAGATTGACGGTGTTGGTGGGTGGCGACGGGCGATGCGAGTCAAGCCCAGATTGCCTGCCAGCCAGACAGCCAGACGGACGAGAGACAAGACAAGCCGAACCAGGGGCCCAGAATGGAGAGCGGCGGGTGAGCCTTGGGGGGGCCTGGGGCCTGGGGCCTTCTGGGACTGGGACCGGGACGTGGGACTGGGACGGACCAGCAGGGGCCCCCGGATGGGCGCGGGCGGGCCTACGAGAACGACGAGGACACACGAGTGGTCCCCGTATGGGTGAACTAGCGATAAGCGTCGGGTGCTCGGTAGCGGCGGCACAGGACGAGCTCTCAAACCGTCGCGTTGACACGGGTCTCGTCGCGGTGGCGATGACGATGATGCGGACGGTCGGGGAGCAGCAGATGCGGTGAGGGTCGATGGCGGAGAGACAAGTGCGAGGGAGAAGAAGGAGGAGTGAGTAGTGAGGCGGCGACCGGCCGAGGTGGTGAAGAAGAGCTGTCTCAAGGCTGTCTGTCTGTCATGCGAATAGACGCACGCGGGGGAGGGGGGGAGGGGGGAGATGGAAGAGGAGGGACCCTCGTGGCTTTGAATGATGAGGCTGCTGCTTCTGCTGCTGCTGCTGCTGCCGCCGCCGCCGCTGCACTGTCCGCCCCTGCTGCTGGTCGCGGGGCGGCGCGGCGCATCGCCGCCCGCACAGCGACGACCTACCTGTAACGCACCGCAACTGCACTGGACCGGGGCTGGCACACGCTGAGTTCACGCAGGGCGGGCAGCTGCCAGCATCCATCCCATCCACCTCATGCAGCATCCAGGCATGTCGTTCATACGAGTAATGGCTGCATATCGCGGGGCCAGCCATTGGTCCACTGTGCCACCAAACTGTGTCACTGTGCTGTGCCACCGCCCCTCCCCGCGAGCGTCACCGCCAAGCTGCCTGGGCCCCCAAGGCCCCCTCGAGGCGGCGGCGCGCGCGCAGCGACGGGACTGAATCGAGGCGCCCTGGAATTGGGAGGGATGGCACGGCGCAAGCTGGAAGGTGGCGCGCCGGCTGCCGGAAGCGGCTCTTGCCAGCCGTTCCATCCCACCCACAGCCTGACGACCCTACGACCGACCGACTAATCCACCGCCAATCCGCCATCATGGTGCAGTACAGCACGGGCAATCGATCAAGGCAGCCGGCGGCGCCTCTGAGCGCGAGCGACGCAACGTCCCCCACGGTTTCCGGGATCGCGGCCATCTGCGACCAGGTCTCTCTCCATCTCCCCAGGCTGGCTGGCCGGGGGGATCCTGTCTCGCCTCGCGCCCCCGCGGAGGTTCTCGCTTCGCAGCAGTCAAAACGCCGGTCCCATCCAGCAACGTCGGTCGGTGCCCGTTGACAGCATCCCTGGCATCTGGCCGGGCCTTGGCCCACGGGCGCCCCGGGACCGCCGCCGCCGCCGCCTCTGCCCCGTCGGCCAACTGCTACTGCGGCGGGTGTTGCTGCGGCGGCAGTGCTGCGTAGCCTAATCTGCCCGCCCATGCACCAGACCTCCCCATCGCGCGAAACACGACGTCGTCGTCGCGCCTCGGAGATTTCGACTCGCCTGCGTCGGGAGGCGCCGCATGCAGCAGCACCGAGTCAAGTGCATGCGTAGGGGAGCCCACCGCCCCCCGGTGAAGAAGAACAAGTAAGTTGCTTCGTGCTGCAGCATCACAAGACGACAACCTGGACAAAGTGCTGGACGTTTTACGCACCTTCCCTTGCCGGCTGCGCTTCTTCGTATTCCCCAAAGTGCAGGCTGTCTGTCATGGCAGCACATCTGTCATTTTTTTCTGTTACGCCCGCCCAGCCCTGTCCGCACTGTGAGAAACCCTCTTCTCCAAAAAGATCGTTGCTCTGTCTCTCTGTCTGTCCCTCGTCTCCAACTGGCTTGGCGTGGATGGAAGCGACCGCCCCCCAGGGCCCCTACCGCCCCACTAATTAGCCCACAGCCGCCCACTTCCACCGCTGCCGGGCTTTCTTATCGTCGGCCTCTGATTGGGGCGCCGCGCTGGACGGCGCTGGGTCGGCGGCGGCGGGGGGGCGCCTTGGTTGGCCGCCGCGGGCTTCCAGAGGCTGGCGGCTGGGGGGGCGGGCGGCTTGGGCGGGGGGGCCGTCGCCCGCCTTGCCTGTCTTTCTGCCTGCCATCCGTGGATCAGTCCCATGGATTCCTCGTGGGAAGGAGAGGCCTTGTTCTGCGTGGCGTCTAGCGGGCCCCGCCCACCGCTTCTCTTCCATCCCCCCCGGCCTCCTCCACGGCCGGCGCGCTCTTCTCTCGGCCTTCCATCCGTTCGTGGTGGTAGCACCCGGAGCGGACGACTGGACCCTGCCGTTGCAGCTCCTACGGCGCAGTACCACCAGCCAGCAACCGCAGCTACAGTGCAAGACAGTACACAGTCACCACTGACACGCGGGCACGTAGGTAGCGCTCCTCACCGCCGACAGTCCGTCAAAACTCCCCGTCCGCGGCCCCCCACCGCCGCCGCCGCCATCGTCGTCGCGGCCGTCGGCGATGCCGCTGACAAGAAAGCGTCGCCGTGCGGAATGGAACCCGTCAAAACAAAGGTGGAACATCAAGTCCCCCCCCCCCCTTTGCGCGCCCAGACTGTTGCTCGATCTGGGCCTCGCCGCTGATCGTGCCAGACATCGACACGGCCCAGATCTTCCAGGTTCCTTTGCCTCCCAGACCCCTTCTTCCCCAGTTCGAGACTGCTATTCGCTGGGGACCACACGACACATCGCAGAGCGCGCCTCGTTGCTGCTTTGCTCCTCTCTCCATGTTCCAAGGTGTGCAGCTCGGGCCAGTGTCTTATCTGCGCTTCGTGCCACTGCTCTTCGTATCATGCCTCTGCCATTTGCCAACAGTCTCGATCTTTCTCTCTACCAGAAATAGACGCCGCCTGGACCCAACTCTGTTCCGTGCCGCATCGCCCGTCTGGCTCGTGGTTGGCATGTAAATTGCAGGACCGAGGCCTTTCGAGGGCGGACACGGTGCAGTGGTACGGACAAGCAGAGTTTCAATTGACTCGAGCGCGCCCTCTTCAAGAGCACCAGAGAAGGCAAGAATGCATGTACAAAGTACAGTATGAAGTAGTACGTGAGGCTGCGCCGTGGCTGCTCTCCGGCGCGCTCCACCATGCACGTCCGACGCTCTCCAGATGCATCTGCAATTACTCGCATGCGCCGCCTCCATCGGTCTGCATGCCACCTGGCTTGGGTGCGCCCCGCCCGTCCACGCCCGCCGCCGCCGTCGAGTCTGGCTGTCGACCTGCTCTACTCCATCTCCCACCGCCCGCTTTTGCCGCCGTCCTTGAGCACCACCCGCAGGCCCTCGATGCGCATCCCCTTGTCCACCGCCTTGCACATGTCGTACACGGTCAGCGCCGCCGTCGACGCCGCCGTCATGGCCTCCATCTCGACCCCTGTCTTGCCGTCGCACGTCACCGTCGCCCGGATCTCGATGCCCGGTGTCCCCGCCCTCGCCTCGCCGGCCCCGTCGCCGTCGCCGTCCTCCCCGGTCGCCTCCAGGTCGACCGTGACGTGCGACACGGCGATTGGGTGGCACAGCGGTATCAGGTCCGGCGTCCGCTTGGCCGCCATGATGCCCGCCACCCGGGCGACCCCTAGCACGTCGCCCTTCTTCATCTGGTTCTCCCGGATGAGCCTCAGCGCCTTGCCGTTCGAGAAGCGCACGCTGCATGCCGCCGTGGCCACGCGCGACGTCACCTGCTTCTCAGAGATGGACACCATCCGAGCCGAGCCCGCCGCGGAGACGTGCGTCAGCTGAACCCCTTCCCCGCCCTGCTCGTGCGGAGGTCCTGGTGATCTCTGGTCATTGTCCTTGGCCAGACGCCGAGACGTGCACAACGAGCGCCGACTCTCGCCCAATTGTCCCCTTGTTGTTCCCTTGCCAGATCGTAGCAGATGAGCCATGGCGCCGCCCAGTCGTAGTTGCATCTTCGCAGGCATGGGCCCCGTAAGCGACGCATGAAAATCATCTATGCAATTTGTTGCTACTTAGCGTGCGTGCTCATACAGATAGCCAAACTTGGCAGAGACGTAGCTTCATAGATCGTGACAAGGAGCCCCCCATGATGATTGTGACGCAAACGCCGCCCAAATGCCTTGCCGCCAGGGATAACGAGAACCTTCACCCACCTATCAAGATCATTGGCCGATTCTTCATGTGCTCCAGCTCTCCCAGGCCCGCGTGCTTCGCCTTCTTCCGCTTTACCGCGGCGCCGATGACATCGAGAAGCTCCGCTTCGTTGGGCGCGATTCCCAGCAGCTGGCCGGATGCCACCAAGCCTTGCCGACGATCCATCTCGATCTGCTTCATGGCTTCGAAGGCCTCTTCGTCGATCGGCTCGCCGCTGTTGGACTTGCGCAGAAGGTCTCGGAGTGACACTTCTGCGTTTCCGAAAAGGCACACCTTGAGGTTTCCGTCGCCTGTGATGCGGAGTCTGTTGCAGGTTCCGCAAAAGTTGTGCGTCATGCTCGTGATGAACCCGATGCGTCCCGTGAAGCCAGGTATGTGCCACGTCTTGCTCGTGTCGTTCTTGTGATCCTGAACCTTTTCGAGTCCTGGGTACTCTGCCCGGATCAGATCCAACATTTCCGTATAGCTGAACATTTTGCCTTGGCTCCACTTGTTGCCGTCGAACGGCATGTATTCGATGAAGCGGATCTCGATATCCTTTTCACGCGTCATCTCGACGAAAGGAATGACTTCGCGGTCATTGACCCCGCGCATGACGACGCAGTTGATCTTCAACTTGATGCCGGCGCCGTGCTTGTTGAGTTCCAGGATCCTTTCGATGCTTTTCTGGACCGCGTCGAATCCTTTCCTGCGGGTCATGATCTGGAACTGCCATGGGTCCAGTGTGTCGAGACTGAGGTTGACACCGGTCAGGCCGGCCTCCACCATGCTGTCCAGCTTCCGGTGGAGAGAGATGCCGTTCGTGGTGATGCACAACTCTCGGAGCCCTTGGGGCCGCAACGCTCCAATCTGATGCATCAAGGGCAGGATGTCTCGACGCACGGTGGGTTCGCCGCCCGTTAGGCGGATCTTGCTCACGCCTTGCCCGACAAAAAGGGACGACAGCATCACAATCTCGGGAGTTGTGAGCAGCTCCCTGTTCGGTGACAGGGGAACGCCCTCTTCGGGCATGCAGTACACGCAGCGAAGGTTGCATCGCTCTGTTACCGATATGCGCAGATAGTCATGCTGGCGATGGAAAGTGTCGGTCAAGAACTCGGAGAAGGGTTTTGCACTGCGTATGCGCTCCCTTCGCGACGAGGCTGTCGGTGCCGTTGGAGTCGCCACCTCGGACGCGGCCGCATTGCGAGCCTGCGACGCAGTCCCGAGGCATCTAAGTCCAGTGGTCAAAGCCCACGACGGGGACGGCCTGGGATGGCGGAGCCTCGCCGGGCGCAGCGCCAACATGGCTCGGGGTGCGGCCTGCATGTTGGATTCGCCGGTGGGCGGCCCCTCGGTAGGGACTCGGAGAGCCGGAGCGCGTGTCGGGGGCCCCGCGGCGACGCAACCGGGCAACCTTGGAACTCGCACAGAGGAACCCTCGAGTTGAAAGATGATGCCGCGACCAGCCACTACGCCGCATCCATAATGATGGCGTCTGTTGGCAGCAGCAAATTTGCCCCTTTTTCGTGAAGAGAGATGTTTTCCGCGATTTGTCAGTTGCAGCTGGCACGCCCTTGGAACTCAGCTCCTGTTGGAGTCTGGGTTCCTGCCGTCTTTTGTGAGCCCGTGACCGTCAACCCCGCATGAGTCAGCAGCAGCATGTAGCCACTAAAAACCCGCGACGGCGACAGAACGGGGAGTGGAGCCCGTCAGGCTCCGATGCGCCTTCCGCCAGCTGGGCCGTTGCAGTCGATCGTCCCTGCCGGAGACGGGCGAAGAGCGAGGTCCAGGGCGCTAAGCCCCGCTAAGCCCCAAGCGGTAAGAAAGTAAACAATGCTCGTGGCTCGTCTCGCTCGAATTTTGGCGTCAACGTACGAGTACCGGAGCCTGTTGAATCCGCGACGGTCGCGCCTGCCACCCCGCGAAGCCGCCGACCCTGGCTCTTACCTACGTTGGCACACGTGCAAGCAGCTATCGCCTACTCTCGAACGTCGTCCAGACCAGCAGTCCGCCGTTCAGTTTTCGTTTCCCGCCGTACCGTCTACGCCGCCTTTGGGGCTTTCACGCTCACGCCGCCAGGTGCCTGGACGACCATCGGAGTACTGGCCACTGACACACGTTCTGGGGGCGCGTCTCAGTCCGTGAGCGTCACCTTTGATTCCTCGCAGTCTCTGAACATCCCGTGATTCAGGACGTACGCACCAGGCTGCCTGATCCGGTGCAATGCGCGTCTCACGACCTTTCAAATGTGCGTGAACCATCTGCCGTCATTGTTGCTGGCGTTCAACATGTGCCGGAGCTAACAAGTAGTCGGTCTCCAGCCTCCGGGCACTGCAAACCGAGTCCCGATGGACGCTACATCGCCACGCTTAGCTCCTCAGCCGTTAATGTTCGCTCGACTGAGACGCTGGCGCTCGTCAACGTGATAAAACTCTCTGGCGATCTTCAGGGTCCCATCAGCACCTTCATTTGGTCACCGTCATCTAGGAATATTCTGGTTGCTACGGCAGACGACGTTCAGGTATCATCTGCGGCTGATACATCGTTCAATGCTACTATCCGCAACACCACTTGCCCCGGTGGGAAGCCTGGCCTCATTTACTTCGGAGCCAGCGACTACGAGGTCCTGCTTTGCTCGCCGTTTGGTCTCAAGCTCGCCATCGTTGATCTGACCACGTCCAAAATCGTTGAGATTAGCAGCCCCAAGTTTCACCATGCATCGACTGCCTCCAGGGGCTTCTCCATTCGGCCAGCTACAGGACACCTGGCGGTGCTCTCCCGTGTCGGCGGCAAGGACATGGTTAGTATCCATGACGCTAGCACTCGGCTCGTTGAAAGGTCCTGGAGTCCGGACACCGTTGACAGTCAGGGCATCCTTTGGACTCCGGACGGAAAGTGGCTACTGCTCTGGGAGTCCCCGGCCCAAGGCCATCATCTATCTATCTATACGCCTGACGGCCAGCACTTCCGTACCCTAGGCGCCGCAACTATCCTGCAAGATCAACAATCCGGGGCAGAGGGAGAGCTCGAGGCCGGCATCAAGACTTGCCAGCTCAGCCCCAATGCCGAGTTGTGCGCGCTGGGCGATCACAGTGCGGGCGTCACAATCCTAGACACAAAGACGTGGAGGGCTTGCCTGAGGCTGATGCATCCTATCACCATCATTCCCAAGGACACTACGCAGGTAAGACTCCCTCAAAGGCTGGCTTGGGCGAGTCAAGTCAATGGCTGATGATTTGGCGCAGGTGTGGCAAGAGCAGGTCAGCTCTGCAAGCCAAGGACGCTCCACACACTCATTTGTGCGAGCAACGCAAATGGTTGCGCCCCCTGCACAGTCATCGGAGGCGAAACACGCGGCACCGTTGCATCCAGGCTGCTCAATGGCTGCGTTTGATGCGTCCTCCACGCTCCTGGCCACCAAGCTCGACGACTCGCCGTGCGCAGTCTGGATTTGGGATGTGGCGGCCGCGGAGCTTCGAGCCGTTCTTATATTTCATTCCGCAGTGGGCTTCAGCTGGCACCCAAGCGTTCGCGAGCTGCTGTTGGTTACATGCCAGGACGAAGCGCGTCGCGGTGCAACGTTCGTGTGGGATCCGCTGTCGGATGGGCCGTTGTTGGTAAGTCAGGCCGACGGGCTTCCGAATGCGCGACCAGCAAAGGCGGTGACCAAGGCGCCCAAGGTCTTCTGGGTGGACCGCGACACCGAATGCCCGGAACTTGTCGTGGCGGAAGCGGAACGCTACGCGCTGCTGTCCCTCTGTGACGCCGACGACGGGCCTGGCCCATGGCGCGATGAGGGCGGGGTCGACGGCGATGGCCCATTCTCGGCTCGGGACGACGCTGAGGACACGGGTAGACCCGTGGTCCTAAGCCCGGGTGACATATCAGGACTGGACGACACGTTTTCGTTCAGGAACACGTCGGTGTAATCCGGGTCGAAGCCGGGTCGAGTCGACTGGCGGTCTGGCCGGCGCGCCGGATGGGTGTTTTGGCGCTGTTGGCCTGTTGTCCGGACTTGCGACCCGGGAAAGTGGTTCGTCCGTCCTGTCGCCTGGACCGGGGATACCTCACCGGTGGCCGCCCGTCGAAACTAACCCCGGCCGTCCAAAGGGTCTAGTTGCATGGTGGCGTTGCTTTGGACAATGGCGGAAAGGGAATGGACTCGCGGCGCAGAGAATTGTTGTCTCTTTTCTCGCGCTTATTCTGCCGCTCGATCGACAGAGATGGCCGCGAGCGGGGACATCATACATTGGAGTGAGCCCATGAGCGCAGTCCAGCTGTGCCTTTGTTGACGCCTTTGACCAAGCCGGAATCGCGCTGCAGCATCTTGCCGTCGCGGCTGGCTTCGAAGCGCACGCGCACACACACTCTGACGCACGCGCGCGCGCGCACCATGTATATGCTGGGGGGTCCTGCTCGAGAGCCAAAGAGCGTCCGCAGTCGGTGGCGGCCACGGCAGCGATGCAGGTAGCAGCCCTTCAGCCAGTTCCGGCAGATGAAAATGACAAGTCACCACCAAGGGCGGAAAGGGCTTGCACATGGGTGCCTCGGGCGACTAACCCTGACCACGTTGGAGTTTCGTCAGGACCTCGTGTCGTTGCGTCTGTTGGCGCGTCAAAGCTGGCAGTGCTTGGCGAGGGACCTTTGCTGGGTTGCGAGTGGAGGGGAGCGCGGCACCGGCCGGTAGGGGCCTGACTCTTGCACGCCATCGAGTCGGCCTCAGTGGCCTGGGTTCGAAGGCCTTATACACCATCAGCTTCCGACTCTCAGCCTATCCGTCGCGTTCTGAGCACCAGGGCATGGCGTGGCAAGGCCTGGCATGGCGTGGCATGGCGTGGTGCACGCAGCGCAGCGCAGCATTTTCTCCACTCCGCCTGTGAGGCTGCCGATCGCTCCGGTCCCAGCTACCCGGAACATGGATACACCACGGCCCACGGACGCCGAGAGCAGCAGGAGGGCATCCCCGGGGTGCAAATACACGCTCTGCACTGTAGGCACGGAGTAGCCTAGGCGCACTGCACGCGCCCGGCCCTCGGCCAGGGGCTGGACGCCTCCTGCGTGGGTACACACAACTCGGTGCCGATGGAGGCTTCGCCGCGCCGCGCCGCGCCTCGCCTCGAGCGGCGGCGAGGCTCCTGTCGACTCTGTTGGCAGACGGTTGTGCGCGGGCGCGTGGCATCCGTCCCCTGTTCCTGGCATGCCCTGTTGCTCGTGTAAGAGCAGCCCCGGTAGACGAGCTCTTTGGCCAGGATGCGCCGCTGCCCCTTTGCCACCATGCTACGTAAAAAAACAACACAAATTGCTTTTCTTCACTCATATGCAGCTGCTGCAGCTTTCGTCTGGCCGGGCCTTGAGACGATACACACACTCGTTCATTAACCACTTTGTGCATTGTTAACACATTTTCGTTTTTCCCTGTCCGGACACGGTGTAGGTAGGCACGCGCCGTCTCCTGTACGACACCGCGGCGGCCTCTCGACCCCTCGTGGCTCTTTATCCATTTCTGGCCTCGAAGTGTCCCTCTTCTCTACTGCTTGTCAGAGCGAGCTTGACACTGTCCATCATGGGATTTTGCCCAACCCGATAAACTACTGGGGCTTAGGGCGAGCCCGGTTCGCGACTGTGTCATCATGCCGCGCAACGAGTCCCCGGCAAACACTGTCATGAGGGATGTTGCCTCCGGCGACGAGAGCGGAGTCTATCACCTACTCATAAGTTCGGTACGTGCAGAATCCCGGGCCATTGACCTCTGCCTCCATCCACAAACTTCTAACTGCGTTGGGAAATAGTTGCCCTTTGGTACCAAGTGGCAGCTCTTCAAGGACTGGATTCGTGAGGCGGACTGTGACGTGGATCACATCGAGCTGTTTCAGAAGTCGACGAACGGATGGATTCGACTGCTTGGCAGAGACAACTTTGAGCGTGCTTTACGTACGGTGTACCCAACCCTATCCGCTGCGTCAACCAATGCATGTCTCGTTCTCGTGGGCACGAAACTGACACCGAAGGAGGTATAGGCCATCTCAGGACCAATCCCTTTGCGGGTAGGGAGATAATCGTCGACGAGAGAAACCGGACAGAGCCCATCAAGATCCTCGAGCTCATTGATGACCCGCCGCCCAAGCCTAAGTTTGGGTGGAGGTTTCAGAGGTCGCGCCGAAAAGGCGATTTGCTTGCTGATGATGCTGCTTCAGTCGGTTCTCGCGCTGAGATACGGCAACCGCCGCAGCAATCAGAGTCTATGGCGGCAAGCACTGATGTAGAAGCGTCCCGACAAGGCCGAGAGCGAGGCAGCATCCGAGCATCTCCAATCCCCGGGTACCCAAGCGGCCCTGTCATTCAGCGCATGTCCCTGGAGAATGCCGCGGCTCCCATGGGCTACCTGTCACGCGAGCCGTACAAGTCCTCGGCGGAGTTGCAAGGAGCTGCGTACTTGGCAGCAGGGGACATGCCTTTCTCCATCACGCCGTGGAATCTACCGTATGGCTCGGCATATGCCCAAAGCTACCGGCCCTTCGAAGCGCCGCCGCCCGTGAGCCCTGGTCTTCAAGCCGGCCTGCCGTCATCAACATCAAGCGGCTCACTGTTCCCCCAGGTCCTGCGTCCGAGCTACTCGAGGTCATCATTGAGTTGGGCCAGCAGCGTCACCGAGACCCCGACAATGGCACCTAAACTCGAGTCGAGCATCGGCGCTTCCCAGCGGCCGACTGAGACCTGGTACAAGGTGCAGCTGCTGTCACTGAGGAATACTGCCAGCACGCAGGACGTGGAGAAATGGGTGAGGAACCGCTTGAGGGACTGGGAAAGCGCAATTGTTCGCATCGATGTTCCAATAGACCATCAGAAAGGTCGCATTCGCGGGTCGGCGTACATCACGCTCTCCAACGCCGTTGCTGCCGGCAAAGCCGTCGAGGCACTCCAACAGCAGCTGTTCATGGGGCGTCTGGTATACGCCCGCCGCGGGGTCAACTACGACACTGCCAACAAACAAAAGAGGGAAAGCGAGAAGGTGAACCGCCTCGTTCAAACGAAAAAATCGAGTTACGATAGCGCCGAGGTTGCGGTCGACGACCAGGTCTCCCCTGCACCACAAGCCCAATCAAGAGATGTGGCCGACAAGGGCAAGTACGCGCCTCCTGTCATCGCTCACGGGACGAACTACAAGCCGCCAAAGTAGGATGTTTGCCTGGTGGAATATTGGTTGACATGGGTGGAATTGTCCTGGCTACCGCGCGACTACACTACTAGAAGGAACGCAGCACTATGCTCTGTGTTGCAGAGGGCGGCCCGGCCAGCCTTCATATTATTTGGGTTTTTAGACTCAAGCGCTTGACGCAATCTGTTTTCTTGCTTTAATTGCACATATACCCCAAACTGCTTTGACAAGGCGGCGAGACTTTGCATGGACCTGGACCTGTTTTGGCCTGACTGCAGGGACGGACGGGTAGAGGAGCTTTAGATCCACATGTTGGGGCGTATTGCTCGTTCAAACGGCGAAGGCGGATTCTAGTTTTCTTCCTGTTCATAGTCGAACCTAACTGGCTGGTTATGCTGGCCAAGTTGCAGTCCAGCATTCTCTAGGACCTCCCGACGATGACAAGCCGCCGTGGTCATTGGCGGTTGACTCGTGAGGCTGCTCCTACGTATGTGTCCAACCCACACCCTCAAGCTCATCGATTGCAGGACCAGCAAACACTGCTGCTGCTGCTGCGGCTGCTGCTGCGCCGCGAAAACATGGGCAACGTGCGTCGGGTTGTGTCATGGTATTCTCATTACTCTATGTCTGCGTCGTCTGTCCTACTCTGCCTGGCCGACGTTTCGGCCGGTTCCGCGTCTGCATGCAGCCACCAGGCATGCTTAATCCGCTCCCCCGTACGCTGAGCGGCTCAGCAAACGTTCCGTCGCCCGGCGCTGACATATGCACGCTGTGCGACCGAAGGGCGGGATCTTCGTCCCATTGCCTGCGGGTGTACGTATGGACTTTGTGCTTCGTACAAATGTACTCGTGCCTCGTCGCTTGCTCGCCAAAAGTGGTGTCTGCGGTTCAGTCGGGGGAGTGTGCAAACAGTTCCTCCAGTCGGGCGCAATCGTGCGTCGTGCGCCCGTCTTGGCCAGGACTGTACGAGCACCCGGTGAGCCTGGGCCGCTTCTCGTGACGTCGGACTTTTGTCTTGGGGCTTGTCCATTGGCGACGCGGGCCCTACCAGGAACAACGGTGTGGCTTGGTGCGACGGCGCACCAGGGCTCCTACCGAGCATCCGCTGACGCATCCCTGCCTGCGGATGCGCCTCCTTCTAACCGCCAAAGTCCATCTTCAGGGTGATGCTCGGCTGGCCGGATCCGCCGTCGGTAGCTGCACTGTTGCCGGCCGTCCCCTGGCGACCCGAGCGGATGACCTCCTCCAGGAGAGCCCTTTGACTGGCGCTCAGGTCGCCCACGATGGCCTTGAACGTCCCCGGGTCAGCCGCCGCGAGCTCCAACAGCGTTGCACTCGTTTCTTGATACACTTCTTCGCCCTCGCCCGTGGCCCGAGCCATGAGTGTCGGAATGACCAGGGCCATCGACGCCGACCTCCGGTCCGCCTGCAGAGTCCCCACGTACAGGCACAGGGTGTGAGCGAGCAGGGCCCGAGCTCGCGCCGGATCCTCGGGTTCCACATTGGTCACGAACGCAATCAGGCGAGGAAACAGGTACCGTGCAATGCTCAGGTCGGCTGCAGTAGGTTTCGGCTGCAGAAGGAGCGAGCGGATGCAGTTGGCTGCAATCCTCGCGGTCTATGCGGCGCGTGATCGTCAGCAAACACCCCCCCTGAATAACCCGCGGCGTCGGGAGTACTTACCATGCGGTCCGTGAGGCAGTCGAGGACCTCGTCCAGATAGCGGGCAACCAGCGGATCGGTAGCCGGCAGTTGATTCTTGCCGCTCGTAAAGAGAATAGTTGTCGCGAGGAGACAATTCTTGACGCACGCTAGGGACGTTGGCTGCTCACGCTTCTGTGCGTGGAGGTAGATGGACAGGAACCGGCGGAGACAGCCCTGCAGTTGGACTTGGCCCGACGAGTGGTCGTCGGCGGACTTGGGCATCCCGCCGACGAACCGCTTGAGGATGGCCAAGGACTGCGGGACAATCAGTTCTTGGCAGTCGGGGGTGGCGAGGATGGTGGCGAAGATGTGAATGATGCAGGCATGGAGGTCGGTCTTGATGATTGATGGGAACACCTCTGCCGCGTCGACAAGAGCGTCCAGTGACGTGCGGACGAGGACGATAGCCTCGTCGTTCATCTGATGGCGCACCGGCTGGCTGCCCTCGGCGAGATTAGGCAGGAGGCCGCTCAGCACAAGCACGATGATCCTGGTGAGCTCGAATAACTGGTCGATATCCTCGGAGAGGTCGCCCTCATCGGACGCCTGCCGTCGTGCAGAAGGGTGGGTGACACAAAGCGCACGGGCGATTTGCACGATGACGGTCTGGACGTCGAGCCCGTCCGTCAGAACCAGGCGGTCAAGGAGATCCATTGTCTCGGCAAAGACATCCGGTCGATAAATGGCGTGGCCCGACACACTCGGGTGCAGAATCCTCTTGAGGGCCTCGAGGATGTCCAGCGTTTGTTCCTGAGTGGCCAGCGACTCGCTCTGTCCGGGCCGTATGGCGAGCGCCTCAAAGGCTAGTCCGAAGAGCACAAAGAAGAAGGCAACCGGCTCGTCGCGGTAGTTGATTGCCGGGCTCTTGGGGTTGCCGTTGGAGACGGATTCCTGAGACTCCTTGCCGTCAAGCGCATCAAAGACAAACTCGCTGTCCTGTTCAATGAGACTTGCAATCGCATCGACAAGCTTGAGCCACGAGTCCTGATAGAACCGCAGCAAGGTCTCGCGGTTCAGCGCCGCGTAGATGGTGTCCAGGCTACCAGAGAGAGACGGCGGTCCCAGCGTCATGGAAATGTCTGGCTCAAATCGGAGCCTCGCAAACTCCCGCAGGGATTCAAGCCACAAGGGGGTGAGCGTGCCCACGTGAGGCTTGAGCACGTCGAGGAGGTACTTCTGCTCGGTGCTGGCAACCTGAAGCTCCGCCCAGGCAGAGAAGACTGAAATCTTGACCATGACTTGAGCATTGGAGCTCAGTCCTTTCAGGTCCCCGATGCCGGCGTTCTCGTTGTCCCTAGAAAAGTTCTCCAAGGCATTGATGAGGGTCTTGAGGATTCGTCCCATGCGGTCCACGTCGGTGACGATTCCTATGGAGATGAAACTGGCGCAGACATTGACTGCCTCGGAAGCGAGTTCGGGGGACGAGTCTGCCGCAAAGGCCGGGGTCAAGGCAGAGCTGATTTGGGCCTGGTACTGCTCCAGCAACATGGCCTCCTCGAAATCTGGGTCGGGAGTCTTGCCAAACATCTTGAGCACTGCGCCAATGATCTTCAGGCCCCATATGCGAAGCTCCAGGACATTGGAAGTGGAAGCCGAGAACGCCATGCGCACGACGTCCGCGATCTTGTTTTGCAGGGAAACCTGTGCCTGGGAATCCCCGTTCGCGGCCACGTCCTTTGCGACCAGCGTGAAAATCTCACTGATGCAGCTGATGGCAAACGTCGTGACCTGCCATCGCAGCGGCTCTGCTTCAGACGCCGCAGCCATGTCCTTGTCTTTGGCAGTCCCTGCTCCCGCCGCGAAGCCTGCCACCTCTTCGTCCTGAAGGTCTGGGACGCCAGCCGTCGTCTTTGATGATTCGTGCGTCTCCTGGGGCTTTGACCTCGTCATTTTGAGAACCGCTTGAAAGCGCTGCAGCCACTCGTTCGTTTCATGCAGACAGGTCTGGCGCATCCAATTGCGAATAATGTTCCGGATGCCATCGTGAGACGGCGCGTCGTCGAGCACCAGCCACAGTCGCTCCTCAAAGCCCTCGTCTGCTTCCCGAAGAACGTCTCGCGGCTCTCTCTTCATGATGTTGTACAGGCCGTCCACAGCCACATCGCGCAGTGTATTGTTGTCAGACGCCAGGTACTTCTGGAGGAGCCTCACGTAGTCGGCGAAGTGCATCTGCCCAGGTGCGTAGAGAGACAGGTGCTCCAAGCACCCCAAAGCGGCTCTCTCAACTCGGCTGTCACTTTCGTCCTGGAAGTACTCAACCAAGGTGAATATGAGCTCTCGGGACTTGTTGGCATCCTGCAAGTCTGGGCCCAGGACATTGATCAGAGAGTCGACGCACTTGGCGATCGCCGCCACGGTCGGGAGCTCCATCTCCAGGTTCATGGTGATGGCTGACGAGATCTCCGGGTGATGGGTTTCGGACACGTAGAGTTGCGCGAGCATACCCAGAGTGCTCGGGACGTAGCCGGCAAAGGAAAGACCAGCCGCATCCGAGGCTAGCGAGAGAGCCTCCAGCGCCCAGTAGTGAACGATGGGATGCGGGTCGTTGCACAGCGACATGAGGATGCCCAAAATGGTCTTGAGGTGGTAGCCAGCAGCCATGCCGCCGACCTTTGTCTGGATTGAACCAAGAGCCATCGCACACCCAGCTCTAGCGCTGGGCTCGCGGTTGCCAACGATGGTGTCCACGAGGAACTTGATTTCGTGGTTGGTGAAGGAGTTGCCGTAAACATTGCAAAGCCTAGCCACCGCAGCATAGCCGAGACTCCTCACGTACTGATCCGGGTCCAAGACGAAGTCTCTTACGATATCCTGGAGCAGCCTTTCCACGGCGAGATTGGCCACGCTTCCCGGCGATGAGCTCGTTTCTTTCGTGGCCACTCTCATGCAGGCCAGGATCGCGGTCGCGATGTTGACGTTGATTGCTGCTTTGCGGCCCGGGTCTCTCTGAAGAGAGCCCGCCGATGCAAACGTTCTGATTTGCTCCAACACGCTCTCCTGGACTTTGGCTGGTGTAAGGGGGAAAGCAAAGGCGAACAGCTGGATGGCATCGTTGATGACCTCCGTTGCCGGAGGATCGGGTGTCATGGATAAGGCGTCATCCACTGCACCGACGTAAAGCGCGGATGCATCATGCTCCAGACTGCCACAAACAGGCGAGAGCAAAAGCTTGTCGATGGCTTCCTCGGGGCTTTCGGCATCGACCTCGCCTTCCGTAGAGCTGTCGTGCTGACCAGGCAGTTTCCGGACCTTGAATCCGGCGACAAGCCCCGTGATGCCAAACGCCGTGTTGTCTCCAACATCCCAGATGGACTCAAAGTTGGCAGCCGCGTTGGCAATGGAGGCGCTTAAAGAGCTGGGCGTATAATTCTCGGGGTCCGCGAACAATGAGATGGCGAGAGTCAGCAAGTTCGACTGCAAAAGAGCCTCGCTTCCTCCTGCTGGGCTTAGATTGACAAGCTTGATATAGCACTGCATGACGCGGCGCTGTACCATCAGGTCCAAGTCTTGGAGCTGCAGAGCAGGAGTTAGCCTCTGCGAGATGTCCTCCGTGGTTTTCTTGTGTGGCAGCGATTTCAAGAACGCCGTTGTGTTCTGCAGCATGGCAGCAACCCGCTTCGAGACATCCACCGTCAGCAGACGATTGTTGAACTGCAGGAAAGCCATGATGGAGCCCAGAGCGCCTTCTCGCACATGCGTCAAGAACGACGCCTCGAGAAGGCTCCTGGCCGAGGTGTTGTCCTTGGCCAGGGGTTTCGGCAAAGCGTTCTTCCAGAGGAGAAGAAGTTGCGATAGATGGATCTTGACAAAGTTGGGACCCAGGGACATGAGACCGCCGATCAAAATCCAGGCGACTTGGATCTGGGTGCATGCGACGCGAAGTTCGGATTGGCTGCTTGACTTGAGGAGGTTGGTGGCCATTGTCAAGACGCGGCTGTTGATGTCGAGAGAGCCATGCAGGGGCCGCAACGGGCTCGCGCTCAGAGTTGCCGCCAAGCCATGAGCAAACCCGAGACACCGCCTCGGTGAGTTGCGACCGCTGCCAAGCAGCGAGAGTTCTCGCGTCAATGAATTCATACAGACCGAGAGGCATGGAAGCAGCTGCTGCGGGCACGAGAGGACAAAAGTCTTCATGCAGTAAGACGCGAACACCTGCACCGAGTAGCTAGGGTGCTGCAAAACTTGGAGCAGCCCGTCGCGGCAGGATTCGGCGAAGCTGTTTGCAGCTGAGCCAAGAGACTGGACAAGGGCTGCGACAGCGTTCAATGACACAATAAGTGTGTTCTTCGAGGGCTCAGGTCTCTCGGCCAAGGCCTGGGGGTAGTTCTTGAGGATGTTGTTGATCAGGAGCTCCGCGGCCTTAACTTGACCAGACTCCCCAAGGATTTTGCGACCAATTACGTCTTGGACAATGGTGTCGATGATTTTTCGCGACAAGAGCAGCCGGTGGCGGTTGTTGTTCACGTTTGAGTGGCCCAAGATGTCGACTGCGAAGCTCTCGACGATCCTCAAGTAATTGGCCTGCACCAGGTTCTCGCCAAGATGACGGAATAGCTTGCCGTAGCAGACACCAATGGCCGTCCGAGCCTTGTTAGACGCACTCGACTTGACGTACTGCGTCGACAGAAGCTTCAGCATGTCCGGAATGGTCAGTGAGAGGTCCTGTGTTCTCTTTCCGCCAGGTGCCGGGCTGGCAGAGCGCGAAGGGAGATCGTCATCGTCCTCCACGATGCCCGGGTGCGTCGAGACGCGTTTGAGCTTCGCCTTGGATTTCTTGCTCTTCGTGGCGGAGTTTTCCGCTCCTGCGGAGCCGGCGTAGCCCTGGACCATCGCTTCCGCAAAGCAGTCCGCCGCAGCATGCCGTACCTGGGAGGACGAACTGTCGACGGCCTTGAAGACGGCCGACTCAAGCTTGTCGAAGTCGGCCGAGTTGCGAAAGTAGGGCGTGTGCTTGCAGAGGGCCCGCAGGCACCGACAGGCCGCGGCAACTACCAGTGCGCCCTTGTCGCTGGCTGCGTGGCTTCTGCACTGCTTCCAAATGTCGCGGCAAATCGTCTCATCCATGGACCCCTCGATCATGACGACGATCTTGGCCAAGGCCGTCAGGACCGCGGCACGCATCCCCGCGTTATTCGACGAAGACTTGAGCGTCTTGACCAGCGTTGCGCACGAGAGCTGGTGCAGGCCTATGGCGCTGTCACCCGCGGCGGCAAAGACGTCGCCGAGGCAGCTGACGGCAGCATGCTTAGACCGCGTCTCGCCATCCGACTTGGCCTTGCCACCGGAGACGATGCCGACCAGGTCATTTATGGTTTCGAAGAGCAGCTTCCTGTCGCCCTTGCTGAAGATGTGCGCGAGGCATTTGCCCAGGTTGTTGCGTATGACACGTGAGGGCTGCGGCGCGGGCAGGTTGATGATCTGGAAGATCTCGCGCTTCAGGTAGAACTGCTGGGCCGTGCAGTCGTCGGACGAGAGCGCCAGTACGTGCTTTGTCAAGCTCGACACGAAGGTGAGCAGATATAGCTCCTGTTGCTCGGCCGGCAGGGACTGTAGCTTCGGCACGTCGAGCTCCGGAGTGTTCGTCTTGGGCTCGTGGACGGTTGCCGTGGCGGCAGGGACAGCCGTGGTGGTGGCGGCGGCGGCGGGAGTTGTTGTGGCTTCGATGGGAGACTGAGGGCTGCCTGGTTCGGCCGAGACCTCAGGCTCTTGAATCGACGACATGGCGGACGGCTTCGACTGCCGTCAATGGCCCGGATGTCGTTGTTGCTTCGATGTTGGAGCGAGTTGTCTCCATCAGGGGGTCGACTGACCTGCTGGCGCTAGACCAGGGCAGCTGCATCCCAGCCAGGCGCTGGGCTGCGCGACCGCGGGGAGCTTGGTAGGTGCCGCAGCGGCCCTCCTGAGCCAATCAGCAATGGCTGCCGACCTCTTGACAGCCGATGCCACGGCGACCTCACCTGCTGCGACCGCCCCGCCACAGCGCCCTCGGGGGAAGATCGTTATCCCGGCGCATGGAACGCAACGCAACGCATCGCAACCTCGACTTTCCAGATTCCCGTCACTCTTTGGACGTAGACCACAACGCGACCGGGCTCGCCCTGTCCGTCATGGCGATGCGCAGAGCTTCGCTACAGCTGCCGACGCATTCAGCCTCGGCGTCACGGCTGAGCGAGCGCCTCACGAACCCCATATGTCCGCGATGCATGCGACAATTCGCGACGACAGCGGCGCCGCTCGCCGGGCACAACAAGTGGTCCAAGACGAAGCACATCAAGGCCGTCACCGACAAGAAGAAGATGGCTGAGCGCACGGCCTTTACCAAGCTCATCGCCATGTACTCGCGGAGTTAGCATTCACGAAGCAAAGCACCGGGCAAGATGCGCGCCCGAGGATTTGACCCCAGTATCTAACTTTCCCCCCCGGGGCGCAGTGTACGGAGAAGACCTCAAGTTCAACTCGCAATTGGCCAATGCAGTCGCCGCGGCCACGAAGGGTACGTACACATCGGCCCAAGCTTTGATGTGCTTGACATAACGTCGCGAGCTGACATCGGGAGCAGCAAGCGTTCCTAAGTCGCTGGTGGAAGCCGCGATAGCGCGAGGCCAAGGCCGCTCCGCGACCGGCGCGCAGCTCGAACCCATGACGTTCGAGGTCCTCATGCCGCCCAACATCGCTCTCATCGCCGACATCGAGACGGACAACAAGACGCGGACGCTGCACGACCTCAAGTACGTGGTCAAGAAGGCCGGTGGCGTCGTCGGCGCCACCGCGTTTTACTTCTCCAAGCGCGGGCGGGCCGTCTTCAAGCCCAAGGCGGATGGGCCGACCCTCTCGGACGTGCTGGACGAGTTCATCGAGTACGAGGGCGCCGAGGACGTCGAGGAGCTGCCCGACGGCGGCTTCCTCGCCTGGACGCAGCCCGCGTCCGTGGCGGCCATCACCGACGCCCTGTCGCGCAAGTTTGGGCTCGAAGTGCTCGAGTCTGACATCATGTGGGTGGCCAACGAGGACACGACGGTCGCTGTGGACTCGCACTCGTCGGCTGAGAGCCTCGACGCCCTCTTCTCGGGCCTCAGAGAGTACCCCGAGGTCAAGGCCGTGTTTGCCAATGTCCGGCAGGGGAGCATCAGCGACGACGAGTGGGACAGGATAGAAAGGCACATTGATGTATAATACAGGAGCACGTCGCTCCAGCTTGTACAATATTATATCCCACAGGAGCAGAGTTGAAGCGTCCATTTTTGCTGTCCCCACGCCCATGATCCGAAAACGCCGTCCAATGCAAGTTTTGTTCGTCGGCTTCCACGCCTCGGCCGAACCAATCGTACAGCTCTTCCTCCTTTCGTGCCTCAGGGCTGCACCGTCTCCCACCTCACGACTCGTTGCCGCTGCTCGGCGGCGCAGGCTGCAGCCTCGCCCGCTGCCGCTCCTCCTCGAGCATCTGCGCCTGGCGGAAGCGCTGGCGCGCGACGATGCGCTCGTACTCGGCCTTGACCTCCTCGCGGTCGCGCGGCACCTTGTTGCACTCCTCGGGCCGCGGCCAAAAGTCGTGGACGGAGAACCGGTTGTCGAGGTTGGTGCCGAAGTAGTACATGATGCCGATGGGGAACATGACATACATGCCGAACTGCGCGCGCGCGCCACCGGATCAGTCAGTACGGCCAACTATGCATGCTCGTTGGCTGCCGGCGGGTGGCGGCCTCAGGGCGGGCGGCTGCTTACCTTGAACACTTCTAGGTTGAGGCCACCCATGGTGACGGTATCGATGTTGAGTGCCTTTGCGGTCGCCGGGAGAGGTAGCTTGTGGCTGGTTTGCGGAGGAGGATTCGAGGCCCGGCGGCGCGGCGACCGTGAAGTTCCATCGGACGACCCACACCCATGAGCCGACCACTAGCCTCCAGGCACAATAAAGCCATAACCTCGATACAGCAATACTACCACCGCCGCCACCATCCGCTGCCTCAATTGATGGTGCTGGCATCGACGCCCGACCCCGTCGACTCGACTTCATTTGCACACGACAAGCTCTGGCTGGGTGTCAAGAGTTTTGCATTACTTCATACACTCTGCAGTATTGCCGCACGTTCGCGTGGGCTCTATCTCGCACTTCATGCCGATGAATCCGTCCGCCATATCCTCACTTACGCCGCCCAAGGTGCCCCTGACAGATCATGGTCGCGCAGGACCTTTCGCGTCCGGAGGATGCTCGTCAAGCCCGCTGCCTGCCATTACGTCGACGCCTTTGATATGCTCTTTCGTGACCCAGAATCCATTGTGCCGTCCGTTCGCCGTGTCAAACTCCATCCAGCCCGCCATATGAACCAAAACCCACCCTACGCGTTCCCTTCCGTCTTGTTAGCCGCTTTCTCGGCTTTCTCTTGTCTCGCCCTTTCCATCATCTCCTCCATTATAAAGCGTCCCCTGAAACTGAGCGGCGTGCTGGGGAATGGCGGCGGCGACCCCTCCGCCATGGCAACCTCGTCGTCGATCCCGTCCACCCTGAGACTGGACTCCTTGACCGAGTTGGCCTGAGCGAGTATCTCGGGGTCGCGCACAATCGGCATCATCAAAGGCCGCCCCTTGTATGATCCAAGCGACCCAGGCTGGAACCGGACAGTGGGGGACGCCCGTGAAGCGTGTCGGATTGGAACTGCGGGAGATGTCGCGAAAAGACTCGTTTTGGCATCATCAGTATCAGCTTGTTGCGCGTCCGACTCATCGCGATCCTGGGTCGTGGATTCTTCCGTCGCCTCGTCCTCCTCCAAATCTGGCAGCGGCGGGCGCGGGCGCGGTCTGGGCGGAGCACTTAGGCCTCCTGCCTCGAAAAAGAACATGTCATCTCCTTCAACATCGTCGTCGTCCTCCTCATCGGAAGCAGCTGCCGCGGTCGCATCGGACTTTTGCGCCTGATCATCTATGTGACTCGTCGAGTTGCTGTCTTTGAATGCGGGTGGTGAGGTTGGCACCGCGGTCTGCAGCGGCTTACTCTTCCGTGTCTTTGCCATGGCCAAGAACCCGTCGTCGGATGAATCGTCGTCGTTGTCACTGTCTGCCATATTTGGCGTCTCGTTGGATCCATTTCTAGAGACATCCTCTTCGATCTTTGTCGCATTTTCTGTCCTGACGCCGGACAGGCCTGTAGGTGGGTTTGAATTTGCCCCCATATCCAATTTCGTAACGGGTGCATCAGGCGCAGGTGGTGGTATATCCGACGCAGCCTCGTCCTCGTCCGGGTTCACGACCGTCCATACCGTTCCTTCGTCTAATGGTGCCCGGGACAACGCGCGCAAGGCGTCGGACGACGAAACCTTGCGGGGCGGGGCTGCGTGGGCTTCCTCGTCCTCTTCCTCTCCCACCTGCCCGCCCAAGTTGGAGCTGAATCTGGCATCGTCGTCAGACTCAGGCGAGGGCGGGCGGGGGGCGATGAACTCGGAGGGTTGAGGCGACGTTGTTGGCAAAACCTCGGCACCCATGAATTCGAACCTGACTCGTCGCGGGCTCTGCGGCGGTTTGGAGATGCTGGAGGAGCGGCGCAGGGCGCTCTTGGTGGGCTTTGAGTCGCTCTTATCAGAGGAGATGGACGACCGTGTGTCGTCAGCCGCTCGAGAGTTGGGCCACGTGGACACGTTGAAGAGCTGCGCAGGGGTCGCCGGGCGGTCCGACGAGGCGGCGTACTCAACGCGCTGCTCGCCCGGCTTGTCGTCCGCCGCGGCGGGATCGCTGGCGGTGCCTTGGAGTTCCATGCCAGGCAGCGGCGTCGAGTGAGAGCTGCCTGGCGGGGAGCCTGGCGCAGGGGGGTCGGCTGGCCGGGGCAGAGTCGGGAAGTCGTCGAGCAGAGGCAGGTAGGTCGGGGTGAAGAGGCCCTGGAGCTCGTGCTCGCGCTCGCGAGGGCTACCTGGTGCGACGGCGGATCCGGAGGCGGGAGGCCGTGAGGGCGGCTGGAATGCAGCGGGCCTGGGGTCCCCGGACGGTGGTGAGTCAATGGGCGGGAGCTCGGGGCGGAGCGTGGGATAGCTGGAGAGGAAGGAGGCTGTGATGGCGGAGCGGATGCTGGCTGCGTGGTGGAGGGGCACGCCGCGCAGCAGACCGTCGTAGTATTGCTGGAAGTCGGCCAGAAGCTCGCGACGGGTGGCCTGGATGGTGAGTTCGTGCTGGCGGAGCCGGTGGTGCAGGCTGCCGAGGAGCCTGGCCTCCATTGCGCCTAGCAGGCTGTCGCGAGAGGGTGAGAGGGCGTGGGATGCCTCGGTATGCGCATGGCGCAGGCTATGCAGGATCGGGGAGGAGGATGCCACGATGCAGAGGCGAAAGGCAAGGCACGAATCGTTCGGGGCGGCCGGTCGAGCGAGAGAGAGTCAGGGCCTTCTGGGTAAGGCAAGCCAGGCGAGGCTAAAAGGTTGGGGCTGGAGGTTTCGGGAGGCGTCAGACGGGGAGGCCTGGAGGTGGGCGAGATGGTTTGGATGGCGCAGTGCCAGCGACGTGGTAGGCAGGCACTAGAAGACTTGTGTGGGTGCCGTGTGCTGGAGTGAGGTGGCGGGCGGGTGGAGGGCATTCGCAGGGCGCGCGCGGGCGGCGTCCGAGTGCTGGAACTTGGCCTTGGAAGCCTCCACCGCTCTAAGGTAGTCTGCTGGCAGATAAGGTAAGGTGAGGGAGCCGCCCCGTGCTGCGGGCCCACCACCTCACCTCTTTGTCCGTACCTACTGTACCTTGCGTACCTACGAAAATAACCCCGAGCTTCCTCGCGACCGACGACTGGGAACGGCCTGCTCGTTGCGTCTTGCACTGGTCGCATCGAGCTTGGTTTGCTCCCCCCCCCCCCCTGCCCGCACCGCAGGGACAGCCTGGCAAAGCAGCGCCGCGCCGCGCCCCGTCGTTCGATGCCGTGCCGTGCTGCGCTGCGCTGCTGCACGCACACCGGTGAATGCGCCGACGAGGGGAGGGAGGGGGGTTTCTGCGTGGCGGCGGGCAGCAAGGATCGAATGACGACGATGCGGCCGGCGCTGCTCCGCCAGCGTCCTGGAGCAAATTGAGGGCTTGCAAGGGTGGTTTGCCTTTCGTCACGTTACGCCTTCTGGCCCAGGAGCGCTGAATGCTATGCTATACGTGTGTATATGGAACTTGGCGTTCCATCGCGGAGGAGACCCTGGATCGCCTTGCACGCCCAAGTCGGGCAAAAAGCCTCCCCCGCCGGTCCCGGAACCACCCACTAGCAGTTGTTGGTGTGCGTGAGGTGGAAGCTTCCACCGCCGGATGCTCGCTGCCTGGGCGGCCAGGCAAGGCCAGACCGCCAGATGGGATCCATCGGTCAATTGGCAGGACGCATATCAAACGCCGTTCTCGTTATGTATGTGCCCGTCCACGGTCTTCGCACGACATGCTTCCCGCAGCACGCACAGACCGGGCTCGACAGCTGCCAACCGCCAAACCAAACCACGTTGCTCGTCGAGGCTGACAGCCCCGGGCGTCGCATTGGATCGCCGCCAGCACGTACGTAGCACCGTACTGGGTACATTGGCATGCAAGTGACGAGCTTGGCCTCGTGCGACCAACAAACGAGACACATTGCCCGGGCCCGGAACCGCGGTCTCGGCTCGCCGTCTGTTCGCCTCGCAAGGGACCTTGGGGGAGGGCTGTCGCAGTGCTAGCGGCGATCCCCGCGGCCGTGCTGCCATGTGACCCTTTGTGCGACGCGGGAGATCTCCAAGCTGCCGGTTGCGCCGCCATCTCGGCTGAGGGCGAGCACATGGACGCGGACGGCTGGAGGTTGATTACGAGGGCGCATGCGATGAGGGCCAGCCAGCCCCCTCCATCTGCCGGCTGTCGTTCTCTCTCGCAGCCGTCGAAGAACTAACTCTCTCTGCCGGCTGTTGCGCCTGTCGAATCGGCGTGCGGGGAGCCCAGCATGTAGACAGACTCTGCACGAGACCCTTGGCTGCGTGTCCATCATCATCGTGCCCCTCCTTGTCATTGACCGTTTGCCCCTCCCCACCTCCCCTCCAACGGCACTGCGCCGATCGGCGAGCCTCCACCGAGTGTGGTTGGCACACCTGGAGGAGGAGGGGAGGGCCATCCAAGCTCCTCAGTCGAGGGCGTCCTGAGCCGTGTCTCACCAGACGCGGCGTCCCTGGTCGTCAAGCTCTGTGGCGCGAACTGCGTTGCCATTTGCGGGGTTATTGACAGCTCCAACAAGTGGCATGGTCGGTCATTGTGGCCGGTGGCATGTTCAGGGCCGCGGACAAGTAGGACGAGGAATTATGCTTTGCGCATGGGACAAGGTTCCATGCAAGAGTCTCGATATCCAGCCGAATGCAACTACGTATAGGCAACAGCTCCGTAAAGGAGCAGAGGCAGCCGCGCGCGGGCTGAAAGCGAACAAGCCAGGTTAGGCCTTAGGTGTACTATACGGCACTCGGCACTTGGTCATTAACGTTGGCTCACGCAGCGCACGATTCGAGCGGAGACTGTCACGTCGGCTCGCAGGGTCTCTTGACCGGATGTGCCCTTGCCGTAGATCCTCCGCTCGCGTAAGGTAAAGCAGTGCCATTGCCCGACCGAAATTCCTTTTTTGCCGATTCTGTAATCACCTTGTGTTTGAACAGTCAAAGCACCCGCTACCTGTACCGCACCTTGTTGTTTCCCGTCAGCCAGGGAAGGTGTAATGTTAGTGCCTCATATACGTGCTGTGCTGTCTCTGCCATGCCTCCCGTCTGCGGGCGGGACACTTCCAGGGCGACTTGCGCTGCGCTGGGTGGTGGCTGTCCCCTGCCAGCCAGCAGCCCACTCACCGCCTTCTATTCCGGGTAAGCTCAGGAACGCAGCAGTTCCGCCCCCCATCCGTGCAGCTCCCGGAACTGTTGCGCAGCTGTCCACAACATCTCAAGTTGCCGACTACCTCTGAATGAATCTGGCGACCGCAGCCTTCGACGTCCTACACACCGAGTCTCCGGGGGCACCCTGACCTCACTCGCTTCGCGCGGCACATCTCGTCGCCACAGATCAACATGTCGACAATCCCTCCGTCGGCGCTCCAGTCGGGCTTCCCGCCCACCATCCCGTTGCCCTTCAACTCGAGGCAGCCGGAAAAGGTGACGCTCTACCCGCTGTCCAACTACACGTTCGGCGTCAAGGAGACGCAGCCCGAGGAGGACCCCTCCGTCATCGCGCGGCTGAAGCGCCTCGAGGAGCACTTCGCCGAGCACGGCATGCGCCGGACCTGCGAGGGCATCCTCGTCTGCCACGAGCACAACCACCCGCACATCCTCATGCTGCAGATCGCCAATGCCTTTTTCAAGCTGCCCGGCGACTACCTGCGGCCCGAAGACGACGAGGTTGAGGGGTTCAAGGCGCGCCTCGACGAGCGCCTGGCGCCGGTCGGTCGCATTGGCGAAGGTGAAGAGGCCGGCGACTGGGAAGTGGGTGAGTGCTTGGCTCAATGGTGGAGGCCCAACTTTGAGACTTTCATGTACCCCTTCGTACCCGCGCACGTAACTCGGCCCAAGGAGTGCAAGAAGCTGTATTTCATTCATCTACCAAAGCAAAGTGAGTCTGCTCTGCGCGCCCCTCTCCAACTCAGCCCTCGCGTACGCCAGTCACTAAACAACTTCCTTATTCCTCAACCACAGAGGTCCTGAGCGTCCCGAAGAACATGAAGCTCCTCGCCGTGCCCCTGTTTGAGCTCTACGACAACACAGCACGCTACGGCCCGCAGCTCTCGGCCATCCCCCACATCCTCAGCCGCTACAACTTCGAGTTCGTCGACGATAACGGCAACGTGGTGGCTGTCACGCCGGGCGCCGGCGCACCCGAGGGTTACGTACCCAAGACAAAGGTCCTCGCCGGCGACGACACCGACATGAAGGAAAACGAGGAGAATGGAACGCAGTGAGCACCGCGGCCGTTACGTGCGTTGGGATACATGGCGACGGTGTTTGGCGCAAGGCATGGATAAATCGTGTGCTCTTCAAATGTATGACGAGTGGCGGGTACTTCAATGATTTATGCTCACTGATAAACCTTGCTGGGTGACGACTCTCTGCCCTGCCCTGTCTACATCTTTTCGCCCTGGATGGTGGCCACAACCCGTCGCTGATGCTTGCTGGCCCTGAACTCGAGATACCAAATTCCTTGCCAAGTTCCGGTCGCCTGGGAGAATCGTGAGCAGGGGCGCGACGGGGCAATCGGATTAGGACATGTGCGCGTACCAGCTTGCCGTCCTTGATGGGGATAGTGACGCTGGCCCCAATCAGGGCAGATTTGATGTGAGCCTGCAGCCGTGTCAGTGAGCGCAACTACTGGCTTGACGCCTGTTTGTTAGCCCCCCTCGCGGAATCAACTCACAGGCATGTCGTCGGGTCCTTCTGCGCTGCAGTCGTGCGTCAGCAAACATCAAAGTGCATGAGCTTCACATGCAGGTCCCGGGTGGCTTACTCATGGCGGTACAGCGCCTGGCCCTTGGGTCCCTCTGCGGGCGCAATGCGATCGAGGGCATCACTCATGTCTTCCCTAACGTCCTCGTCCCCTTGAGGAAAGTCCTGTTGTCAGTACAGTATTCCACACTTATCTATATCTCCGCAGCGAAGTCCACCCGCGGGGGAGGGGTTAAAACGACTGAGGGATCCAACACACAGTTTTCGTTGAGGCTCAGCGCACAGCTCGTGTGCTGCACGAAAAGGTTCAGCAGCCCGACCTTGTAGTTGCGAATCTCGGGCACGGCGGCCGTGACCTGGTCGGTGATGAGATACGAGCCACGCGACCTGGACTGGAGCGTGAATTGCTTCTGCGTCCACGACATTGTGAGTGAGGGCTGCAGGGTAGGCTGCGGTTTGGAGGAGAAGTGAGTCGCGCGGCCGATGAGGCTAAGCGGCAGGGTCCAGATGAGGTGGAACAGGTCCGGGAACAGGGCGAGGAAGAGGATGAGTAGGAGGGCTATCGTTGTGGTTGTCGAGATGCCGGCTGTTGACGGTTGACGGGGAGGCATGTTGGATGGATGTGCGTCTGCCATGATGTGCTGTGACAAGAGCCTACGTCAGGTGGGGCTTTTTCGCAGTCCACACTGTGGGGTTCAATCAAGCTGTCCAGCTCCACGGCCGCGCCGCATGCTCAGCACTTACACCTGACGCACTATCGCTGGTCGACGTGGATGGCGGCACCAGTCCGCACATTTACACATAGTTCGGCATCCTAACCTATTGACCTTGGCATGAAAACCTACGAGACGTCAGAACGCAGACTCGATACCATGGGCCACTCGACCATGCATGCATGTCCGTTGGCGGTAGCAGAATTCGAACGATAGATGCCCAATGCCACTGTGCATGGAAGCACAACATGCCCATCGCCTGCACCATCAAAGCCGATTCAACTCACACCTCGCATTAGACGGGGGACTTTCGCGCAGATGGCTTCTTTAGATAATGCCAAGCCTCAATTCCACCAGGGCTCTCACCTATGCCTCTCCGAGACGACATCAGCGCGCACGGAGAGGCCGTTTCGACCAATATGCAGCTCCGAGATGGGGCTAACTGCGTCCGCTGGACCAACTCCTTGCTCAGTCAGCGACCGGAAGCCTCTTGGAGGCCATGGTTGCACAAACTGTGGTGCGAGCCGCCAACTTGGTCTCTGCTTCCGGCTCCGGGCACGAGACGGTCGAAGGTGCTATAAGTACCCGCGATGCGAGGGGAAACCTGGCGAGGGGATGGGAGGTGGGGGAAGGAGATGGCATAGGTGTAACGAGCCTCGGTCATACAACAGTCAACCTACACATCGAACTTCTGCCTCTCTTATCGGAAGAAGGCACCCATGGTCCGCACGGCACTACTGGTGTCGCTCCTAGTAGCGGCTTTGTCTGCACTCAAAGGGCCTGTCCCGAATCCCGATGGCAACATTCGGGAGTTCGTCCCGGGCGGGTACATATTCGAATTCGAGGATGGGCATGTAAGAGAACAACACGCCAGTCACTGTTAAAGAGAGGCAAGGCTGACGGGTGACAGGATGCCTCGGCCGTGATTCAAGAAATTGGCAGGATTGGTACCACGCGAATGCATCTAAACTACAAGCTCTTCAAGGGCATCTCGGTGGAGCTGCACAACGTGAAAACGGCCAAAACCATGGCGACTGAGATCGCCTCCAGGCCCGCCATCAAGAATGTCTGGCCGATCGAGGTCCGCCCAATGCCCAAACCTGCTGGGCTTCAGATCATCAAGGCCAAGGACCTGGCCCTGAACCGAGACCAGCACGGCCTTTCGGCACGCGCCAATAGCAGTATGCACCAGGATGTCTTTTCCACGCACGTCATGACCCAAGTCGACAAGCTGCACGCTGAAGGTTTCACTGGGAACGGCGTCAAGGTGGCCGTCATTGATACCGGCGTATGTAGCCCCGTGTGCCATGTATCCGTGACGGAGGGCGAGGCTCACTGACTGCTCAGGTTGACTACACGCATGAGGCCCTTGGTGGGTGCTTCGGCGAAGGGTGCCTGGTCTCCTTCGGGACCGACCTTGTCGGCGACGACTACCATGGTAGTTTCTCATCGATCAAGCCGGACAATGACCCCAAGGATTGCAATGGCCATGGCACGCACGTTTCTGGCATCATTGCAGCACAGAAGAACTCGCTGAACTTCATGGGGGCGGCGCCTAATGTCACCTTGGGCATGTACAAGGTCTTTGGCTGCACAGGTGGCGCGGCCAACGACATTATCATTTCTGCGTTGAACATGGCATTTGAAGACGGCGCAAACATCATTACGGCTTCTCTCGGCGAATCCGGTGGCTGGTCTGAGAGCCCTTGGGGTGTAGTTGCCTCTCGCATCGTCGACCAAGGTGTTCCCTGCACCATTTCGGCCGGCAACGATGGCCAGTACGGCATGTTCTATCCCGGTTCGGCCGGCGACGCCAACGGCGTGATGGGCATTGCCTCCTTCGAGAACATCATTGACCCAGTGCTGGGATACATCTCGTCGTTTTCTATCGACGGCGGCGAGGACCAATATATCGGCTATCTGGCTTCGTCGGACTGCCCGAACTGGCCCGGAACGCCGCTCCCTGTCTATGCAACCAGCCTGGATCCAACTGTCGAGGACGATGCGTGCAAACCCCTCCCGGACGATACTCCCGATCTCTCTGGACACGCCGTTCTAGTCCGCCGGGGCACGTGCTACTTCGAAGAAAAGGCTGCCAACATCTTGGCCAAGAACGGGACGTATCTTCTCATCTATAACAACGAGCCAGGTTTCTTCGCGCCAAACATGGACTCCGCCAGTGATAAACTTAATGCAGGTGGCATGCTTCTCCGTGAGCAAGGCGAGATGTTTGTCGCCGCCCTCAAGGCCGGGCACAACGTTACGGTGACCCTGATTTCCCCCACGTACTCTCCGGGGCTATTCGTCACCGGCTCGGTCAACCACCGCATAGGCGGTGCTGTCAACGACTTTTCCTCATGGGCTCCCACGTGGGAAATGCACTTCAAGCCACAGGTTGGAGCGCCAGGCGGCAACATTCTCTCGACATGGACCGATAATGACTATGCCAACGCGAACGGAACGTCCATGTCGACACCCATGGTTGCCAGCATCCTCGCCCTGATTGCTCAGGTTCGCGGCACGTTTGACCCAACGACATTGAGAAATCTCGTCTCGGCCTACGCGAAGCCTCAGATCTGGAACGACGGAGAGAGGTTCTACCAAGGGCTCGCACCGGCTCCCCAGCAGGGGGCGGGGTTCATTCAGGCCCATGACGCTGCCTACGCGACCACCTTGCTGGATCCCTCGAGCTTGTCTTTCAACGAAACCGCGCATTTTGTGAAGGAGCTAAGCATCAAGGTCACGAACTCCGGAGAAAAGGAAATTTCTTACAACATCTCACAGGTCCCCGCACTCACAATGTACACCCTGGATGCTGATGGGGTATATCCCATGAAGTTTCCGAACGAGATCGTCGAGGGGCACGCCACACTTACTTTCTCAGAGCAGCAGGTCACTCTGATGCCTGGAGCTTCCATGGTTATCAGCGTATCAGCACAGCCGCCAGAAGGCCTCGACGAAGGGCGACTCCCCGTTTGGTCTGGCTACGTAATCATCAACGGCACAGATGGGTCGGCACTGTCCATGCCATACCAGGGCCTCTCAGGCTCGATGCACACCAAAGCCGTTCTAACCTGGGGCCACGTCGGAGTTGCTTCCTACAAGGATAAATGGTTCCTCGATGACGGGGCCGAGTTCATCCTCCCAGGCCCCGGTACGGTGTCTGATGACATCCTCGGCATCTACGCAAATCTCGTCCTAGGCAGCCCCAAGGTGCGCTGCGACATCGTCCCCATGACGACCTGCCCGCCCAAGAGCATCACCGTAGACGATCCCCTCGGCGATAATTTCAAGACGGTCGGCCAGCCCGCTGGGTGGCCCCTCAAGTACGTCCCGCGGGGCGGCAATCTCTCCCCGTGGGACGGGCAGCTCGACAGCGGAAGCTACATCCCGCCCGGCAAGTACAAGTTTGTGATTCGCGCGCTGCGCCTGTTCGGGGACGAGACCAAATTGGAGGAGTGGGATAACGACACCAGCACGAGCTTCCACATCAAGTATCAAACTTGAGTGTGTCGAACGGTCCCCTTGAACCGTGACTGTCAAGCAAGTTCAATTGACGAAGCCCAATGATGTGCTAGCCGTTGACTGGATTCGTGACACATTGTGCGCAAATGTGTGATCTTGTCTTCAATATGTAGCCAACCAAAATTCCCGGCGAAATGAAAGGTACCACCACGCTGCGGCAACACCTCCTACACAGCACGTAGAAAGTCGCTTATAGACGTACTGTGTTGGAAGTCGATGCGAGGCAATGAGGCCTAGCTCCGCCTTGCATTCAAAAGGACTCCGATAAATGTTGTGACGCAATTCGAGCCAAAGGAGTGCCGAGAACGACCACGCAGTCTATTGTCGTGCTATGTACAGATTCGTTCTTGTTCAAACCCGCCCTCGTAAACCCTAGTAAAACATCGACGCTCCTTCGTCGTCCGCCAAACGTCCATCGTCCATTCTTACAGCGGGTATGAGGTCTCGGGCAGGGCCTCGAGGTGCTTGCGGTGGTGCTCGTTGGCCTGCGCAATGGTCAGTCAGGCGTCTTCCATCCCTGGGGGTCTTTTCGACGTACGAAAGGAGTGCCGCAGTAGTTGCAGACGGCAATCTCGGGCTTGTCGGTGTTGATGAAGATCCGGGGGTGGCCGGCCGGGCCGCCACCGCCCTCGCACGCGACGACTCGGCTGTGCGTCCACTGGACGGGCACCTTGTGAACCATCTCCATCGCGGACAGGGGTTGAGGCTGTTTTCTAGGTGTCAGCACCAGCACAACCACTCCAATTGCCATTTCCCTCCCCTCGGTTCAAAGCCGAGCCCCCCTCTCCGCGTGCGCTGCGCTTACCTGCAGGTCAAAGTCCGTCTGCTCGAATCGCGGCCCCGTCATGGCCGTCGTCCGCGGCTTCTGGCTCCGGGACCAGACGTCCACTCGGTTCGGCGCCTGGCCAATCTCACGGGCCTCCTCGACGGCCGTCTCGGTCTTCGCGGTCGCGGGCACGCTGGCGGCGGCCTCGAGGTATCGGCTGGAGGTGCTGAAGGCGCGCGGCGCCACGCGCAGGGTGCGCGCAAAGGCGCCAATTGTCCTCAATTGGGAAGCGGCCATGTCTTCGAACACCGGTCGAATGGGCCGGGGCTGATGTGGTGGACTTGGACGTTGCGGGAGCGTGCTGGGCGGGTTCGAGGATCTGAGGTTGGGGAGAGTGCGGCGGCGACCAACGGAACGAGCCGCCGTTTCGGATTAAGTTGGTTCCAGGTTCCGACGCCGCCAAAAAATCCCCAAGTTCTGGGTGCAAGCGCGGTTCAACCCCCCCCAAGCTTCGCGCCTAACACCACCTCATCCATCATCAATACCCTGACCGAAAAAAAAACCGGAAACGGTCCAGCACGCCTAGCTGGACGCGAATTTCTTGATCGCATTACATTGGCGACTCTGGCCTCCAATTTTCGGACCGTCAACATATTGAGGAACTGTCTACTGGAGCACTCAAAGCCTAGCGGACGCATCCATATCTATCCAAGATGGCGCCAGAAACTCCGAAAGGGGTCTCTTCGAGACTTCTGACTATGAAGTTCATGCAGAGGGCGGCAGCCTCTGCGTCGTCGGCTGGGTCACCAGACTCTGAGGCACCATCCTCCAAGAAGCGGAAGCTCGAACACTCTCCGGCCCAGGGCCGCATCAACACCAACATCGACCAGGCTCTCATCCAGGCCGCTCTCGACCAGGAGGAAGCCACCCGCCAAGCAGCGCTCGAGAAGCACTCGACCGCCGACACCCACTGGGTATTGGACAACCAGTGGGGCAAAGCGAAACCGACACGACCCGCCAGCAATCCGCTTAATGTGGTGTACGTGGGCTACGGTGACTTCGATTCGGCGGACGAGTCGGGCGACAACGAAGACGCTGCGGTCAAGGGTCGGACATCGACGAAGCCGCCGCCCAAGGCCACCAAGAAGGGAGCAGTAAGGACTTTGCGCTTGCACGCCGAGTGAACAAGTCCAGCTAACGCACACACCACAGACCAAGGACGGAGCTGAATCTGACAGCGACAAGGATAGCTCTGACGAGCAGTCCTCAAGCGACGACGAAGAACCCAAACGCAAGCGGAGGAATGGCCACTCAAGCGACAACACGCCTACATCACGGGACCGGTCTCGCTCCCAGTCGCGCTCGAGGCCCAACGCTGAGGGTATCAAGGCTAAAGAGTTCCGAGACAAGCGGAAGAAGAAGGAGGTCCGGCTGAACCAACTGACCTCCATCTCTGGAGGCGGAGGTGCAACGAGCAGCAACAGGTCCATGAAATGCTACACGTGCCAACAGGTTGGTCACAAAGCATCGGACTGCCCTCAGCGGCAACGTAGGGGATGAATCAGCGCCTGCGGCCTCAAGCGAGGCCAGATGACGCTCACTTTTGGAACAGGAGAACGCAGCAGGCAAGCAAATTGCCGATGCCCTTGCGAACCACGAGCTCCTAGACCCCAGTCTCCTAGCACAAACGCGACCTGGCGACACTGCGAGGATGCTGGTGTCCCAGATCAAGTCATGGCTATTATTACTCCTAGTAGCCGCGTTTGGCTCGCACGCAACTGGCAGAGAGATGCAACTTGACCAGGCGGCATCTCGGGACACCAGCGTCCCGCGCCGGGGTCGCGATGTTGTCATAACGAGGCACCGTGGCTCTCAGGAGAAGCATAGCATGGTGCAGCAACTCTGCTATATACCGGCAACGCGATGCAACCGCTGACGACTACGGTCGAAAGAGCCAACTGAACAGTTGAAAGGCACCCCAACCATGGCCAACGGCCGTACTGCAGCAATGACAGTGCGTTCTCGTAGGTCCACACTTGGACTCATGGTCTTGGCTGCCAAGAGCAGTCATTGCACACCTAGCTAGGTGGCTTGCAACTGCTGCGTGCGGTATCCGCACACAAATCTCGGTCTGCTCTCGACAAGGGGCATGAGAACACTTATAGCGTATAGTGGCCAATCAGAAATCATCGCATGAGGAAGACCTCTAAAAGAACCGCCTGCCTTTTCAAGTTGTGAAGTAGATCTGACGGCTCAGTCGAAGGGCGAGAGTGCCTCGCGAGGTCGGAAAGAATAATGCATGCACTTCGCACTTTGTATCACTAAATTCTTGGTTACACACGGCCGCCCCCTGCCCAGGATCTGGGTTTGCGGCTCAAAACGTGTGGCGGTGAAGGTTCAAGAGTCGTCGAGCGGGTAGATGTGATTGATAAGTGGGATGGGCTGAGATGCGGTTCGTCAGAATAGCAGAATGAATCCTAGTAATGAAGATGAAAATGCCAAAGTTTGCCGCAGGGGCGACTATCTGTGCCTCTTGTATCCCCGATGCAAATGAAATGTTCCCATTGCGAGTTTAATACGGACAAGGTTCATGCGGCTCGTGGGAGGGCGATCACGCCGCCTTCTGTCGTTGTTTGTTGCGGTGAAACAAGTCGCGCAAGCGTGCCGCCGTGGTCGACATTACGTAGCGACATGATGCGTGCTGCAGGTGAAGCGGCTCGGTTCGGCAGAGTCGAGACTCTGCTGGATGACGCTTCGGATGGCGGCCGGGGTCTTCCCGCGAGACAGGCGTGGCCAACCGATCGGACGAGGGTTGCAGCATTTGGCGGCTCACCGACGTGCGGATTTTCGCAACTTTAAACTCGAGACACCGGAAGCCGAAAGACAACCGGCTTTGTTCCGTTTGGAAGACTCCCGAGGTCTACTCTATACTTGGTGGTTCCCTGGTTCAAGGGCGCATGTGCATGTGCCCGCAGCCCAGGGGTTTCTTCACTGGGTTCCAGGGATGACGCCGACTTTGGCGGCCCGTATCGAGAGGTCATTGGACCGACCATGGTTCCTTCCCTCAAACCAAAGCATCGCGGCGGCGGCATGCTGAAGTTTGTACTCCGTAGACGCGCTGGCTGTCGCTTGCACCGGGGACATGCGGAATTACCTACTCCAAAGGCATGTTTGCCTTGAACCTCACATGAGCAATGCAAATGTACGAGTACCGGCAAGTCAAGCGGCTCGGGATGGTTGTCAAACCGTGCGTCAGTTGGAGCGAGATTCCGTGGCGAATGAATGCGCCTCGCACATACGTCTTGCCCCTGCCGTCTCAACCGTGGACTCAATGGGCGACCCCGGGCATGGGCGTCGCCGCCCGGTCTACTCGTCGTGGACTTTCTTAAAGCGGAAGAAGCGTTTACCACAAAACACCTGGTGTACTTGGTAAAGTATACGGTGTGTGCTTCGTATGAGTTTGCCCTACACGTAGTACTACCACCTACCTTGTCGGCCTGCATGAAGCAGGACGATGGGGCACTGATGATGGACGGGGTGGCGGGGCCTGCGGCTTGGACGGAGGCGATGCAGCGAACCCAGGTACGTGGAACCATCCGACGCCAAAAAGGGGGGACCCTGTGTGGTATCTTGGCTTTCCTGGCCGCCCGCTCGAGGGAGAGACCGGGTGAGTGAGTAATGCACTGGCAGCGGTCGGGCGACGAGCTTCTAATAGTCGGATGGGACGTGGGATTTCCTGGTACCGCACGCAAGGGAGGCAAGCCGGATGATTGGACAGACCGAGATGGGGGTGTCTCGACGTGCTGGGTGTGCAAGCAGCAGACGAGAATCTTCTTGATGGCGTGCGAGCGAGAGAGAGAGACATCCGTTGACTCCGTGGGATCGATTCGGCGCTGGAATGCTCTGCTCGTTGCAAGGCACCTAGGTACAGTGCCGCGGAGGGATTTGGAAGCTTGCTTGTCGCCTTGGGGCCGTCGGTGCTTGGTACATACTTTCCGTAGATGCGCTCAAACTGGCACCTTCCCATGTGGCAGGCTGCACCCACGAGGCAGACGCGGGTGTGGCACTTGTGCTACGGAACAAAGGGATGTCCCGCCCTCGGGATCTGGTTCCAACTTCCAAGGAAGGTTCCATCCATCTCTCGCCTGGCCCATTGGCCAGCCTCTTGGCCAGTGAACGCCGCCGCCCGACAACCGGGGCCGCAGGTGCGAAGCAGGCAAGGCAGGCGCGTAACTGCAGAGTAAGTTACTCTGTACCTCGGCAGTTTTCGTACTCGAAATCCATACTTGGTACCTCGCTTCCTGGGTGGTTGGGTTCGATTTCAGGGCGTTGGTTGCCATGTGGTCCCGGGACGAGACATGTGTGTGTACCTTGATAACTCCCATTACTCGCACATTGGAGGGGCAACAGTCGGGGCTTACAGAGAAAAACTTGAGAGGCAAGTCGGGCACCTGAGGCCCAAACGCTCCTGCTCGTCCGCTGTGCGTGTGCTCCGCGCTTTCCTTATCCCCTGACCAGTGCGGTACGGTAACCCAAAGGGGGTGATTAAAGCCAGCTGCCAGGCAGGCCGGCGCGACTGGCGAGGCCCGGCGAGCGCGGCGACATCCAGACGACGGTGCTCCGCAATGGCAGGGCCCGCACTCGCAACCCGCAGGCCTGGTGACTGGTGCGGTGACTGGCGCGATGACTGGCTGGCTGGCTGACTGACTGAGTGACGACGGTGGTGACACCCTGCCCAGGTGCCATGGGTCGTTTGTTGTTGGCTGCACCCTGGCAAGGTGTAACCTCGTCAACAAGGACCCCGAACCGCGAAATCTCTGCGCTCGTCGTGTCTTGCGTCTCAATCGTTGAGCGCCGCCTCTCGCCGCCGGCTCATCGACCAGCACCCCCCGGCGTCGGAGCGCTTGCTCCAGTCGCCAGGCTGGCATTTTGGACATCCAGGTGGCGCATGCCGATGAGACACCAGGCAAGGCGTGATCCACCACTGCTGGCTGCCGTGTCAAGCCTGTGCTCCCTCGTCCTCTCTTGTCGGCATCGTGTGCTGTTGCTGCCGGCTTTACTTAAGGGAACGCGCCCGTTGCGTCAACCGTTGCTCCCATCACCGCCGTTTGCCAGCCCCAATCGCCTCATCCGCCGCCACGCTGGTGCATTGCAGCTGCGCAGCGCCACGGTCACAGGCACCGGCCGACCGAGCAACCGCCAGTACGCAACGCCGACTACAAAAGGCACCGCCCTCCTTACCCCTGGCTTCACGCTCACCGCAACCGCCCCAGCTCGCGCTCCCTCCCGCCTCCCGGACATCGCCACAGACACACCGTTCCTCGTCGTCATTGCCCCGGACCCAGGCCCGCTGAACCCTCTTTGTCCGCTAGCCGCACCGTCCGCACGGGCCCAATCTGACGCCTCTGCTCGGTGGCGCATCCCCCCACCGGCGCCAGCACTCGAACAGCAAGCGTGCGACGGAGCTCACGGCCTCCGGCTCCGACGTCTAGGCCACGACCGTCGACGTCGCCTCTTGCCGGCGACATCACCTGGCTTCCTCTTCTCACCACCCTGGCGACCGCTCAACCCGCCCTATCCGCCCCACGTCGCCTCGCTCTGGTCAGGTCAGCGCTGTTGTCATTCCACAATGCCCACCTCTCAGACGCATGGGTTGGCTCCTGGCCGCCAGGCCCCCGTCGTTCTCCTGACGGACCGCCTGGAGAAGCCGTCCCTGGACGACCGCGATTATCGTGTCGTTCGGCTCGAGAACGACCTCGAGGCTTTGCTGGTTCATGACCCCGAGACGGACAAGGCTAGCGCCGCCCTCGACGTCAACGTTGGAAACTTCAGCGACGAAGATGGCATGCCAGGAATGGCGCACGCCGTCGAGCATGTGAGCCAGGCCCTCTCTGCCCTCGATGTCCCTCTCACACTTTCAGCCACTGACAGCAGCGCCATGGTAGCTCTTGTTCATGGGTACCAAGAAATTCCCTATCGAGAACGAGTACGGCCAGTACTTATCTGCCAACTCGGGCAGTTCCAACGCCTACACTGCCTCCACCTCCACCAACTACTACTTCGACATTGCGGCTAAACCCGACAATGACGAGGACCCTTCGGATTCCAACCCTTCCCCGCTGCGAGAGGCTCTCGATCGCTTTGCCCAATTCTTCATCGAGCCCCTTTTCCTCTCCAACACGCTCGACCGGGAGCTGAGAGCCGTCGACTCGGAGAACAAGAAGAACCTGCAGAACGATACCTGGCGACTTCATCAACTCGAAAAGTCATTGTCTAATCCAAAGCACCCTTATTGCCATTTCTCGACCGGAAATTTCGAGGTCCTCAAGACGATTCCTGAATCACAAGGCATCAACGTAAGGGACAAGTTCATCGAGTTCCATGCCCAGCACTACTCGGCCAACCGCATGAAGCTTGTCGTGCTCGGCCGCGAGCCCCTTGATGTTCTGCAGAAATGGGTCGTGGAGCTCTTTTCCCCAATCGTCAACAAGAAGCTTCCCCCGAACCGCTGGACGGACGAGGTCCCCTTCCGACCCGAAGACCTCGGGATGCAATGCTTTGCGAAGCCCGTCATGGATTCAAGGGACTTGAACCTGATCTTCCCCTTCATCGACGAGGAAGCGCTCTTTGAGTCACAGCCCAGCAGGTACATCAGCCATTTGATTGGACACGAGGGCCCTGGCAGCGTCATGGCCTACGTCAAGAGCAAGGGGTGGGCGAACAGCTTGTCCGCTGGCGCATACCCTGTCTGCCCCGGAACTCCGGGAATTTTCGAGGTGCAGATTCGCATGACCGAAGAGGTATGTCAGCCGCGTGCCCTGCTGCCTAATTATGCTCACCCGTGTCGTTGTAGGGCTTGAAGAACTATCCCGAGATTGTCAAGATCTTTTTCCAATACGTCTCGCTGCTGCGAGAGTCGCCGCCACAAGAATGGATCTTTGACGAGCAAAAGGGCATGGCAGATGTTGATTTCAAGTTCAGGCAAAAGACCCCGGCCAGTCGGTTCACGAGCAGAACCAGTTCGGTGATGCAAAAGCCGCTTCCCCGCGAGTGGCTGCTCAGTGGCCACAGCCGTCTTCGAACGTTTGACCCGAAGTTGATCAATGATGCCTTGGGCAAGATTCGACCCGACAATATGCGGATGGTCATAGTGTCCCGAAACTTCCCTGGGTCCTGGGATAAGAAGGAAAAGTGGTACGGTACTGAGTATAGCCACGAGCAGATACCCGCCAGCTTGATGGAGGGGCTGCAGCAGGCCATTGCCTTGCCTCCGTCAGCTCGCCTTGCGGAGCTGCACCTGCCACACAAGAACAACTTCATCCCCAACAAGCTCGAGGTCGAGAAGAAGGAAGTGGCAGAACCTGCACCGGCCCCACGCTTGCTGCGCAACGACTCCGTCGCCCGGACCTGGTGGAAGAAAGATGACACATTCTGGGTGCCCAAGGCCAACGTCATGGTCAGCCTCAAGAACCCCATCATTTTTGCCACCGCGGAGAACAGCGTCAAGGCCCGGCTCTTCACAGAGTTGGTACGAGACGCTCTGGAGGAGTATTCGTACGATGCGGAGCTCGCCGGTCTGCAGTACACTGTGTGTCTCGATTCACGTGGTCTCGAGTTGGACATTTCTGGATACAACGACAAGCTTCCTGTGCTTCTGGAGCAAGTCGCCGTCACCCTACGCGACCTCGAAATCAAGGACGAGCGTTTTGACATTGTCAAGGAGCGCCTTACCCGTGGCTACGACAACTGGCAGCTGCAGTCATCGTACCAACAGGTCGGCGAGTACATGGCGTGGCTCAACGCAGAGCGCGACTTTGTCGTGGAAGAGCTTGCGGTAGACTTGCAAAACATCACCGCCGATGCAGTGAGGCTGTTCCACAAGCAAATGCTGGCGCAGCTCTACATCGAGGTGTACGCACACGGCAACATGTACAAGGGTGAGGCACTGAAGGTGACGGATATGGTGGAGTCAATCCTCAAGCCTCGCACCCTTCCCCGATCGCAGTGGCCCATCATTCGATCTCTGGTCCTTCCGCCCGGGTCGAACTTTGTCTTCAACAAGACTCTGAAGGACCCGGCCAACGTGAACCATTGCGTCGAGACCTTCTTCTTCGTCGCTGATAGAAGCGACCAAGTCGCTCGCGCAAAGACGTTGCTGATCGACCAAATGGTGCACGAGCCTGCTTTTGATCAACTCAGGACCAAGGAGCAGCTTGGATACATCGTCTTCTCAAGCATGCGCGTCTTTGCCACCGTGTGTGGTTTCCGTTTCCTGGTGCAGAGCGAGAGGACCCCCGAGTATCTGGATCGCAGGATCGAGGCTTTCCTTGCCCGCTTTGGTCAATCTCTCAACGAAATGAGCGATACCGAGTTTGAAGGCCACAAGAGGAGTCTCATCAATAAGCGTCTAGAGAAGCTGAGGAACCTGGATCAGGAATGGTCCAGGCATTGGACTCATATCTCGAATGAATACTACAGCTTCGACCAAGGTAAGCCCCATGTCCCGTCGCTACTTACGGGTCCCTTTACTAACAGTGGGTAGCCAAAATTGATGCGGAACACGTCAAGAGCTTGACCAAGGCCGAAATGGTTGAATTCTTCAACCAGTACTTCAGCCCGGCCTCAAACAAGCGAGCGAGGATCTCTGTGCACATGCACGCCCGAGGCGCTGGCGAGCTGGACCTGAAGGTCATTGACCTGCTGCAGTCACTGGGCTTGAACGACGTTCCGCGCGAGAAACGCCAGAACGTGGGTCTCCTCGAGGGCTACCTGAAGGATGACCTGAAGCTTCCGGAGAGCGAGAGAGCCACCATCACCTCGAAGGCTAAGGAGCTCGGACTGAGCCAGATGACGCACAATGATGAGCCTGGTGCAGCCACAGCAGGAGCAGTGTCTGCTGTGGACTCTGCCGAGGAGATCACCGACGTACGCCAGTTCAAGGCTGGCCTCTTCGCCAGCCTGGGAGCCAGACCGATCAAGGATCTCAGCGAGTTCGAGGAGACCGATGCCAAGCTATAGCGAAACCTCAGAGATGGGGCACCCAATAGTAACTCTAATGTGATGGAGTTGGATGTACTGGATCACTGGACGGCTTGGGTGATGGTTGATGATCAATGGAAAGGGTGGCATCTGGGAGCATTGCTTGACCCGCGTCTATATCACTGGCGCTTGAGGCGTCTCATATACAGAGAAGGAAGGGTTACAGTTGCATACTGCGCAAGCACTACAGGATCGGATGGGTGAGATGCCCGGACCATGGCAGCCGAAGGGGCTGCCATCAGACATGTACTGTTTATCACGCTAGAACCAGACCTGATGATTAGTTGATTAGTTTCAGACGACGCGTGTGCGAATATTTACTGCCAACGTCAGGAATGGTTATTTGTGTCGGTGGTCCAGCTTGGAAACTGTCCTGGCGACGGCGGAGGCAAAGCCGCAATTGACTCTTTATGATGCTGTTTGACTTCGACTTCGTGTTTTTATCGGGACTGTTGTTACCTTTGACCGGGTCTAACGCCTCGGGGAGGCTGCTCTCACCCCCAGGGTCTAACCCCGGTCCTTTTTTTCTTTTCCTTTTCTTGGCAGTTGAAATGCTCGAAACACTCGGACTACGAGCTTCGGATATCGGCATCGATGGCTACCATGATTCACTCGTAGAGATGGTTGATCCGGCTTTGAATCAGGGACATCTGTGCGGGAGCCCGTCCGAGCTTCCCGTGGCTGAAGCGGGTGGCTGGCCCATCATGGAACCCACGTTGCTAGCGGTGACCCTACGTTCTCTTGGGAAGGAGGGGCATTTTTGTCTACCGGGGGCAAAGTCACAGCGCAGTCGGCGCTGCAGGGGAGCGCTCGAGAAAATCCTTGGTGCAAGTGAATGTACAGGCAAACCACAATGCGTCATACAGTGAATGCGAATGAAACTCTACGGCTGAGAGGTACCTACCTGAGTAACCAACGTCAACCTCCCCTCGTGCAAGGGATGGTTCTGACAAAGGAGTCGCCTCCCGGATCTGACCGTTGGAGAAGAGACGTGCGCTTCGCTGGCCCCGTGTTGCAACGCCAGCGCCGCCGCCCAGGGCTTCCGTGGGGTTCCATAATTATTTCATTTTTTGCCCCCCGTCGTTGTGTGTGCTTTGATGCTGACGGAAGTGATGGAACCTCGCAAACGCCGGCTGGCCCCAGCTGCAAAGCGCAAGCGCAGGCGCAGGCGCAAGCGCAGTGGGCTGGGCTGGGGCGGCCCTGCGTCCAGTGAACGCCACGGCCCGCCCTCGAGAAATTTAGCACCCGCCTCAGTGAAAAT